CCGCACACACATATTACTTTCTTGTAGTGGTAAAGTGGCGGTGGTGGTAGCAGTAGCAGTAGCAGTAGCAGTAGCAGTAGCAGTAGTAGTAGTAGTAGTAGTAGTGGTAGTAGTAGTAGTAGTAGTAGTAGTAGTAGTAGTGGCAGCACCAGTAGTAGCACTAAGTAGCGGTAGTCGTAGTAGTAGTAGTAGTAGTAGTAGTAGTAGAAGCAGTAGTCGTCGTCATGGTCGTAGTAGTCGATTGCTCATCTTCGTAATCTGGACCATCTTGGTGGGGGTCAAGGCAGTACAAAGCCTTGCCAACCGTGGTCAGCCGGGGTGGCAAGATTAGCATTAATCTTGCAATCTTGGTCATCTTGTCACAAGTGGTTGCTAAGCCGGGGCAGGGGGTCTTGGGTGACTCGTGCCCGGTGAACGCGGTTTACGGTTTTGGGATGAGGGTTTCGGGTTTTTAGGGCTTGCGGACTTCGGGTTTAGGGTTAAGGCTGTTGGGGTTTAAGGGTTTTAGGGTTTGGGGGTTAGAGGTGTTAGGGTTCAGGGTTGCAGTTATAGGGTTTTCGGTTTGTGGGGCTGTTTTAGGGCTAGGCTATCGGGGTTTCACGGTTCAGGGTTGCAGGGTTTAGGTTTAGGGTTTGGCATTCGACGGTTTCGGGTCTAGGCTGTTGGAGTTTTACAGTTTAGGGTTTTGGCTGTTGGGGTTTTACGGTTTAGGGCTTAGATTTATGCGTGCCTGGTGCTCGCACTCGCGGTTTAGGGTTACGAATATATATATATATAGGTATTTTAGTATAGGCATCTGTATGTGTTTTTGGGGCGGGGCGGGCAAGCATCATGAGCATCAGCTTCTGCGTGGGCGTGTGGCTGCGTCGTGGCCTTAGGGGGCAAGTTGATAGATTCCAACCCCATGCCCGTGAACCTATTGTTTTCTGGCGGCAGGGGTCTGGCATCATGAGCATCAGCGGATCAGCAGCTTGTGGGTGGGCGCTGGCGGATGGGCGGCTTGGCAGGGGTGGGCAGTTCTGGTAGGGTCGGGGGAAGGGGGAGGGTGGCGGTAATCTTGGTAATCGCGGTGAGCTTGGTGCATAATTGGTGGGCAAGTGGTACAAGTGGTGCGAGATTGCAAGATTGTCGGACCCCTCCCAAGCATTGGCGATACTCGACCAAGCCTACCAAGCCTGTACGGACAAACTTGTCCCCCTCGCCCGCGGCGACCAAGCTTGCGTGTAATCTTCCACCCCCAACCGGATTTGGGCCAAACAGTTCCCAAGGTGACAAGACTGCGTGCCAATCTTGCCCTCGGTAGTGGATTTCGCTTGCCGGCACACTGCAGCAGTAGCAGTAGCAGTAGCAGTGGCAGTGGCAGTGGCAGTAGCAGTAGCAGTAGCAGTAGCAGTAGCAGTAGCAGTAGGAGTAGGAGTAGGAGTAGTAGTAGACTAGTAGTAGTAGTAGTAGTAGTAGTAGTAGTAGTAGTAGTAGTAGTAGCAGTAGCAGTAGCAGTAGCAGTAGCAGTAGCAGTAGCAGTAGTAGTAGTAGTAGTAGTAGTAGTACCACACACGCTCGTAGGAGGCCTGGTGTTTTCATGCGTTTCGGAGCCATTTTGCACGGTAGGGGCGGGGTTTTGGAGGGTTGGGGGTGGGGGGGGGGGATGATAACGTTCACGCTATTGCCTTTGGCGAGCATGCACAAAACACCGGTCTTTACGGCACTTTTGCTTCTACGAGCATTTTTGTTTTGGAGCCATTTTGCACGGCAGTGGCGGGATTTTGGTGGGTTGGGGGGGGTGGGGGGGGTGGGGGGGGGGGAGACGATAACGTTCATGTTCTTGCCTCTGGCGAGCATACACAAAACACCCGTATTTACGGCACTTCTGCTTCTACGTGCGTTTTTTTCCGGAGCCATTTTGCACGCTAGGACCGGGGTTTTGGGGGTGGGGGGTGGGGGGGGAGGATAATAACGTTCGTGTCACTGCCTTTGGCGATCATGCTCAAAACACAGGTATTTACAGCATTTTTGCTCTTTGTACAACATACTGCGCAAGGACGTGGAGCAAGACACGTTGTCACAAGCATCCATGTACAACATACTGCGCAAGGATGTGGAGCAAAACAACTTGTCACAAGCATCTACGCTTTTGGCGAGCATATACCCAAAACACTGGCATTTACAGGGCTTTTGCCTCTTTGTACAGCAGACTGTGCACGTACTGCTTTCCTTGCGTAAAGGCCCGCAGCAAAAGAAACATACACAACCTCCAGAAAACTACTTCGTGATTTCCGACACCCGCGGCTGCCTCATGCGCGCTTTTGTTGGCCCTGACAGTACTTTCGGCACTTCATGAGCCTAAACGCACCGTCTTTTGCACATTCAACCTTGCGTGGCAGCCGGAAACGCCGTAAGGGTGCTCAAGCCTGAAGATTACCTTCCGTTTGAAACCCATGAAAATCACCAGGCAAGTGTAGTAGTAGTCGTCGTCGTCGTCGTAGTAGTAGTAGTAGTGGTAGTAGTAGTAGTAGCAGCAGCAGTAGTAGTAGTAGCAGTAGTGGTAGTAGGAGGCCCCTACCAACTACATGTATCTTAGAAACACATCCATTTTTCTCGGTATTTGCGATACTCTCGTAATGTCCTACCACTTCTTGTTGTCTCAAAATTGCTTGTCGACTTTGCACTTTCGAGCTTCGGATTTCGGAAGGGTTCGGCAGGGAGTGCGGGGGCAATGACGACTTGCTTGCGCACGGGTGCATTTTGAACGGTATTCGCCGTACTTTCGTAATGTCCTACTACTTCTAGTTCCGTCAAACATCCAGTTGTTCATTTTTCAAACTCGAGCTGGCAGAGCCCTTCTTTGACCAGCGTAATTGCTAGCAGTAGCAGCAGCAGAAGTAGTAGTAGGAGGGGTGTTATGGTATCTTGGCCTTCAGAGTGTTCTGTAATCAAAATATTTTTCCATCAGAGTCTTGCAGCAAGCGCGGCAAAGCAATGCAGAAGCGATACAACCATGCCGGTATAGCGTCTTACAGGTAGGCACCAGTCAAGTCTGGAACTTTGCACACTCGTCCAATTGCATGCCGAGGTCCAGCCAAGCGCAGTGGCACAACCACGATTGTGCCTGGGCAGTCCAAGTTGGCGTGCTATGCTGCTATACAGAGAACACAACAGTTGCTATCAAAAGAAGCAAGAGTTCTGATGGAAGGTGTTGTATGGAATGACGGTTCTGTCGTGCCGAGGACACTTCAGAGTTCAACTTCGCTTCACCGACCATCTCGCTCGGATCTGAGACGACCGAGCTCAACAAGAAGTTCTTGCTGCTTTCATGTGCACAGAAAGCATGCAAAAGCCAAACTTGTCTTCCAGGTCCAAAGCTCACTTTTCTCGCTCGCTGTCTGGCTTCGGCGAGGCATCAGTCGGGCCTGAGACTTGGAAATCAGAGATGGTGGGGCACCAGGGGACACTTTGGGAGTGTTGACCTCTCTGAACGGAGACAAGGCCTTCCATTCGTTTCTTTCTGTCGCTCACGAATGGGCGAAAAGGCCAGTCTCATTTTGATCCAAGTCGGGTTGTTTGTGATTGAAGTTATTGAAGTTATACCAACAATTGACTCCCACTTGCCGCTTGCTTCGAGGCAGCGGAAGGTGCCTGACCGCATCGATGGGCTCGGTTGGATTGGGCTCGGAGGCCGAAGCTGACGTAATGCTATGAAAGTCGTGAGCTTCGGGCTGCCTGAGGGTAAGCCGGGTAAGTGTGTGCAGTCTGTGCAGTGGCAGGGTGAACGAACTCTTCCGCCCATGCGATGTCAGACCTCACCGGAGGCTTGACTGAAGCATCAGGCAAGAGTATTGGATTCCAGGCTGGACCTGTCGAAGCGAAGGAACCGAAGTTGATCCGAGATTGTTTGGCTTGCAGCCAAGGTGGTAAGGACCGAGACTGGCCTTTGAGACCCAAGCCGACAGGGGCAATTCACAGTGTTTGATTCCAGCCTTTCTTTTAGCCTGGCCGTGTACCTGTCCAGCACAGTGCGATGGCTAGTTGAGCCGGATCAGGTGATGCCATGGTTTCCTAAGGATACCATGGGCACCTTGCATTCGGGTAATTCGAGTTTTGCATCTATGGAGCTTATGGGATGCTTGACTTTCGTCTTTCAGCCTCAGGCCTCAAGTGTCTCAGCCCATGGAATTCCCACTTGCAGGAGTCAGAGTCACACCTTTCAAAGCGGTGATGAATTCGAGTGCCTGCCAAGCAGGACTTGCAGCGAAGTAGAGAAGCTCGGCATGTCCAGGGGGTCTGTGCGGTCCGACAAGAAGACTACTATCAGCCTTTCAAGCCTTCTTTCAACACCCGGAGCCACGACGACCATGGACTGACGGGCTGGAACATGTTCTCGTTTGAGGAGGAGTCGCGAAGTAGTGACGTGAGATGGCACTAAGGCACTAAGAGTACTGTGCAGAACTCTCGATTGGCTTGGCCGTGTGTGCCGCATGGATCTGAGCATTCGCGTGTTGATTGGAAATCTGGCCCCTGGCACGGATGGATAGGCACCGATGGCCATGCTACGAAAAGCCCGAAAGGACTTATACGGATTATAGATAGTTTTTTTGTAAGAAGCAGAAGACATGGTACCGCAGAGTAACCTGTATGGTAGCCCTCGCCAGACCAAGGCCAGGATGCCGAAATCGATGATGAGACTCTGCAGATCCATCAGGAAGACTCCTGGGCCTCCGGCTCGGCGATGACTCGGCGGCATGACACGAAAGAAATCAACATGTTTTCTGTTGACGTTGAGGTCATCATCGACAGTTTCTTCCAGGAGAAGGGACTGGTGTTCCAGCAGTTGGGGTGCGCTCTCGCAGTTCTGACGAGCCGCAACGGAGAAATTTTGCTTTGTCAGTTCGGCATACTCGGGATATAGTTTCTGGATGCTTGTTTGGTAGCCGCTCTTCATTCCCTCAATGTGTCGGCCAGTTGTGCCTTGTAAGAGGTCATTCGATCAGTTCATCGTCTATGAGATGCAGCGGGTTGTTGACGTCGGAGCCTTGAGACGGCGTGTTTCAACAAATCAGTGTATCGCCGCCAAATGTGTGGTCATCCGTCGACAGCACTGCAGGCTCAGACGCCAATCGAGTGCACCCCACAGGACCAGTATCACCCGGAGGAGAAAGTGGACGCTTGGTAGCATCCGCAACTTCCAGCGCAATCGGATTTCATGTCGGGTTAGGCAACACTTTGATTCAGACTCCCTGACTCAAATGTACTCGATTTGGGTCAGCTGTCGTCGGTGATTGGAAGACAGAGGGGCATGGTTCCGGTGTATCTTATAATGCGTTGCACATGCTCCAAGGTCGTAGCAACTTTCGTTCTAGACAATTTTCTGAGTAAACTGCCGCATGCCAGCTCAAGAGCATGTCCCTGTGTGGAATGGCCGCATGGCCGAATCCCTTCAAAGAAATTCCTCGAAGTGAGTGTTGGTTTTCAGGATCCTAGTCCTAGTTTTTCGAATGGAGGGCAAGCGATGCAAAGCTGACTGTCTTCAGCCTGCACACCTGTCTGAGGACAGCAAGAAAGTCTGGTGCTGAGCTCCTGCTGCAAGAGAGACCAGAAGTGGTACAACTAGAGCACGGAATGTCGGCTTTGCCGCAGACGTATGTGTGGAAGTTCGGGCAACTGCACTTCAACAAGTTCGGCTCTCAGTGTTTCGCAAGTTCGGGCACAGCGACCAGAGTTCAAGGACGGCTGCATGCAATCTTGTCCTTAGAGGAGAGCCAAGTCACTGGCATGCTCGCGGGTCTTGCGGAAAGCTTGACATTCAATCCGGACTGTCTCAGGCCCACTGTGGACGAGGTGGATGGCACAGCTCTCCAGCTCACACCGCGAGAGGCCAGGCCCACTTCGAGGAGAGAAGTTCGGGCGACAGGTAGGCCACACGATTATCAGCCGGAGAGGCGCGCTTGCGAAACCTCTCATATGCGGCACCGGTCTTCGTGGACATTGAGCGAAAGGTCTATCAAGTCAACGATGCGGCTTGCCCAGTCAATTTAATATCAGCTACGCGTGACAGGCTAGTCAGCAGCCACACTGCCCAGGACGGCGAGAGGACATTGACCCAAGAGGACACCTACTCCAAGGTCTTCCTCATGAGGATGCCCATCATGGTGAGGTCCATCGCCACAGATGAGCTCCAATGACTGTGACTGGTGTGAAAACCAATGTCGGAGCAGACGGCACTGGCATTGAGCTGAAAGATCTTGCATGTGTGCATGACATCTCAGGACTGAGTATTGTTGGCTCAAAGATGCCAATGACCGCGTCCTGTCCTGCAAGAATAATGCTTTCGTGCTTGTGCTTCGGGATGCTTAGCTGAACTGAGCACACCGTGAGGTCAACTTACCGAGTTTGGAGAATGCCAGACGCTGAGCTTGGAACAGCTCTGCTTTCTGATGGCTGAAGCTGGGCTCTGCTTTGGACTTTGGCGTCTTTGCCCCGGAGGCCCGCTTGACCAGGGCGGTTACTTCGTCATCAATGGTCCGGGCCCCGCTCAGAAGAAGGGCCTTCGAGAGGCGGAGCAACGGCAAGTTGCGCCAGAGCACCCAGGCTCCGAGAAGGTGTTGATCGCGTTGGAGCGAATGGCAAACAATTTTGCCGTGGTCTCAGCTTCAGGCAGCTGTGTTGTTGATGCCATCAGCGCAGGCCTGTGTAGAGTAGCTGAGGAGGCCGGGGTTCAGAGGGGGGAAGCCAAGGTTGGTTCAGGCTTCTAGCTCCGATTCCAGTTGAGATGGAGCATCATTCTTCCTCCGACATTGACGGTCGTTCTAGGCGGCATCGCATCTTGAGCACGATGTCATGAGGTCTATGCCTTCGCCAAGAAGCAACCTTCAAAGTACGCCCGGCCCTTGGACTGGGCTGTTTTACACACTGAGCCGAGCAGCAGAAGCCGAGCTTGCAGTGCCAAGGCTTGGGTCTGCGAAATCCGCTCTGCCCTTTTTGAAGGCTCCGTGCCGTCCTCAGATTGTCAGGGCTGCAGCTTGTAGGGCTTCCTCTGTGACTTCCCAGGCGGGCAACTCCGGCTTTGCTGTGAAGCTCTGCACCAACATGGGAAGCCCCGGCCAGGTTAACTCCACGAACTCTTCAAGCCTGAATCATCATAGCAGGTTCCAAGTCCATGTGCCGGGGCCAATTAGTTTGCACCTGTCCCACGCTCAGTGACTGGGATGCCTGCAAAGTGCCGTTTTCAAGCTTGCATCCTTTCCTGTATTGTGGAGTTCTTATTTTCCAGCATCTCGCCTGGCACGCAGGCCCATACATCCGAACAGAGATCCCACTGGTGATCATGTTCCGTGCTCTGGGCATTGTAGCTGACAGAGACATTCTAGAGCGCATCGTGTCGAGCCGGCAGGATTTGCTGGTCGCCATGAGCTGCAGTTTTCACTTTGTAGGCGTTTTGATGAGCTTCTTGTGGGGTCTTTACTCGAACTTCGCCAGGTTCGATATGAGCGACTTTGCAATGCTCAATGCTTGCAGGCTCTCTATCGAGGCATCGGCTCTTTTTCAGAGGGCTCATGCTGCTACACTTTCTTCTTCCTATGCCTCGAGAGGATGCGGCTCCAATATCTACGCAGGAAATGGCCGTGACCTCAGACTCGTACGAAGCAGGACGGCCGAAGAAAAGAATGCGGCTCGTTTGTCCTGTGCTCCAGGCGCTGGACTACATCGCAAAGTGCGCTGTGCACAGGGCTGCTTTCGTTTGCAATGCTGTGGACATTCAACCTGGGGTAGGCGTGGACCCACAATGGGCGCTACGCGCGACGTGCGCATCCAGCTGGAGCCTCGTCGAAGCGGATGCGATCCAGAATTGGAGCATGATACTGGTATGCGCGAGACGTGCGGACACCACAGTGGTGTTAGCAAGGCATGGTCCTGGTAAACCTGAGGTATGCCCGCGAGCTGCTCCAAAAGGAGCTGCTGCCGCATATTGGCAGGAGCTCCACTGACGTTCTGACTGACGCGGATCCTGTAATTCCAAGCTCGATGGGAAAGACACCGCGCAGGACGCGCAACATTGAAGGCCGCAAAGCCTATTTTATCGGGTACATGACCAACCGGCTTTTGCTGGGTGGGGCTCTCGGCATCTTTCTGTAGTTTCGGTCAGGTCTGAAAATGAAACCTTTGCCGGCTTCCGAGGTTTCTTAGGGCGCAACCCAGAGGATGATCGAGATCACTTTGGGAAGAAGCGGTGCCATGGATGTAAAAAAGTTGATGCCCGTGTTCTGATGTGTATGATTTCCCGCATTTAGCCGAGCTTTACGCGTCAAAAGCCGCTTAGGATTGACCTGGCGGGTGCGCTCGCTCGGGCCCTAGCTACGGGAGGCAAAGAGACGATGGTGCTTGTCTAGACTGTTTTCCAGGTGTCTGCTTCCTTCACCGGTCTTTGGCGAAAGAGTGTCAAGGTCTGCCTGTGTCATCTTGCCGTGCACGGGGCAGCCATCTTCATCAATTGATACAAGCCATGATTCAGGACCTGAGGAAGCTGCTGCAAAGACAACTAGACAAGGGCAAGATCCCGGACATAGTGGAGTGTGTGAAGCAGGCCAAGTTGGACCATGAGTTCACTTATGATTAGCGAGGACGCAAGGAACAAGCAGCAGCTGTCTCTACTGCTCCAGGCCTCCTGCCTCAGCCAGGGAATGAAATACCAGTTCGCGACTGGAAATTGGGGCCAGGACATCGAGCTTCTTTGCCTCAGTTGGTCGAGCATGGTGCTTTAGTCGAATGCCACGGAGCCACCAGATTGCAATGACTGCAAGGACAAGCAGGGGAAGCCAGCTCTAGTCTCAGAAATCTGACAAACTCGCTGCTGTGGCTTGCATTTCCTTGTGTGGCAGCACATGTTATGCAAGGTGCGAACCGGCATTTCTCAGGGATTGAATCGTCTGACCTTCATGGCAACTCTCTCCCATCTTAGGCGAGGACTTTCTGCACGTAGTCGTGTTTAAGTCAATCTTATCTTGGTCCTCCACAACGCTTTGCCGTGTCTTTCAGGCGGATGATCACGCCGTTGGCGCGATCAGGGAAGCTTGTCAAGCCCAGGCGCCAGAAGTGCATTGTTGTGGATGATGCGGCCTGCGGCCATGGCACGCGAGGCAGCTTCACAACACCCACTGGGGTCTCGTGTGCCCTGCAGAGACGCCGGAGGGACAGGCAGGTTCACGGTCTTGTGATGTCTTGTGGTGACACTGACATTCAGATTCTTTTGTAGGCAGTAGGCTTGGTGAAGAACATCTCGCTGATGCTCGGCACTCGGCCGGTATTCATACTGTGGCCTCGCTCAAGCTGTGACTGACAGCATGCCCACGAGGATTTGCAGGACCCTGTGCTTCCATAGGAGGTACTCTAGACTCTAGATTGACTTGCCGAGCCTGCACAACAGATGAATGCCTCCGAGGTGCTGGATTACGCTCGGGTCGGCCTGTGACCCAGTCATGTACCAGCTTGTGCTTCCGTGGAAATGGACTGATGACTGATGCTGTTTGTGTCTGTCTGCAGGCGCAGACCATTATCGAGGATTTTCTTGACGAGTGGGGGGCGAGCTGCCTTAGCACCGTATCGCAAGTTCCATGCATTCGCCACCTGGACGATACCCAACAGCGTGCACAAGGTCCTCGACTTGATGGAATGCACACCTGATCACATCAAGACCTACTCAAAGGCCACCAGTTCGCGAGTTGCGAGGCTGAGCTGCACCTTCATTTGGCGATCTCCGCTGCATTTGGACCAAACGGTAAGTCAATTGTACAGTATGCCGATGTTCTGCAGTCTTGCCAGCTAGCCACAGTTAGCCGTAACAGCATAACGGAGAAGATCGGAGAGCATAGTAGCCATGCCGTGCAATCGTGCGCAGGGCGGCAACTGCATGGTGCTTGTGGAAGTTTCCCGGCGGGGGTTACAGCCAAAGTAACAACATCCCCAAACGCACCCAAACGGTTCTGCGCAAATCCTGCTCTTTGGCATGGGTTTTCAAAGCAAGGGATCTTCCTGCTGGTTCTTTTTCGGAATGTCTGGAAACATGTCGCGATACCTGGATGGATTTAAGATTTCAAGATTCAGGGGTTTTGAGTCAAGGGTTTCGGCCTTGGGGTTTCAGTTTTCGGGTTCTTGCATGATTCACTATTTCTCTTTGCTCTCTCTCCTTGGCCCTCTTCCTCGTTCGCGCTCTCGCTTCTCTCTCGCTTGCTCTCTTTCTCCCTTTCTCTATCTTTCTCTCCGTCTATCTCTCTCTCCATCTCTCTCGCTCTCTGTCTCTCTCGCTCTCTCTCTCTCTCTCTCTCTCTCTCGCTTTTGAGGAGCCTCAGAAACTAGCCAGTCGGCAACAATCCGACATAACCCGTCGATTATGGGCAGCGCTCGGAGGTGCAGCATGCCCTTGCTGTCGAGGTGTTTCCATTGTGCTTCGCTGCAGCGCTGATTGTCGCGGTATGGTTGATTTCATGCTGGATGTTCTGGCACGAGCGCTGCCTCTTTCGCTTGCCTGGGCCTTCAAAGGCTGTGAGTTTTCTCATTGAGCTAAATCTTCGGAATCAGGATGTCGTCGGGAGCAAGTCGCGAACTCTGCGTGTGCTGTTGGAGGCCTTGCAAAAGCGTCGCAAAGATCTTGGAAGTCTCTTCCTGGCGAACCAGCTGGAGGTGGATGACCCGGCCCCATGCTGCCTGGCTGAGTCAAAGTCAGTAGCGACGAACAGTGAGCACGATGCCGCGAGCCTCTTTTTTCATCACTAGTTCAGTTTTCATCAATTTTCTAATTGTCATTTGTCGATGTTTCTGGTGTAAAGAGGAGTTCTATGAACTCAGTACTCAAGGGATCGATGGAGCCAAGGTTGCGTCTGCCTCATGGAATTTGAGTCAAGTGATGTTGTAAGGCAGCTGCCTTGCTCCCACATTTTCCATAGGCGCTGCATAAGTGCCTGGCTGCAGCACAACATGGAATGCCCAATGTGCCGCAACGCCTTGGCTTGAGCCGACGCGAGGCGAACGTCAGATGCTTGCGGATACTTTCTTTCCCTGGGTCCTGCAAACTGATGCAGCATCTCGCAGATGGACAATCTGCGGAAGTGCCGTCGCACACTCACGGTTTCCAGTGCGACACGACGCTCTTTCGATTCAGGGCGCCATCCTCACATTTTAGGCTATTCCGCGAAACCCAACCTATAGAGTCTGCGTTCAAGCTGTTTCGCTGTCAAAGTCGCAGCTTTGTGGATGTTTTACCATGACGCCGCTTTTGGCACGACCCCGTTCGTCAGCCACTTGTTCCTGCTGTCACACGGGCTAGAGCGCTATCTCCAAGCTCGAGAAGCAAAATGGCCGACAGCTGTATTAGGATGGATGGGTTGCCAGGAAGGCATGCGCCCGTGCCAAAGCAACACATCCAGCAATCCAGCAGCTAAACAGCCGAACTTGCCTGACTTGTGTGCAAATTCCTACGAGAATGACAAGTCTTGGAATTTTTAGGGGGTGGGCTTTTCTCAGAGACTTCTCGCAGTCGCTTCGCCGGTCAGGTGTTCCTGAACGGGATATGGCGCCTTATCCGTATTTGGGCATTCCCGTCAATGGCTGTGTCACTGCAGCCATGCGTGTTGACAGCTGCGACAATTGTAAGGGTGGGCATGCACAAGAACCCTGCGGAGTTGAGGACGCCTATGCAAAACATAAAGCCGATTATCCAATAAACTGTGATGCTGTAAAACCGCAGACGCTACCCGGGGTTTGCATACTCAAGCCTGTCTGCAGGAACACACTTCAGAGCCTGCGCCGTAGAAAAGATGTGGACTCGGAGGCATTGTGCGAAGCCCATTGAGCAGTAGAACTGAGTTGGCTTGGATTTCTGGCTTGGCTCTTTGACGTCTCGATGTTTTATCTCACAGTGGTTACACATATGTGCCAGGTGTCCATCCAGCAGGACTTGAAGAACAACGAGATCCGCATCTCCTCGGATTGTGGAAGGTGGACTCGAGCAGTCTTGGTGTCGACTGCGCAGCAGCAGTTGGATGCCGATCTCAGCCACAGGTGTTCACGGCCTCTGTACATCGTGGACTACGAGCGACAAAAGGTCTTGATCAATAGAACTCATGCGGCTCGGCAGAAGGCCATCTACACTACGCACGCTTTCTGGTGTCAGTCCCGACTTTGTTTGATGATTGGTTCATCGGCTGAAGGTGTGCAGCTTAACCTGAGGTCGACAAGGTCAAAAGTGGGGAGTGGGAGTGGGGGACTCTCATGCGCTGGGGCCTTGGCTGTACGAAGCTTGTGCTCGGAGGCTAACGGCTGAGAGCTTGGCGTCTCCCAGGTGAGGGGCTCATCGAGTACCTAGATGCCGAAGAAGAGGAGTGCTCAATGATCGCGATGTTCATACACGATCTCGTGCGCTTGCTCAGACGCCAGAAGATGTGCGAGCTTTGAACACGGTTGCAAGCTAAGGTCAAGACCAGGGCCTATTGTAAGTCCGCCCGCCTTGTTGGCAAGCATGCTCGGACAGCGTCCGTCACTTGTTGTTTGTCACACGTGGCATCTTGTGACAGGACGTACACCCATGCAGAGATTCATCCGGCCATGATCTTCGGGATCTGTGCCAGTTGCCTAGAGGATCTGGTTGCATCAATGCTGCGTCGATCTAAACAACATGTCAGAACAGTCCTCAGCCCAAGCCCGGTGTCTTCCATGATCGAAGTCGCCGGTCGCCTCGTCGAAAGGAACTTCCAACACTCGTAGGAGTTCTTCTAGTTGCAGGATGTTTTTGCGGATGCAGGGACGCTGCCGTCGAAATCGGCCTACGAAATGAAGTGGATTCGTCAAACGGCCCCTTGAACGTGCATGTCGAAAGCCCTGCAGTGCTGGACCGCTGGGCATGTGCCTGCGCCAGTGCTAAATTTAGTGCCACATCCCTTACATACCGGTACCTGCTTGCTCGGTGCTTTCCCATGTTATACAGGTACAGACACATAGATATCCGCGCACACACACAGAGTCACGCACATGTGACGGACAGAAAGCCAGACAGACAGCAGCGGACAAAGCTTGTTCTCGGTGCTGATGATGTGCCGGCGGGCAATGGCCCCGAACACCGACCATGTTTGTCCTCCAAGTGCGAAGATGATGCTACAGGGTTGCTGTCGCATGGGTGCAACAGCTTTCAGGCATCCATCATCCCATTCCCGGACCACAACATGAGTCCGAGGCGCGCTCGAAGAAATCGCCAACCTTCAGACTCGTTTGAGGCTATGCACCCGCCCGCCAGGAATGTTTTCCAATCTGCGATGGGCAAGCAGGCAATCGGTGTCTTTGGCACGAACTTCTACGCCAGAATGGATACGCCAAGCGCTCAGGACGCCCAGGGCACTGATGCAACTGATTGGCAAGTACTGTCCCGAAAGTCCTTGCCAACCCAGGTTTGCCTGTGTCATGTGCTACCCCATGAAGCCGTTCGTCACAGCCCCACGTTGTGATTGTCTGAGCGAGCTTGCCTGCGACGCACCAGCCGCAGGTGGGAACGCGATCCATGAACTACCTGCGCTTCCGAGAGATGCCAGCGGGTGCATCGAGCCCAGAATATCCCAGAGACGCTGAGCGCGTTGCACGTCCATGCTCGAATTTAAAGTTTAAAGTTGGCTTCATGAGGTGAACACTATCGTCATGATTATGTGCTACACAGGCAAGATGGCTGCTGCAAAGTCTATCAAAAAATGCTAAGACAGTGCACTGGAGCTCAAGCCAGGCTACAACCAGGAAGATTCCCTGATGCTGAGCTAGACACTTGGACGTTCCTTGCCAGTTGATGCCGCAGTTTCATGTGCGGTCTCTTGATTGACTGAGGCCAATCTGCAGTGGACCGTGGTTTCATGAGAGCAGTCTCATACCGGTGTTACGCTGCAGAGGAGCATCCGGCGTGGCCAATCTCGTGTCGTACTTCCCTTTTTAGTTCGAAGTGCCAAGCAGGGGTGAAAGCTAGTGGTTTACGTTGGTCCCACTGCATTCATGACACCACGGTGTACAACATGGCGAGCCGGAATACGGTGGGTATGGGTCAGGGTGTCGCAAAGGTCTTCCTGCAGGATCCTGCAGGTCTCACCTTATTGAACCGTGAGTGTTGTCGCTGCGTGAATTCACCAGGAGAAATGGGAAGGGAAGAAACCGGTTGACGAGCTGCTCGGCTGGATTACAGCGGGGAGCCCATCGCGGCAATGCGGAGCTGCGTCTCGTACGAGGTTCGGCCGCCCGCAGGAACTTCGTACCCTCGGCATCAAGAATGGCTGCTGACTCAGCTCCGCAGCTGGGGGCAATGTTTTTTTTGACTACTGAGGCCAAACTGCAACTTCTAACCTGAAGAGTTCAGATTAGTTGGGCCCCTATAAGTGACAGTGGATATGCCTGTTTGAAGGTGACTACAGCAAGCTGGATGCTGATGGTCTTGCCCAACCGGCAACCCGAATTCTCGGTGCTTTGCCTAAAATTACATGAGTAGCCCGTCGGACTATCGCGAGCAACAGTCGACGCAGCGTCGTGCGCATCTGTTGACGAGCGCTCCCAGAAGTGGCAACGCCTCCTGCACTTCTGCACGGCCAGACGGCCTCCTGATGTAAGCACATCATAGGACCGCCAGCCAGCGCCGGCCCTGCCTCCGGTGCCTTGCTGCAGGTGATGATGTGCTAATTGGTCGAACATCCGTGTTGCCACCCGACATGATCCGTGGCTTTGGTGGCATCTCAAGCTGTTCAGATAAAACCTTTTAATACAAGAAGTGGTCGACTCGACCATGGACTGCTTGCCTGCCAAGGGGACGATGTGGGGCCCAAGAAGTTCGACAGAAAGGACCTGTACTCGACAAGACTGCTTTGGCATCTCCAGCTGCGAGCCTTGAAGGACAGCTCAATTCTTTGCCGAACGGCAGAGAGTGGCATTGTGGACCAGGTCATGGTCAGCCTGAACAAGGATGGGTACGCCGCCTGTGTCGCTGCAGAAAACTTCAGCTGTGCGGCGTTCCTCTGACTTGAGATGCCCCTTGCACATTGGGCAAATCTGCTGAGGTACAAGTTCACGAAAGTTCGCCTCAGGACTCTAAAAATTCCGGAGGCCCGGTGTGGGTTTGTCACAGCCTGGTGCAGCCTGGATTCGCGAGACGGAACCTGACCGGACGGAATCAGGGCATAGTCGTTCAATCCGGTTGCAGGTCGGAGACAAGTTTGCGTCCCGCCACGGTCAGAAAGGAACGTGTCATGCTTGCAAGCAGGTAGAATAGGTAGAATGCGCATATTGGAACCGACAGATTGTGCAATCGCAACAGCTCATTAGAAGCATGCCCTCTTTTGTTAGTTGCGCAAAAAGATGACATATTCAGTGACTTAGTGCAGCTGTGGCAAGATTTCTGGCAATGGGTTTTCCTACCCAAACCCAGCAGAGTGACTCTTGATTCCTGTGCTGAGGCTGGGCATCATGTACCGTCAAGAGGACTTGCCGTTCACACACTTCGGGATCACGCCTGACATTGTGTTGCTGCCATGTTTATGAAGATATTGATTGATTATAGAAGCATGTAGGAGCAGTTAACAATAACAACAATTCGTAGTAGAATTGGCGGTCGTTTGGGTAGTGGCCGTCGTCGTCGCCGTAGTAGCAGTAGTAGTAGTAGTAGTAGCAGTAGTTAGTAGAGTGGGTAGTCGTAGCAGGTCGTAGTGGTAAGGGTAGTGGCAGTGGTAGCAGTACTTCGTAATGGCGGAAGTGGGAGCAGCAGCAGGCGAGGAGCAGTAGTAATTAGTTGTCGTCGTAGTAGTAGAAGTAGTAGCAGCAACAGCAGCAGGAGCAGTACTGTAGGCAGTCGCAGTGGTGGTTGTAGTGGCAGTGGTAGCAGAAGTAGTAGCAGTAGTAGCAATAGCAGTAGCAGTAGCAGTAGCAGCAGTAGCAGCAGTAGTAGTAGCAGTAGTAGTAGTAGTAGGCGGCCCCCCCCCCCCCTACCAACCACCCCCTTTTACATGCGTTGCTTGGGGTGGGGGGGGGGCTGATAACGTACAGGCAGCCTCGAACAGTCGCCAGCGAATATCCACCGCTTGTGCGGGAACGTCGTCTCGCTCAAGCCTCCACGCCAACCATTGACTGCTAGCTCCACCAAACCTTGCAGGGACACGCGCCAAGCAATGACTGCCAAAAAACCTGCGAGACACGTGCAGTCGCAATCTGCATGACTGCATGCCTCTCTGTTCTGTTCAAGTCGTGATGATGTTCGTTGTTGATGATGATGATGACGAAGATTTAACATACCAGATGAACTACTTTAAAGACCGAGTAAAACAAGCCTTCCCCCACCCAATTTCGAGTTTTCGCTGAAAGCCCTCGCAAAGGCAAACAGACAACGTAGAAAAGTCCAGAGGTAGGCTTGGCAACTTTATAAGATGGCGGACATCCCGAAAGTACTGCAAATACCGAGTAAAATGGCTCTTGCGGAGATGTTGTTCGAGGTGTCCGCGAAACAATCTCGACTTCATTCTTCCCGCACACCCACGCACCCCCACAACAAAAAAATCCACAATCGGATGCTGGAGTTTCAAAACTCGCAGGTGAAATTTCTAGCTTCATAAGATGTTCCTGCATGACGAAAGTGCTGTAAATACCGAGTAAAACGGATGTGGGTTACAAGAGTATGTAAAAGAGGTGGTTGGTAGGGGGGGGGTGGCTAGTAGTAGTAGTAGTAGTAGTAGTAGTAGTAGTAGTAGTAGTAGTAGTAGTAGTAGTAGTAGTAGTAGTAGTAGTAGTAGTAGTAGTAGTAGTAGTAGTAGTAGTAGTAGTAGTAGTAGTAGTAGTAGCAGGAGTAGTAGTAGTAGTAGTAGTAGTAGGAGTTGCAGTAGTAGTAGTAGTCGTCGTCGTCGTCGTAGCGGTAGTCGTAGTCATACAGTGAAGCGTGGAAGTCAGAACCGGGCAGTGTTTTCGAGACCAGATCTTCGGGAGCAAAAGATGGAAGACATTACCTTTCGTTCACGGCGGGGAAGCGGACGAACAATATTCAACACAGATCTAAGCCACCTGCGTGACCCTGCTTGACAATGCCCGCACTCGGCTACTGGGAACCATCAGCAGATGAGCTGTTGTAGTAAATGGGTGTGCAACCGTGGAACCTCGGTAAACCAGAACCGCAACGACTGTCCCAGCTAGGGCCTGTCGGAAAACAGTGTTAAAGCCCGTTAAGAAGGTCAAACTGACCCACAAAAATCCTTCCACAAGGTTCATCGGAGCCACAAACAACTCTTTGGGCAGGTGTATTAAGAGCAACCCCAAAAAAACCTTTCAGAGGCACCATCAGGCACCAGAAACCTTTGAAAAAGCTGTATCCCTAGGCCCGCGAAGCGTTTACGAGCGGAGGGTTAAGCAATTCGGAGCCCGGCCTGGCATACATTGTACATCCAAACATCGAACGTCTCGGCGTCCAAATTGGGGATTAAGAAGCACGTTCGGAGCAACGCCTGGCGTACACTGCTACTTGCAGTCATAGTAGCAGTAGTAGCAGTAGTAGTAGTAGTAGTAGCAGTAGCAGTAGCAGTAGCAGTAGCGGTAGGAGTAGGAGTAGGAGTAGGAGTAGTAGGAGTAGTAGTAGTAGTAGTAGCAGGAGTAGTAGTAGTAGTAGTAGTAGTAGAGTAATTAGTAGCACTAGTCGTAGCCATAGTCATAGTCGTCGCCGTAGTAGTAGTAGTAGCAGTAGTAGTAGTCATCGTTGTCGTGGTCGGTCGTAGTAGCAGTAGCAGTAATACGAATAGTAATGTTAACGCCTTGTCAGCGGCAGGGCGAGGGGGCAGTGGATGTCGCACACCATGTCTAGGCTGGCCTGTCAACCCTAATCTTGAAACGGTCGAGTGTTGAGCGTGCAATCGCAATCTCTTTGCCGTGCTGCTTTTCTGGCGAGTGCACGACATCGTGACTGTCCGGGGGCTGTTGGACTGCAGGAGGAGGATGAGGTGAAGGGTACTAGAGGTAACCCCCAAGAGGCCTGGGCCTGTGGCCTAGGCGGATATTGGCGGATATTAGTAGTAGAGGAGTAGTAGCAGCAGTAGCAGCAGTAGTAACAATCGCAGTAGCAGCAGTAACAGTAGCAGTAGCAGTAGTAGCAGTAGTAGTAGCAGTAGTACTGGCAGTGGCAGTAGCAGTAGCAGTAGCAGCAGTAGTAGTACTAGCAGGTGCTGATATAAATTCCGGGCATCCTGCTAGCCAGCCAGTCTTTGCCAGAGACAGCGCTTCGTGCAACATCTTCTAGCTGTGCCAGCAAATTTCCACGGAAGATTTCATCCTAGCGCGCCATTGCAAAGGATGTCCCATACACATTTATCTTGGCAGATCATGAACCCGCACGCCATTCCATCTCGGATGACAATTGGCCACTTGGTCGAGCAGCTCACCGGAAAGGCGAGAGCCGCTGGCATGAACCACGAATGAACAACCCGCCTTTGCCGAATCAAGTGGGCGAAGGAACGGATGGGTAGCGCAGATTGACTTTGAGATATCGTAATCACCGAACAGCTTCATATAAAACATGCAAATTATGGAAGTTCCGGTGGGGCAGGTTGGTGCTTTGGTTGGCTGCCAAGGGGATGCCGCGGCCTTCTAACATTTTCTGACTTTGGCCACGGCCGATCCTTTCCGAATTGAGGCCACCCCCTTCACCCGAGTGACGGTGAAGGACATCTCGAGCAGGCACGTGATGCAATGACGCCCAAATGCGTCCATGTATCAAATGCTTCCTGAGTTGTCCCGCGACGTCAGCAATCACCAAGAGTCATAAGTGCGTCTTGCGCACTTCGCAAGACCAAGCTGAGGCTGCATGACATGGGCTTCCAGCGCTTCGGAAACGAAAAGGTCTGGAATGGACACACTGGACGTCCACTCACAAACAAGATCTTCGTCGGGCCTGTGTGCCCCCGATTGTGTCAACAGCGTACTGAAGTTGAGGAAAGTTGTCGTTGTCAGCGACGAAACATGTACAGACATAAGGACTGAGGTGAGGAAGTGCTGGGGGTGGGATATGAGCTGCCAGGTCAGCGACATTTAGAGCTTGCATATCTGATGTGCGCCCTTCACAGGTACTACCAGCGCCTGAAGCACATGGTGAGCGACAAGGTCCAATCGAGATCCAGAGGGCCTGCCATAGCCCTAGCTTTACGATGCGATGCTTCGCTTGTCTGGACAGTGCCAACTTCTATTTGTCTTCGCGGAGTTGCTTTCTATGATGAATTTCCTGCACCCCACCTTCTTAGTTGTTGTCCTGCTGCACTGGCCTGGCTTGGTTTCTCTGCTATAGTCAGGTCCAAACATTGGTGAGACAGCCAACAGAAGGCCGGGGCAGGACTTAGACCAAAACGGCTGAGTTGCAGATCCCGGCAACCGCAGGCCGTGCCAAAGAAGGCGGCCTGCGATTTGGAGAGATGGACACTGCGCTGAGAGTTCGTATTGATTGGCAGACTGTGAACCATTGAGACAAAGTCCTGGTGACTGCTGAGGAGCGTGATTGCATCATCTCCCACGGAGCAGCCAAATTCCTGAAGGACAGCAACTTGCACTGACATTTGAAGGCATTTTACAGCCCCCTGCAGGAAAGGCTTTTCGATGTCTCTGATGCGCACAGAGTGCATGTGTGCGACAAGCACGGCACCTGGCTTTTATCTTGTCAGCTGCGAAGCTGCCCGAAACCTCTAAAATCTAAAGTGTTGAATTTTTCTGTTGAAAGCCTGAGTCTCAGGTGTGGTCTGTTTGCCATCGCACGGTTAAGCAAAGACACCTACGAGTGCAAGCTCTGCAAGGACTGGTGTGACATCGTCGGTTTTCTAGGGACTGACTTTCAGATTGCCACAATTTCACAAGCTGGAATTCGAACTGCCGAGGATGCGGCAAGAGTGTCTCAGATTTGCCTCCCGTGCGCTGGGCACACTTGGTTCCCTGTGGATGTGCATCAGGTTCACACAGAGAGAGAGAGAGACCGGCTTCTACATATTATATATATATATACATACATATACAACATAGATGCACATATACGTACATGCATGCATGCATGCATGTAGTGATTTATGCACGTACGTACGTGTGTATATATGGTCGGATAGTCCACTGTTGGACATTCCGAGGTACGCGTGCAAGCTCATGATCCAAGAGCTCATGACCATGAACATCCTGCCACGCCTGACCTTGGTCGCCGCTGCCTCAGAAACGATCCGGTTGTCCAGGTCGCGAGATTCATGATGGGACAAAGGCAAAACTAGGAAGATTGACAGCAATAGATAGGAGTATTTTGCACTAGGTAGTGGACTCAGCCGTGGTGGATAATCAGTCTGGTACTGGTCGGAACGCTTCGGTCGCAGGGCAATAGGCACCGCCACCGCCACTACCCCGCCACCCCTGCCACCCCCACCCCCACCGTGGTAGTGGTGGTGGTGGTAGTGGTAGTGGTAGGGGTAGTAGTAGTAGTAGTAGTAGTAGTAGTAGCAGTAGCAGCAGCAGTAGCAGTAGGAGTAGTAGTAGTAGTAGTAGCAGTAGCAGTAGCAGTAGCAGCAGTAGTAGTAGTAGTAGTAGTAGCAGCAGCAGCAGTAGGCAGTTTCAGTGGCAGTGGCAGTGGCAGTGGCAGCAGCAGTAGGAGTAGGAGTAGGAGTAGGAGTAGTAGGAGTAGTAGTAGTAGTAGTAGTAGTAGTAGTTGTAGTAGTAGTAGTAGTTGTTGTTGTTGTGGCAGTGGCAGTGGCAGTAACACGAGCACAAGCAGGAGCAGTAATTTGTAGCAGCAGCAGCGGCAGCAGCAGCAAAGGCATCAGCAGCAGCAGCAAAGAGCAGCGTACAGGCAGTAGTGGCAATCATCTTAGGCAGCTTGGCAGCCTGAAAGTGGCCATATCGGTCATGTTCAGGTGCAGTGATCCGCCGCCCACGAGTCAGTCGGTCGAGTTGCAGCGTGACTTCCCTGGGCTTCGGCACGGTTCTTGTCTGAAGATGTGCAGCTACCAGACATTGCTGTTTCGGTAGTCCGGAAGCCCAGGTAGCTCAAGATCTTTAGATGCCTCGAACTAAATTATTTGTGTTTGAGGCAAGAAAGTCGGGCTGCCTTGCTACGGGCCCCGCGCGTTTATGGCAAAACGGCAAGCTATAAGCTGTGAGTTAGGACCTTTCAATCGCAAGCTGTGTTTTGTGATGCAGATGTGAGGTGCCTCGGGGCAGTGTCTGAGCTCAATGCCTGAATCCTGTTCTGTCTGCACTTATGATCCCAGCCTGGCAAGCTGTCCGCCGTCCGCCCGCGAAAGATGGCATGTGAACAAGCAAAGCTGTTGCAGCCCGAATGCACACGCAAGGATCTAGATCTTCCGCAACGGTAGAAGACCCTCCATGGAACATGCTGCCTCAATGCAGCAAGTCATACTCATGACAATGCCCTGAAACATCAAGTGGCTGCCCCAGCTACCCCCTGGACTCTTGGAAGCAAGTCTTGGCATGATGCCACGGCAGGGGCGGGGAATGCATCCTAAATTTTCTGTTCGGCTGTCCGACACCCAGGAGTTGGAGGCATGGTGAACGTCCTTTGGGGTCTACCGCTCAGCCTCTTGCGTCCCAGTTTTGATGGATCTTCATGTGTTTCTTTTGGCGCATCTGTGATATGACATACTTTACAGATACTTGGGGCTGGGGGCTTTATCGAAAACTCTTGCTTCAGGCACTCCAAATTAGAGGCTCTTGGCCTATCTGTGAGAGCCATCGCCTGAGGTATCGGTGCAATGACACTGGATGGGCAGTGCACCGCAGCAGAGGCTGAGAGATGCTCACATAATTTGTAGACGATCGTTTTGAGCATCGGCGTCGGTACGAGAAACAGGTACGTGGAATAAGTCGCTTAGTGCAACATGCAAGATGGCACACCCACGCGTGTAGGTTTCTGATATTTTCGTGTGCATAGTCTGCAACTCTATGCGTATTTCTTAACTTATTCAGGTACTCTCAATGCGTAGCTGTAAAGAAGTCGCCCAGACGTAGTATAGAGACTTGCATAAAAAGATAGATCGACAGATAGATAGACAGACAGATACATAGAGCGATAGATACCTCGGTGCATCCGCGTAATGCGTACGGACACAGTTCTCCTCTTCCGTCGTGTCCAGGTCCTTGCGAAGTTCAGAGAAGCAATGAAGCTCGAGGACTGGTCAGAGGCAACGTGGAGGAACCTCTTCTTGGCTCTTGGTCCTGAGTTCTGCGGTCTTTGTTTTAGCTTGTTATGGATGTTGTCTACCACTTTGTCGTTCATCCTTAGTTGCACATCATCATTGGTTTGGGCAGCAAGACGGTGTCATGGCGACCCGACCCGCTATCCTCATGCAGGTATACATGTGTGTACTTACCATTGGGCCCATGTGGCTTTTGGCATATGGAACCCTGTATTCTTTCCAGTCCGAACGAAGAAATGCTGTGCCAGGCCAGCTTCAAGCAGACCGTTGACCTTTACCGCTTGGTGTGCCGTGTGACATGAACGCTCTTGTTCGTAACTACTTTGATCTCTCCTTTGCTATGAGGTACCCGTGACTGATCACGTCAGTGGACTGGCAGATCAGGCGATGTGGTGTGTGTGTGTGTGTGTGCGTGTGTGGGGAATTGCATGGCACCTGCTTCCCGCTGCATGGCACCAATCTCAAGGAGCAGCTTCTGGTGCACATACCTGGCTCGCGCATTACCTGCGAGGCCATAGAGGACTGCAAACCTTGTTAAGGAATATGTCTATCATATTCGAAGGTCTGACTTGATCGTAAACTTGCGCTGCAGTGCCGAAACTGTGAAGCGAAATTTCGAAGCTGGAGGACGTGTATCGGCAGCTGGAAGAAGCGGAGCTCCGCTACGAGCGGACTCGTGAGTTCATCCCTCGGTCTGGCAAGTTTCCAGAGAGCACCGATCTTCAGATCTGTTCAGGCTCATAGCGTTTTGTGGCTCACAGTCTCAAGGATAAGGATGAAGGCTAGGTGCCACAAATTGAACGTCGTTGATCGTTGCACAGGACCTGTGTGTTAAATAGAGGAAGAAGTCGTGATATGCAGCCGCAATCAGGATAATGGCATCTGCCCGTCATTGCCGCACTTAGAATGGCAAGTGGACGACTGTAGTAGGAGGGCAGCATCAGCAGTGGCGATGTTAGGGATGCTAGTAGTCGTCCTCATCACGGAAATCGTCGTCCTGTTTGTAGTAAGTACACAGTAGACGTAGTAGCGAGGAGGTGTCCCCGCCACCGCCCCACTCCACCGCCACCGCGGCCACGGCCACGACCCCTGCCATCGCCACCGCCACCGCTACCACCACGATCAGCACCACCACCACCGCCACCACCAGCACCACCACCACCACGACAACCACCACCACCGCCACCACCAACACCACCACCAAAAGCACCACCACCATCACCGCTGCGAACACATCGCCACGGCCACAGGTGCAGTCAGCCGCCACCACCAACACCTCCGTCAAAGAGTGCATGACAAGAAGACACGTGATTGGCAGCAACGTCGGCCTTAAACATCTGGAGCCTCCCACTCAGTCGTTTGCAGGGCCGTTGCAGCGCTGGGAGAGGCCATGGAGTCGCAGGAGGCATCCTCGGCATGCGGTCTCATGTGGTTTTGGATTGAACAACAGTGATACGGGTATGACATTATCAAAGCTTGTCTAGTCTATCAAACCCTGTGTGTTGTTTAGTAGCCGTCTATAGTGCATGTTTGTTTGTTCCGGTGTATTACTACTTTCACAACTACTACTAAGACTACTATTCCTCCTACTATCACTACTGTTGGTATTAGTACTATGATTATCACTACTGCTACTACTACCACGGGTACTACCCCTAGTACTAGCACTGGCACTCGTGCTCGTGCTCGTGCTACTACTACTACTACTACTACTACTACTACTACTAACTACTACTACTACTACTACTACTACTACTACTCCTCCCACTGCCACTCCTACTCGTACTCCTACTCGTACTCCTACTCCAACTCCTAGTACTACTACTACTACTCCTACTACTACTACTACTACTGCTACTACCGCTACCGCTACCGCTACCGCTACCGCTACCGCTACCGCTACCGCTACCGCTACCGCTACCGCTACCGCTACCGCTACCGCTACCGCTACTGCTACTGCTACTGCTACTGCTACTGCTACTGCTCCTGCTGCTGCTACTACTACTGCTACTATGACTACTACTACTACTACTACTACTACTACTACTACGACTACGACTACGACTACGACTATACTACTTCTACTACTACTACTACTACTACTAGTACTACTACTACTACCACCACCACCACCACCACCACGACTACTGCTACTACTACTACTACTACTACCACTGCTCCTACTCCTATCTTCTGTATTACTACTACTGCCGTACTACCGCACGACGACTGTACAACGATTCTAGCTGTACTGGCACTGTGCTGTTACTGTGCCGCTACTCTGTTACTCTGCCACGTTACTGCTACCGGACGGCCTCCCGAAGACCTTTGCAGAGCCAGGACGCACCACCCCACACACCCCTATGAAGAGTTTAACTTTCTCCACAGCACCACACCACTCCAAAGAGCCTATCTCCCATAGAACCTCTGAAGAGCATCTCAGAATCTCCTTCTACGGCCCCGGCACACACCACCCCCGATCCTGGAGGTCCCCGGACTGCACTGTTCAGGCCCACATACAAAACACAGTGCTGCAATAATCATAGTTGCAAGCATTCGTCGCTGTCGTCTTTTAGGACTTTAGTTGCAAGATGTTGCAAGAAGGTCCTTGTTGCTCGATGTCGATCTATGCAGAGTGCCTGAGGCGCCTGCATCAGTAGAGAGCGGAAGGGCCCTTGCCTCAGCCAACTCAGCCAAAGCTCCCACCATTTCAAGCGACATGCTTTATTAAAGTTGCAGTCGCTGCAGCTGCTTGGCAAGGTCAAGGATGATCTTCATCTCCGGCAGGAGAACGCTAACCTCAGGCCGAAGCTTATGAGCAAACTGACTCTGTCGGGGAAGGACCTCGGCATGGTCAATACTGGTAACACTTTCCAGATACTATGCGGAATGTTTGCAGATCCCCCGTGAGACCTCAACACCTCTTTGTGCGCTCATCTTGCACCCGGCAGAGCTGCACTTGTTCTCTCAGCCTGGCTCTTTGCGCAGTCTGCCAGGAAGCAGCTTGAGGTTCTCGAGTACGGGCGGCGCATGAGTGAGCAGCGAGCACAACTCAGCGAGGCAGCGGGACCTTCTTTCCGGTGCTTGAGGCCTAGATTGCCGTGCACGCAGGGGTGTATATGTGTGTGTGCGTGTGTATGCCCTGCCCTGCCCTGCCCTGCCCTGCCCTGCACTGCACTGCACTGCACTGCATGTATGCATGTTTGTTTGTATGCATGCATGCATGGATGCATGGATGTATGTAAACACTTGGTTATGTACGTATATACATATATATATCTATATATATATATCATATATATATATATACGTATGTATGTTTGCATGTGCATGCAGAGGGGGGCGGGGTTCTGTGCCTTGTTTTTGCTTCTTTTTGTGGGTGTCGGTGGGGGTCGGGGGTGGGTGGGTAACATAGGATTGAGAATCTACTCATTTTCTGTGAATTTCACGATGACATTGTATTTGGGATTGTTGGGAGATTCCTCTTTCCTTGGACGGGTGCGCACAGTTTCTTTCATCCCCACGAGTGCCATGCCCCTATGCTGTACAATGCCAGGGTTGGCATCGTGATTGTTGATAGACCCTCGTCTTTGTGCATCGATTTCGCCGCAGGTGTTTGCAAATGTTTCAGGAGCGTCTGTCTGACTCCATGTGCTGGTACGACCAGCTCTAGTGTTATCATCATTCTCATCAGTCATGCGTCTCTGCGTCACCATCATCAGCATCATCATGGTCATTATCACAGCCGAGCCAGCTGGCAGCATCATGCCATGTTCAATCCGCTCTAGTTGCTCGCAAGCTCGCCGTTAGTGCCACACTACCAAAAATCTTTGATGGCCAGCCCATCCTCAGCAGTTGAAAATGCAGGGATGCGAGATTCCACCATGAATCATGGTTGACTTCCTGAATCTTCATTTCACCCACAGCCCTCCAGAAGGTCATGAAAGCCCTGAAGAAGCTCGGCGGGGGATAGCACCACAAAAAGCTTAAGCGGCTGTTGAGGAGCCCCTCGAGAATGTGTAGACCCTTCCAAAGTTCAATTGAGTCCTTCACGAGTCGAGCCTTCCAGAGAGGCCCATCGAAAGTTCAAAACGACATTCTCGTACACGTGGCACACGGTTGCAGCATTTCATTTCTTTGTAATTGAGAGGTTGAGTCACTGGATTCTGCAACCGTGCGGCTTGTCGTTTCCAAAGAGGCGTCACGAAACTGCTGCCTAGGTTAGGTCCATTCCGGGAACAGACTTGCACGTAAGCAAGCAAGCAAGTAGATGAGTATGTCTGTATGTAAGTATGTACATGTTTGCATATGTTGAGTTTGGCAGGCTTGGGTGCACATGAATCACAGCGCACACTCCTGCTGCTAACCTGGCTTCATCCTGGCTGTGAACCAAAACGGCAGGAGTGGTGAAACTTCTTCCGCCCACCCGCCCTGCGATGGAGCAGCCCTTCGCATAGGAAGCCTACCGGCTATGGGGGTTGAGCTAACCCGTGTGAGATCCACGAGAGATGAACCCGCCGTTACCGGTGTCTCCTAAGGTTCGGGGTGGTACATGTTCTCAAAGCACATCCTGCGGAGCAGGTTCACCGGTACCTCGAAGAGAGCGCGCGATGAATGAGACAATGCACGTGCTCATGAGATTCTGATGGAAGTTCGTGCGGTTTTAGTTTTTACGGTCGCATTATTTAGGTGTTGTTTACCTGTGCATATACGTATGCATATGTACGTGTATATATATATACATATATATATATATATATATATATATGAGAGAGAGAGAGAAAGAGAATCTGATGTTTTGACACATGACGACCACGGGGAGCAACGAGTAGCAGTGAACAACACTGATACGACAAGCCTGGCAGCCTCAACACGTGTTCCTTATCAGCCCGCCTCCTTTAGAAGCACCCTATGTTCCCAGTTGTGAACAGTTGCCAAGGGCTTGAGGTAAGACAAGCATGGTCGGTCATGCGTGGTAATGTGATCGTATTGTTACAATGATGCTATTGTGGAAGACGCAGACCGACCGCCAAAGGACTGCAATGATGTATGTTTTCGCGAACCCGGGGGATCATGCGGTGTTGCCTTACTAGAACCTTATGTTACATCTATGGCAAAACACAAAGAGATGATCAACCGGGGGTAAAGAAAACAAAACACTTTCACGCCCCTCCAAAGTCCCCACATAATATGGGGGGGCCCTAGTGGCCGGGGGGTGTAACCAACCCCTCATGCCCGGCGGAAGAAGAGAGAGAGAGAGAGAGAGAGATAGAGAGAGATATATATATATATAGAGCCCCAGCCCTGGTGAAAGAAAGCGAGAGAGACTGAGAATGCCGTGAGTTGCAGCGCGTCGCAGGAGAGCCAAGCCCAGCTCATGCGAGAGGTCTCGCAATACCGCCAAGAGGTTGAGCGGATAGTCCAGGAATCAGGAGCAGATCGCGTGCAAGATGCATGTAAGATACAGGTTACACCTCGACGCCCTGCTGGTCCGGCTGTGCGGCAGGCTTGAAATTTGATGCTTCTTCGAACTTTCTGGAACACCTTCTTGTCGCTTCAGGTTGCAGGGGCACCATTTGGCCCTGTGCCAACTTTACACTTCTCTTCCGGCACAGCCACACACTGAGCACGTGGCTCTCCACGTATGATGATGACAGGACCTTGAAGGTGCCTCAATAATCATGCCCTGGAACTGAGACGGGAGGTCCGTTTTACATTAAGGCTTTTGAGTCTTCTGCTTAACGTACTTCCAGACTTTTCTTTTAACGCGCGACATGCCGCACGGCCACTCCATCTCCCGTTCCGAAAATTCGAGATTCTACTTCCTTGTTGTGACAGGCCTGTGCTGCACAGTGTCGCATCTGCAGCGACCGTATGTGTTCCTCATTGCGTTCTCTTCCCTGCACTTTGGAACGGGCGAAAACGAAAGAGAGGCCCGGTCCAGATGTCGGATGACCCACGTCACGAAAACAGAACCGAAGAAGAGCACCAGGCAGCTCATCAGCGTGCTTCAACATGTGCAATTTGCGGTTCGTGATATCTCTACTGCTGCAGCAACGACATCTTATGTCAAGAGCAATCGCTCAAAAAGCGACTCGCATATCTTCCTGCGGAGCGGATCCGTTCATCCGTTCGAAGGTGCCAAAGCACGTCTAGAAACCATACTGTCCTTGATCGAAACAAGCGTCGTTGGCATGTCAAAACTAAGACAGTGAACCAGGCTTCAGAAGGCGTTTGCCGTCATCTCTGAGATGCAGTTGCTGGCAAGGTCGCCCCTGCTCCTCCACTGTCCAACTGCATGGCAAGTTCCCAGCCAGGCCTTGGTTTGCAGCATCCATGAATCATCATGAATCAGACTGAAAGCAAGTAAGGTCCATCTGCACACATCATTATAGGTAGACAGACCTTTCGGATGCAGGCCCACTTGCAAAGATTGTTGGATCCGACATCATGGATCAAAGGAAGGAGTGGTGGTTCGCGTGGCACCCCCCAGTCTCACAGCAGTTCAGTGTCGTTAACTAATACCACATATTCCACAGTGTCTTTCTCCTATGCTGGGATTGCTTGTTTTGCCAAGCACTAGATTATGTTGGGAAATGCCATGCTTGAAGCGCCGCGGTAGTATGTCAGTCATGCACATTTGTGCTTTCGTATGCTGCCCCCGGCCTGATATGGTTTGTTCTGTGCTAGAGCATGTATGTAGGTGCTTTGTGGCGTGTGTCGTTGTTGTCTCTTGCCAGGCCACATCGTGCTAATCCCGTGTCACGTTGTGCATTGCTACGGCTTGCACACTATCCTGTTTTGGAGCTTTTGGAATCCTACATTCTGCCCGGTGTCTTGCGTCATTGCACCTGCCTTCAGATGTATTGGGGTGTAGCATGACATCAAGCATGTATGTTCGTTCCATGTCCATCTCATATTTTACGAAACATTTAGAGTCTAGAGGTTGACATGGGCAGTCGTGCCGAATGGTCTTTGCAGGCAGGGAGGAAAGAAATAAGTAGGCAGGCAGGCAGCCAGGCAGACAGGCATGAGATGTAATCAACGCGGACATGCTGTGGAGTTGTGGCAGGGAGTAACCCGGTGACTCCTCGCACGACGCAGCTGAGGCAAGGTTGGTTCGTTGGAGTATTGAAGACGAACGGTGAAGCAAAATGCTGATAGATTGCTCGCGCGCGAGCATCTCAATCTGAGTTTGAGCACTCGCAGGATTCAGACCAGAACGCAGGCGAGGGGGGCCGGGTGCCGAGCTCCTTGCAGGTCGTCGAAGAGGATGGGACCTCCAACTTTGCTCTCAGGCGGCAGCCAGTCCAGTTCCTGCCTTTGGCCAGGCAGCCGCCTTGTTAGCGCACCAGGACCGTTAGAAGCGACGGTCTGAAAGCCGAGGCTCGAGTGGCCTACGGCTACATGAGTGCAATGGACAGGAGACTTGTGTGCTTCGGTTTCTTGTTCCAAAGCTTCCCGAATTCCTGAGCCCGAGTGCAGGATCCCCCGTGAACCCCTCAGTGCAGTTGGGGTCTTAGCTTCTTGGAGACTTGAACCGTTATGGATTTGTCGAGCAGCTCACCCAAGCAGTGCTGCAGGCTGCACCGCCCCAGGTGCCCATGAACTCAGCTGCAGCCTTAAGCCTCAAGCTGCTTCAAAGGGTACGCCAAGTCTTGGTTGAGTTCGGCTCCAAGGTGGGCGTCACAGCGGCGGCTGCAGCCGCAGCGGCTGGCCGAAGCACACCCACAGCAAAGGCCGTTGCCTCAGCAAGTGCGATCTGAAGGCTGCATTTGGCCTTGCCAGCGATCTTAGGTTAAGGTCAGCCCAGTCCGGATCTCCGGCCTGAGGGGCTAAGAGATGTGAGAAGACCTGTGGGTTAGAGTGATGCACTGGGATGCCCAACGTATGTCAATGTTTAATCAGTGCAGCCAACGTCGACTTCTCGCAGCTGCGAAAACTCAGCCCGTCCATCAGTGAGTTCAGTCATGAGATGCCTGCAAGACCGCTGGGAGGTGGCAGCAAGTCGCGAGACCGGGAGAGTTTCTTGATGCTCAGCAAGTGGCAGAAATGGGCATCTAACTACTCGGAAGACGAGAAGTACCTAGGCTTCGATAACACTCACGGCCAGCAACAGTCGATTCTACGACGGACGCTCTTGGGTGTCACGTGTTTTCTTATGGTTTTTGGTGGTGCTTGGATGATCGTGGAAGCAGTCGTCGCTTGCTCTTTTGCAGGCAGAGAGTACGAGCCTGGAGAGCGTCTACTAAATATTCAGTAGGTGCTCAGAAGTACCGTTTAAAGTGCTCGGCAAAGACATCTCTAAAGATCTACTAACCAGCCAGGGGAGCTCCAGCACAACGGAGGCATGTCCGAATCACAACACAGCACTGTCCTACGAAGGGGAGATGTAACTGGCCGGAAAACACACATCTCAAAATCAGTTTCCCACGGCTCTCATTCTGAATGCACCGAGGATGCAAGAGATCGCGGTGTGCAAGATGGCACGTCGCCATCAATGACTTGCCCTCCCCGACTTGGGACGCTGGCTTTGTAAGTGTCGATGGTGCCAGAAGCCTCCATATCAATGTGTAAAAGTACGACGCGCGCCTCAACACCAAGCCTCATGGGTCAGTGCTTTGAACTTGTCACTAGCGTCCCGGACCTGACAGTCAAGCGCCTTCATGTCCAACGCATCGGTCTGGTTCGAAACGAAGAATGCCTTTGTTTCCACGGCGGCACAATCCGGAGCACATGAAAGTTTCTCCTCAGGAGGCGATTTGTCTCGGTAGATTATTTGTCTGCTGGTGCTGGTTCGCGCCACTCACTATAGCAGACGAAGATGCACATGGTCATTTTCACAAAGCATCAACTCATCAACAAGTATGCGTGGGGGCATGAAGGCGCCGCAGATGCCACCCCTGGCTCAAGTTTATTCCAGCCAAGTGATGCACCATGAGAAGCATGCAGAGCTGCGCCCTGTGAACTGCGCATACACCGCAGCCTGTTTATGAAGCCGCAAATGCCATCGCCTTGTTTGCTGACAAAACGCAGCGTGTTCCCAAATTGCTCGGGCATTTGGCGCGGCAAGCCAAAGGCCAGACTTTGTCGTAGATCCAGGTAATCTCTTGCTGCCCAGCTACGGCCTTCAGAAGGTTCGTTGAAGATGGGCGATGATTTCATCGCAACGAGCATCAAGTACTACGTACTGCATGCACGAGCCTGATGACAGCTCTGAGTGATTCCTTGAAGAAGTGGCATGACAAGTCTTGAAGCTCAGAAGCATGGAATGTGCAAAAGATGCTTCCCAGGCGAAGAGTAGATCCAGCAACTGACTCAGGAGTTCTTTGCAAGTTCGGTGTCCGCACGACTTGCCCATGTTACTTGCCGGCTGGACTCAGGCAAAACATCTGCAGCCACTGCCGTCGCAGGGGTGCTTGCCATCTTGTTGTATGCTTCAATATGAGCTTTCGGTGGGCGCCGCGATGACACAGTGATGCCGCAGGTGCAGAAGTCAGGTGCTCTCCTCAGATGCCTCGGCCCGGCATGTTTAAAGCCCCATCTTTAGACTTTAGACAGGCAACACCATGAGGAGCGGCAGGAGAGCTGAAAGCGTGAGAATCGAAATTTCGGATCTGCTTCTTGGGTGTGCGGGACTCGAATCGTCCGTCTTTAATGCCGCACTGTGAAACCAAGGCGGTGGATCTGCAGTGAACGGCACCAGCACGGTCACCTGCTCAGAGCCTGGTCAGCGCCAGCCGTCAGCGGCACCCCGGCCCCCGGCACCAGCAACTCGAAGCCACCGGCCGAACGCTTCCGAGGCCTCGAAGCCGAGCGCATCGCTGAGACTGGTGACGGCATTTTCGAACACCTACTTCGCTGCGCTCGCTGATCACGTATCGGGCTTCATATTGTGTGGGCCGAAGGTTCGGGCACATCACCTGACAAAGGTGCAGCCGGGCCCTCATCGGGAGAGCCTGCGCCATGTATTTGTCGTATATATAGTCGTATATTATATAATTAGGTTAGTGATATCCATTGGCCCCATCTACTGTAGGACGCAGGGGAGCCAATGGTCAGTTCGCATGGCAGAGAGGTGCAGAGAGAGGAGGTAACGGATACATGCTGGAACATGCCGGAGTTAGCATGTCGGAATTCGGAAGTGTGTGCCAAGTGTTGCCTGCAGCCCATGCAGAGCAAACGTCACGGACATGTCGCAGTGAACTGCGTCTTCTGGGGCTTGGGACATCTTGGGCCAGAGCCTGCAAGGTTTCGAACGACGGGGCCGACCGCTTTGCCGTGAACCAAAAAGAGGTCCTCGAGCTGTGCAAGAGGCGGCGGGTTCCTGTTTCCCAGAGACCGTACGTAAATGTATCCATGTACGCGCTGTGGCTCGGACCGAGATGCCCGGTGAGGCGATTCTTCTACAGACCGGGGTCTGACATCTACGGTCACTAGATCGCATCAGACTCTTCACGATCTGATGTTTCCCTGTGCAAAAAAAACTGAGGTGGAGTTGCGGGCTTCTTTACGTACGGACCGCCTGGGTGGGAGCTCCGGACAATTCACTGTCTTGGACCAGAGACGACCTTCGAATCTGACATCTGAGGTGTGCAGTGAAGAACAATCTCATTCATGCGCCGAGGGCCGAGAATTCAGAAAGGTAACTGGTAGCAGTACAGGTGAAAGAACGGCTCAGGGCGCCCGTTCTGTTCAGTCGTGTTCTGTGCCACAAGCTTGCCGGCCATGGCTTTCCGAGAATTGCTCGTGTTGCTGAGCATTGCGGGTGCCTTCGGCGAGGATGTGGCTTCCGCCTTGGCATCGGATGACGTGTGCGAAGGGCAGGATTGCAGCCTGGAGCTCCACCAGCTGCGCGGCATGAAGGTCAACTACCTGGAGGCTTTGGAGGATGCCTCCGATGACGTGGAAGAGGAGGCCGTGCAAGTGGAGGAGGAAGCTGAGGAGGAGGCTGAGGTCGAGGGCGGTGGCTGCACCGGTGCTGCAGACATGAAGACTTGGAAGAGCGGAGGCAAGAAGAGCTTCGACGCCGCCCTCAACAGCTGCGGCCGCGGCTGCGCCGCTGGCTTCCCCTGCACCAAGGACACGCCATTCGTTCCGATTCCGAGTCACAGAAATGACATAAATAGCTTGTCATCGGCGGTTCGCGGCTGCAGCACTGCAGCAGTGCTTGCCTGTGGTGTATAGCTTCGTTCTATGTGCAGATATGAAACATGAACGGATGTGAGAGGGAGTCCGAGAAGTGCTCTGGCGCATGCAGGACTGCATGCAGAAGAAGGGCTACTCGGGCAGTTGCGCATCCTGCATGGCTCAGTTGGTGGGCTGTTCGAGGGACCACTGCATGAACCAGTGCGTCTCGGCTGAAGGGGAAAGTGTTAAAGATTGTCTGATTGTCGCATCAGTTCCCGTGCAGAAGTAGTTTGAATGTGTGGGCAATTGCCAGCTGTATGCGAAGTGAGCTGCCTTTTGCATCTAGCCCGCAAATGATGCAGGCATCACGAACGACAAGTCTCCTGCTTGCACGCACTGCGTGAAGTCCTCCTGCCGCCCGAAGATGAAGGCTTGCAGTGGGCTGGCTGTCGGCGGCCACTGAGGAGGCTGTGATGAACGCAGCAGCCGCAGAAGTCTGCCCAATGAGGCAGGGCTGTTGGCACCAGTTCTGAATGCAGTTGCAGGGACAACAACGTCTTGGGAAGCACTGCTCTGCGGACGGAGCCGCAACTTTCGCCCTCGCACTTGTGGTGGTGAAGAGCTTCGTGAACAGGTAGCGCACGCATGGATTGTTCACGTTGGCAACATGAACTGGCACAGCGGACACGGAACGATAGTGTGCCGTGGGTATCCGTAAGATTCCGTGGGCTGGAAGCAGTGGAACAGTCAGGCGACATGCCATGCGGTCAGATAACATTTCAGATGTTCCGTGCCTTGTACAGACGCTGAGCGCAATGTCTGGAACGACGTGGTTGCCCTGCGAGCCTCGTTTTGCTCTCAAAGTAGCTCCAAAGCGTTTCTTGTTTTCACTCGCTTGCCGGCCATGGCTTTCCGAGCTTTGTTCGTGTTCCTGAGCATTGCGGGTGCCTTCGGCGAGGATGTGGCTTCCGCCTTGGCATCGGATGACGTGTGCGAAGGGCAGGATTGCAGCCTGGAGCTCCACCAGCTGCGCGGCATGAAGGTCAACTACCTGGAGGCTTTGGAGGATGCCTCCGATGAAGAGGAAGAGGAGGCCGTGCAAGTGGAGGAGGAAGCTGAGGAGGAGGCTGAGGTCGAGGGCGGTGGCTGCACCGGTGCTGCAGACATGAAGACTTGGAAGAGCGGAGGCAAGAAGAGCTTCGACGCCGCCCTCAACAGCTGCGGCCGCGGCTGCGCCGCTGGCTTCCCCTGCACCAAGGACACGCCATTCGTTCCGATTCCGAGTCACAGAAATGACATAAATAGCTTGTCATCGGCGGTTCGCGGCTGCAGCACTGCAGCAGTGCTTGCCTGTGGTGTATAGCTTCGTTCTATGTGCAGATATGAAACATGAACGGATGTGAGAGGGAGTCCGAGAAGTGCTCTGGCGCATGCAGGACTGCATGCAGAAGAAGGGCTACTCGGGCAGTTGCGCATCCTGCATGGCTCAGTTGGTGGGCTGTTCGAGGGACCACTGCATGAACCAGTGCGTCTCGGCTGAAGGGGAAGGTGTTAAAGATTGTCTGATTGTCGCATCAGTTCCCGTGAAGAAGTAGTTTGAATGTGTGGGCAATTGCCAGCTGTATGCGAAGTGAGCTGCCTTTTGCATCTAGCCCGCAAATGATGCAGGCATCACGAACGACAAGTCTCCTGCTTGCACGCACTGCGTGAAGTCCTCCTGCCGACCGAAGATGAAGGCTTGCAGTGGGCTGGCTGTCGGCGGCCACTGAGGAGGCTGTGATGAACGCAGCAGCCGCAGAAGTCTGCCCAATGAGGCAGCGCTGTTTGCACCAGTTCTGAATGCAGTTGCAGGGACAACAACGTCCTGGGAAGCACTGCTCTGCGGACGGAGCCGCAACTTTCGCTCTCGCACAGGTCGTGGTGAAGAGCTTCGTGAAAGGTAGCTCATGCATGGATTGCTCACGTTTGGAAGCAGTCGACCAACATGAACTCGCACAGCATGGAATGATAGTGTGCCGTGGGTATCCGTAAGATTCCGTGGGCTGGAAGCAGTGGAACAGTCAGGCGACATGCCATGCGGTCAGATAACATTTAAGATGTTCCGTGCCTTGTACAGACGCTGAGCGCAATGTCTGGAAAGACGTGGTTGCCCTGCGAGCCTCGTTTTGCTCTCAAAGTAGCTCCAAAGCGTTTCTTGTTTTCACTCGCTTGCCGGCCATGGCTTCCCGAGCTTTGTTCGTGTTCCTGAGCATTGCGGGTGTCTTCGGCGAGGATGTGGCTTCCGCCTTGGCATCGGATGACGTGTGCGAAGGGCAGGATTGCAGCTTGGAGCTCCACCAGCTGCGCGGCATGAAGGTCAACTACCTGGAGGCTTTGGAGGATGCCTCCGATGACGTGGAAGAGGAGGCCGTGCAAGTGGAGGAGGAAGCTGAGGAGGAGGCTGAGGTCGAGGGCGGTGGCTGCACCGGTGCTGCAGACATGAAGACTTGGAAGAGCGGAGGCAAGAAGAGCTTCGACGCTGCCCTCAACAGCTGCGGCCGCGGCTGCGCCGCTGGCTTCCCCTGCACCAAGGACACGCCATTCGTTCCGATTCCGAGTCACAGAAATGACATAAAATAGCTTGTCATCGGCGGTTCGCGGCTGCAGCACTGCAGCAGTGCTTGCCTGTGGTGTATAGAGTCGTTCTATGTGCAGATATGAAACATGAACGGATGTGAGAGGGAGTCCGAGAAGTGCTCTGGCGCATGCAGGACTGCATGCAGAAGAAGGGCTACTCGGGCAGTTGCGCATCCTGCATGGCTCAGTTGGTGGGCTGTTCGAGGGACCACTGCATGAACCAGTGCGTCTCGGCTGAAGGGGAAGTGTTAAAGATTGTCTGATTGTCGCATCAGTTCCCGTGAAGAAGTAGTTTGAATGTGTGGGCAATTGCCAGCTGTATGCGAAGTGAGCTGCCTTTTGCATCTAGCCCGCAAATGATGCAGGCATCACGAACGACAAGTCTCCTGCTTGCACGCACTGCGTGAAGTCCTCCTGCCGCCCGAAGATGAAGGCTTGCAGTGGGCTGGCTGTCGGCGGCCACTGAGGAGGCTGTGATGAACGCAGCAGCCGCAGAAGTCTGCCCAATGAGGCAGGGCTGTTTGCACCAGTTCTAAATGCAGTTGCAGGGACAACAACGTCCTGGGAAGCACTGCTCTGCGGACGGAGCCGCAACTTTCGCTCTCGCACATGTGGTGGTGAAGAGCTTCTTGAACAGGTAGCGCACGCATGGATTGTTCACGTTGGCAAAATGAACTCGCACAGCGGACACGGAACGATAGTGTGCCGCGGGTATCCGTAAGATTCCGTGGGCTGGAAGCATTGGAGCAGTTAGGCCACATACCATGCGGTCAGATACCATTTAGATGTTCCGTGCCTTCGTCGGTACAGACGCTGAGCGCAATGTCTGGAAAGACGTGGTTGCCTTGCGAGCCTCGTTTTGCTCTCAAAGTAGCTCCAAAGCGTTTCTTGTTTTCACTCGCTTGCCGGCCATGGCTTTCCGAACTTTGTTCGTGTTCCTGAGCATTGCGGGTGCCTTCGGCGAGGATGTGGCTTCAGCCTTGGCATCGGATGACGTGTGCGAAGGGCAGGATTGCAGCCTGGAGCTCCACCAGCTGCGCGGCATGAAGGTCAACTACCTGGAGGCTTTGGAGGATGCCTCGGATGATGAGGAAGAGGAGGCCGTGCAAGTGGAGGAGGAAGCTGAGGAGGAGGCTGAGGTCGAGGGCGGTGGCTGCACCGGTGCTGCAGACATGAAGACTTGGAAGAGCGGAGGCAAGAAGAGCTTCGACGCTGCCCTCAACAGCTGCGGCCGCGGCTGCGCCGCTGGCTTCCCCTGCACCAAGGACACGCCATTCGTTCCGATTCCGAGTCACAGAAATGACATAAAATAGCTTGTCATCGGCGGTTCGCGGCTGCAGCACTGCAGCAGTGCTTGCCTGTGGTGTATAGCTTCGTTCTATGTGCAGATATGAAACATAAATGGATGTGAGAGGGAGTCCGAGAAGTGCTCTGGCGCATGCAGGACTGCATGCAGAAGAAGGGCTACTCGGGCAGTTGCGCATCCTGCATGGCTCAGTTGGTGGGCTGTTCGAGGGACCACTGCATGAACCAGTGCGTCTCGGCTGAAGGGGAAGTGTTAAAGATTGTCTGATTGTCGCATCAGTTCCCGTGAAGAAGTAGTTTGAATGTGTGGGCAATTGCCAGCTGTATGCGAAGTGAGCTGCCTTTTGCATCTAGCCCGCAAATGATGCAGGCATCACGAACGACAAGTCTCCTGCTTGCACGCACTGCGTGAAGTCCTCCTGCCGACCGAAGATGAAGGCTTGCAGTGGGCTGGCTGTCGGCGGCCACTGAGGAGGCTGTAATGAAAGCAACGGCCGCAGAAGTCTGCCCAATGAGGCAGGGCTGTTTGCACCACTTCCAAATACCGTTGCAGGGACCACAACGTCCTGGGAAGCACTGCTCTGCGCACGGAGTCGCAACTTTCGCCCTCGCACTTGTGGTGGTGAAGAGCTTCGTGAACAGGTAGCGCACGCATGGATTGTTCACGTTGGCAACATGAACTGGCACAGCGGACACGGAACGATAGTGTGCCGCGGGTATCCGTAAGATTCCGTGGGCTGGAAGCAGTGGAGCAGTTAGGCCACATACCATGCGGTCAGATACCATTTAGATGTTCCGTGCCTTCGTCGGTACAGACGCTGAGCGCAATGTCTGGAAAGACGTGGTTGCCTTGCGAGCCTCGTTTTGCTCTCAAAGTAGCTCCAAAGCGTTTCTTGTTTTCATTCGCTTGCCGGCCATGGCTTTCCGAGCTTTGTTCGTGTTCCTGAGCATTGCGGGTGTCTTCGGCGAGGATGTGGCTTCAGCCTTGGCATCGGATGACGTGTGCGAAGGGCAGGATTGCAGCCTGGAGCTCCACCAGCTGCGCGGCATGAAGGTCAACTACCTGGAGGCTTTGGAGGATGCCTCGGATGATGAGGAAGAGGAGGCCGTGCAAGTGGAGGAGGAAGCTGAGGAGGAGGCTGAGGTCGAGGGCGGTGGCTGCACCGGTGCTGCAGACATGAAGACTTGGAAGAGCGGAGGCAAGAAGAGCTTCGACGCTGCCCTGAACAGCTGCGGCCGCGGCTGCGCCGCTGGCTTCCCCTGCACCAAGGACACGCCATTCGTTCCGATTCCGAGTCACAGAGGTGACATAAATAGCTTGGGCAGCAGTGCTTACCTGTGGTGTAGTGTAGCTTTGTTCTATGTGCAGATATGAAACATGAATGGGTGTGAGAGGGAGTCCGAGAAGTGCTTTGGCACATGCAGGACTGCATGCAGAAGAAGGGCTACTCGGGCAGTTGCGCATCCTGCATGGCTCAGTTGGTGGGCTGTTCGAGGGACCACTGCATGAACCAGTGCATCTCGGCTGAAGGGGAAAGTGGTTGGTCATTGATTGTCGCATCAGTGACGGCAACGGTCGACACCACAAGACTCGTGCAAGAGTAGTCTGCATGTGTGAGAAATTCTATGCGAAGTGAGCTGCCTTTCGCATCTAGCACGCAAATGATGCAGGCATCACGAACGACAAGTCTCCCGCCTGCACGCACTGCGTGAAGTCCTCCTGCCGCCCGAAGATGAAGGCTTGCAGTGGGCTGGCTGTCGGCGGCCACTGAGGAGGCTGTGATGAAAGCAACGTCTGCACAAGCACCAGTCCGCCCAAAGCGGTTGTGACTGTGCGCGACAGCTGTTTATCATCCCTGTTTCGAGAGCGTACAAAGTGGCAGACGTCCAGACTGCAATCATTTTGTGTGACAGGGCTGCCGCTTATCGCTGCCATCCCTGTTTCCTGTGGCTCCCCTTTCAGTCAGGATCGGGACATCGGCGGTCACTTCCCAGCTTAGCGGTAGTTCTGAGCAGACTGCCATACAGATTGAGTTTTTTCGTTCCTTGGGGCTTTTGGGCCGGGGTAGCCGTTAGTAGAGATTCATATTCAGACAGCGATTGATCTTTCGGGTGCCCGGAACCTCTTCCTTCTGCTTGAGGTGGAGACAATTCTTCGTAATTTCCGAGCACCTTCTCGAAATCGAGGACCTACTGATGTCTAAGTCTAAGCGAAATAGAAAGCAGGTATATGATATGTGAATATGCGTTGAGATCATCATCGTGCGATAGTACCAAAACATACAGAAGTAAGGAAGCATGCATGCACGTGTGCATATCTGTGTACACGTTGATTTCCAGTATATGTGTCGGTGTGCGTACCTGGATGGATGGCATGATGAAATAACAAACTGATTGACTCACGGGTCGACTGACAGAGGACGAAGGGAGGGAGGGATGCATGAACGGATTGATGTGTGTCTGTGTGTACCCCTGTGCGACACTATGTATGTATGTATGGATGAATTAATGTAGTGTATGTATGTGTCTGTGCATGTGTATTTATGAGTATGTGCATGTATGTGCATGTGCATGCATGTGCATGTGTGTATGTGTATGCATGTGTCCGTATGCGTATGTATGTGTATGTGTGTGTGTGTACGTTTGTGTATGTGTTTGTAGATGTGTATGTATATCAATGTGCTGGTATATATAATATAGGTTTACATATGCATACGTATATACATGCAGATGTGACTGCAAATATGAATATTAGTACAAGTCTTCTAAGTTTATGCGTGCATATGCATGTGTATGCATTAACCTCCAGCCTACCGTGAACGCTTCTTTTCCTACAACTCTGTGCATGCCATGTATACATGTTTACGCGCACGCGTATTTACAGCGCAGTTCGTATTTTACAGCGCAGTTCATACTACAGACATGAGCCTGTACATATTTTGTTACAACATACACAAACCAACAGATAGCTGGGGAAGCATCACAAGGAAAGGCTCTAGGTTTCGGACATAAGGTCTTAAAAAGGAAGCCTCAGTAAATGCAGAATCCATTGCATGCTCCAAGCACGCATCTGCTGCCCTACACGATCCGAAGGTGGAGCCTGGCAATGACTAGCATCCATGTTGTAAAAATCAGAACAAGGATCAGCCTTGAACTCCGGAGGATGGAGCCTTGGACTGATGGGCCTCCCCTGGTTTTACATCAGAGTTGTCATCCAGCTTGCACTGCCAGGATGCAGGGGAAGGAATCAATTTACAATCAGAACTCCTAGCAACCAGGAGCTCCGAGAATGGAGGGTTGGACTATAGTGGAGAGCCCATGACTCTGAACTCGAGACTCTTACGAATCCCAGCGTGTCAAACTGTCCTCCCATGCTGCTGCCTGTGAACGAAACTGTGTGAATGCAGCATTGCAGTGCATCAGCGCCTACTTGGCCCTTTTCCCGGCCGTTTGCATCCCCAGATTGCGTCGTTGCAATGCATTTTTGCCTCATGATAAGTCGTCGCGAGAATCTGCGCCATCTTCGCAATGTGTCTCTGCCTCCCAATATGTCTTTGCTGCAACTCGTCTGCGATTCGCGATGCGTGTTCGCCTCTCAATGCGAATGCTTTTTTGTTGCAAATCCGTCTGTGCAATTTGGATTCGTCCTCGGAATCATGTACCACCCGCCGCTAGGCAACTGCAGTCTATCTATCTATCTATCTATCCAAGTATCTATTTATATACCTATTTATCCATCTGTCTTTCTAAGCTTTATACTGTGTATATATAGATAGATATGTACACATAATGTGTGTATATATATATATAGGTGTGCACATGTATATTTGTGTTTGTACTTGTATTCATGTTTAGCATGATACTATGCAGCACACAAGGCAAGCGACTACACACTTACACACGCTACACAGCCACATACATGTATGTGCATTGCAAACAAGAGTATGATGTCTGCGGATTTTTTAAAACAAATTTCAACAAGTCAGCAGGGTGATCGAGACTCTAGGACACCTGCATCATGCAGCATTCCGTCCTCAAGGTGCGACTGGGGAGTGTTCGATGCATCTTTGCACTTTGAGCTTCTTGGTGCCTGAGCCCCGGCCTGATGGGCATCCGACTGGAAATGGAGGTGAAGCTTCCGTTCAAATCGCTATTTCGCACAGCATCTCTCGTGAGATGCCGTGAGCACAGTGTTCGCGTGCAGCCCTGCAATGTTCAAAGGCGTCCGGGCACGTGGACCGCTTCAACGACTTCATGGTTCGCATCTGTTTGGTTTTTTCGTAGTGATAGCCCATGGCACTGGGAATGCTCGCGTTACCCTCCTGTTTTGTCTCGCTTGCTGTGCTCACGGAGGTCAAAGATGTGTCCGATGAGTCCAAGTTTTTCAGAGCCGACAAGTTGCTCGAGGTCCTGTGTCTCCAGCCTATGACTACGACTACGTGCTGCACAGTCTCCTGCTACTAGTAGGACGTCATGGACGAAAAGCTGAAGGCCGCCGACTTGACGGAAGCTCAGCGCGTTGAGCTCGTGTCTCAGAAGCTAATGGCGGACGACAGTTGAATGCAGCCTGTGAGCTCAAGCCAGGTACACCTCTGTGCGAAACCAGGCCGATGCGTACTCCCAGCAGGAGTGCCAGGGACAGCGACTGTTTCGACACCGGACAAGTCGAAAAAGGATGGTTCAGCAACTGTGAATTAGCAGAGCGAAAGGGGTTTAAAAGACTTGTACGATTTACGGTGTTGTGTTTCGGAAAGAGCTGAGACACAGACTAATCTTGACATTTTCGTGTGTGCTTTGTGTTCACTTTTCCATGTATGGTTCGAGTGTGCGTGAAACGCGTATAACGGATTCCGTGCTTCGAGCTGCATTTGTACCGAAGCAGATCAGAGGGCATAGGGTTTTTAGGTTTGGATCCGGTGTGCGTCACGGCCTAATAAGTTGCAAATGATCCGCTTATGTAAATAATGTACTGGATTACCATATAGTAGCTCCACATTTGTAGGGATCGTGGTGCAAGGGAGCAGCGGGCACTGCGCGGAGACCCGAACTCTATCGTGGCATGGATGCTTTGAGAAAGGGAGGCAGTTATGCTTGGCGCTTAGATGCTCTCGTTCTCCGGCCGCATCCTTTCTCCAGACCATCCCCAAACCTTGAAACCTTCCACGCCGACTGCGTCTGTGCCCAAGAGTGTCCGTGCCTCAACCATGAAAACCGCCATCCACTGTCATGTTTGCGGCATGGATGCTTCGAGGAAGGGCGTTTTCGAAGTTACGCCGAAACTACACTGGTTGGAACATGAGTTCTGTAGAGAACAGATGAGGCCGGAGATGTGCTCATGGTTACACTGTTTGGAGCATGGATGCTCTGGGGAAGGGTTGAGGCATGGACGCTCGGAGTGGGCAGAATCATGGTTGGCAGCATGGATACTTTGGGCAACAGATTCGACCGGGATGGACATTCTCATGGCTGGGGCTACATCTCGCTTCTACTCGTGCGTGGAGTCGTTCAGAAGGGGTCTGGGCACCCGGTGCGGAGCGGAAGTTGCGAGGAGCTGCACCAGATCTTTCAGAAGCCGGGCTTCCCAGTGTGCAGCCAGCTCTGCTGTGTGTTATGTGACGTCTTATGTGCCCGTGCGACAAACGGTCACCCGGTTGTCGCACAGGTTTCCAGCAACACGTTCCAGGTATCAGATCAAGTCTCCCGAGACTGGCAATGACTTGAGCGAGCCCTATGAGCCACCTGGCTGCGATTGCGAGAAGTCGCCGAATCAAGCCTGAAGTTATGGGGAGTAGGTGGCAGCATTCCCTGCGATCGACTTTTGATGCTGCAACTCGCAGACACTGCCATGAAGTGTCGAGGTTCAACCTGATGTTTCCGACCCCTATTGGCCCAGGGGGCTACCTGCAGGCAGCTTCAGCCACAAAGCCTCCGTCATGCCGACAGTCTTAGACATTACAGAAGAAGAGGATCTTGCGAAAGCTACGACTAGCCAGGAACGTGATGTCAACTCAAAGCCCAAAGACTGACTTGTGTTGCAAAGCCTTGCTCAGGGCTACCTCAGGCCGGAAACTGCGCAGGCTGGAATCAAGATCTGCATGGGGGAAGTGGCAAACGATAATAATGTCTTAGTCTTAGTTGCTTGAATGGGAGGGCATCTTCTTGAACTACAAGTTCTGCTTAGAGCAGAACTCAAACCGGCTCCCGTTTGGAGTGGCCCAGGCGTGGAGTGCTGTGCTTGACGCCCTAATGGAATCAAACTGCATTATGTCGCGATCCTGCATGTTTCACAAGGTCGGGCGGTCTTTCCGCAACGAAATCGCGCCTCGGGCAGGTCGCACATCGTGTCGAGACTCCATAATAGGCGTCATGTCATGCTTGACTCTGAACTGGGCATATTCCAGATATAGGCCACTTGACTCATGACTCATGATCCTTCCGTGATGGCAGATGTGCACCCAGTCGCCAGGGCTGACAAGACAAAGGGAGTTCACTCAAGCGGAGATCGAGTACTTCGTGAATCCCAAAAACAAGGCAGGTCTAGCTGAGGATTCGTTCAGGGGGATGTCAGGATGTATTTATGCCGTGAGCTATTGTAGCTTCATTGCCTTGCTTAGTACCTCTACTGATTTCGTGTATTTAGATGGCTTTTTCTCGCTTGTTCACTGTGTTGTTGCGCCGTGCCTAGCCGGACCCGCAGCCAATCTTGCGACATATGTTTCGTACACGGGCATATTTCTGCACACTGTACATTTACATATAGATCTGCAGGTATGTTTGTAGGGCAAGATGAAGAAGGAGGGCATGCGAATCAGCGAAGGCAGCACGCTTGTACTGCAAAATCTTCACCGCCAATGCCCGGCGAGCACGAAGGTCTGCACACCAGTCAGCTTTTAAAGCTGCCGCCGCCGCAACACAGCGTCCAGCAGCAATGTCAGCATGATGACTCAAGATATATATTTTATAAGTATCTCTTTTACATATATTGTATATGTATATACATCCTCATACATTTATGTGTATATATATATAGAGAGAGAGAGAGAGAGAGACAGATAAACAGTTGCGAGGCACACATCGTGCGAGTAGTCTTAGCCTTTCGCATGTAATACGATGCATCCCGTCAACAGCGGGCAGCCCCACGGCGGGGGCTCGCCCCTCATGCCTGGCGAAAGAAAGAAAGGTTTATCGGGATATATACAACACTGTGCGAGAAAGGCAGCAGTCAAAGTCAAACTCGTCGTGCCTGAACTTGTGTTCAAAATGCCTCAACAGAGCCTGGGATGTGAATGCTCAGTAACGCTGTTCGGTGTACTGTTGTGATCCAAAGCATCTGTTAACCTAAGAGTTATTTTCATGCTTACACTTATTGCAGCAGCGTGGGCATTTGATTGGCCCTGCTGGCTGCAGTTTTGCGCTGCGGTCTTTTTCGATGTGCTTGATTTCCATCATGCCCGTATGTACTGAGCGGACTGGCGAGTGCGGTTGCAGGCACATCCCAAGTTCAAGATGGTCAAGGACATCGCCACCTCCCCGGTGTTCTGAACTTCCGTCGCCGGCAGGGGTTCAGCAGGGCTCATTGCCCGACTCGTGCCAGCATCACACTCGCCCATGGCTTCACGGTTGTGGGCGGCGTTTGCTTCGAGGTCCTGACCCTCTTCCACTCAGATGCGCAACTCTCAGCACAGGCTCATCCCAAGAATCCGGGCGCTTCCCAAGTCCAGACACAGCTCAGCATGAATGTGGAGCTATGCAGCGTGACTGCAGCTGCCGGACCCTTCAGCCTTCCGTACTGCATTGACAGGAGCCTGTCAAAATGGCAGCAGGCGAGGCTGTTAGCCAAGTGCTTAGAGAGTGGAAATTGCAGGGCTTGCGAAGCCGAGCAGCTTCTCCAAGCAAGGCCGTGGCCTTATCAACAACGAGACCCTCGCCTTCTTCATTGTGAGGTCAGACAGTCAGCAGGGTATCCCTTCTTGCCCGGTGCCGGTGGGTTTGAAGGAAGTCAGGGGCAAATTGCGACGGATTGAAGCAGGAACGCCAAACAAGTCAATGAGTCAGCAGACGTTATACAGGCCAGTAGTTAGCCGAAGGTCAGCTAGCGGAGTACTAGAATGCATGGTTGAGAGAAGGGCAAGCGTGCAGAGAACTTCGAGGCAAAGAAGGCTTGAAGCCAGGATCTGGACTTGACGGTGTCTGTGCAGAGGACGTATCAGTTTCTCTTGCACATCGGTCTGGATCAGGACCCACAGGGCTTGTCGGGTCTCCGGTCTTGCTTTCACGGGCCTTGTTTGCAGGCCTTTGTTCGATTCCGGCAGCACTTGCCAACAGAGATGGCGCACTATGCTTGCGACTGCTGGGACGCGGAAATCTTCGGTTCGTATGGGAAGCTTGGATTGAATTTTTCATGCGAGTTGATCAGTGCGCATGCTAGCGTGTTCGGCAGTTCATCGCAGCTCTTGCCCCAACTGGTCCACCAAACGTGACCGCACGCCTTTTGTACCCCTCGTCTGAGTCATCTGAGCACCATGCAACCCCACTTCTAGATGATTGCCATGAGCACGCGTTTCAGGGCTGTTTGCGTGGAAAACTTCTTGACCAACGAGTCAGTCAAAATGTGCTAAGACTGGTGTTGATGGCCTGTCGGCTGAGGTGGCTGGAGTGTGTTGGCATTGCGGACAGGTCTGCGTTTGACCTAAACGCTCATGCTCGCGTGCTGCTCTCAGGGTTGAAAGTCCCGTGCTGTCGGCTGTGGTGGTGGTATGATCACTGAACTGTGCCTGAGTTATGTCACTCAGGCCGCGAAATGTGACCTGCAGTACAAGGAATCGCTGGAGAAGCCAATTGAGAGGGAGGTCCTGGCACTCACGAAGGCCTCGCAGACCGATTCCTTACATCTCAGAATACAAAGCGAGCCGGAGCTGTCTTAACGAGAACTAACAAGAGCAGGGGTGCACACGTGCCTTCGGTGCCAGAAATCTGGCGTGGACATCATGAAGGCCTTCAAAAAAGATGGACGCGCAGTGAAGGAGACTCAGGGATGGATAGACTCGGGGGGACCATGCCCTGTGCCCGGAAAGATCGCCCCAATTGGTCACAAGGAGTTTATAGAGAAACTCCCACAAGAGGAGATTGCCAGGCTCTTAAATGCCTTCTATGTGAATTCAAGCGGCTCGCGATTCTTTGCATTTAAAGTCAGCCTCAGTCTGCAAAATTCTGGTGTCTGCACCGGCAGCTCATTTCTGGAGCCGTCGGCTGAAAGCGCTCTGATCTGCCGCTCCGAGGAATGCATAGCAAAGCAGCTGGAGGGCGGAAAAGCAGATGTGCAGGTGCCGTCTCGCGTCAGCCCACAAGCATCCACAGGTTTGGCCAGCTGACCTTCGGTGTGCTTGCATTAAGTCCGATTTATCGCAGCTTCAAGACGATCCAACTAAACGCGACTGCTGATTAGAGCGCGAACAGTCGACGGATGTCCTGCATTGCCTGAACTCGACCGGCGGAGATCAAGCTGCAAACAGGTGGAGGGTTCATCATTCACATTGACGAAAGAGCTGGCGGTCTTTGAGCGAAAGGCACCGGGTCGACGACGAGCGAATTGTAGGCTCGCCATACTCGAAATCAGATGGAGAAGCAGACTGTCAACGCTTTCACACCTGGCGTCATCGAACCTTCGTTTGGAGCCGCACTCAGAGAAAGAGACCCAACCTCTTTGTGCGACATGACGAGACATGCGCAGGGCCGTGCACCCAAGGCATTGACCGCATCTTTGCTTCTTTGCTCGAGCACGTCTACTACGCCCGTCCGAAGGAGCCACAAAAAGTGAGTGCAGCGTGCTTTCCCTAAGCTGTCGTCGCGACTGTACACAGGAGGAGGCGGGAGACGACAAAGACAAGCAGACCCGTGGTGTTTTGGCTTTCGCTCCATCCTCCGCACCGTACAAGTGTGCTGGGCATGTTTCCGAGATCTTCCTATGGGTGCTTTTCGCGGTGGCACAAAATTCATACCCTTCATTGCAGGTGTGTCATTTTACCGCTGGACCAGCGGATTGCCCGCGACGAGCGCTATCTTAACATGATGGATGCTGCCTCCTTAGCTTTCAGTTGACACATGCCCAAGACTTGCTTGCTCCGCACTGTTCGCCAGGCATTTCAGCTAGAGCTTGTTGAGCTGGGCTTGCGGGAGGCTTAGCAGTAGCTTTCTTGGGCCTGGAGCCTTCTCAACGACGTCAGAAACACAGGCAAGACAACGACTCCTGATCACGAGTTTTTCTGCCCCATCCACCCTGTGGGTTTTGGCTCTTTCCTTTGGATCTGTTACGGTAAGGATTGTCTTGTCTTGAGGTGGTGGCTCTGTCCATTCTTTTTCCGTGGGCTTGGTGTGGGGCGGAGACGAGCGTAAAGGGAGTGACAGCACTGTTCAAGCTGCAAGCGAGGTCGTTCACTCTTGATGAGAGCAATGCCACCATCGGAAAAAGGCCTGGTTGGATCACCGGTCCTGCACTACTCGCCGCACGGTCAATCGAGGTACTCTCGGAACGATGAGCTCGGAATTCCATATGCTGTTACTTTTGATTTCGACACCTTGGAGGACCTACTGCTTGTATCACCTAGATCTGTCAAGTTAATTACGTGCCATTTTGATGCTCGCCGCTGTGTACCGTGTGCACCATTTGCGCTTGTGTCTTGGATCCATTTGGGCTCAGCATCTGCAAGAAGCGGCACAACGCTGTTTGAGCGCTGTAGTCCAAGAGTGCGCAGTGTACAGGGTGTAGCAACTTGACATGTCGCTAACGCAGAAAGATCTGGAAGATCTGGACGCTTCTTTGCAAGTGTCTTTCATTCTCGTGACATGGTGTACACGACCGACGAGGACCAAACTCTCCGGCTGTCTTAGGCGAGCACCAAAATTGAACTGCTGAAGCAATTCTTCCAGGTGCCAAGTGCATTCGAGTCTGCAGTGCAGGGTTGCTCGTTAGTGATATTGCTCTTGTGCAACTTGCATCCTTCTGTAGCCTGGTCTGTGGCTGTGGCCTGTACCTGGAGCATGCGTCATCTGGCAGGCAGAGCCACCAAAGGCCAAAGGTGAAGATTTGCTGGAACTCTGGGAACAAATCTACGACGAGACCCGGTCGCAAGGAAGTAGCAACAGATGACGTGGTGGATATTACATCATGGCAATGGCCCTGCAAGCATTGAACCACAGTGGAACTAGCGTTGAAAGCCTGCCATTCAGGAGACGGCCAGAAGTACGGTAGTTGAGACAGCGGCTGGGCTATCGGATGACAGCATCAATGCAGCTCTCCCCTATGAGAAGCTCTACGCTATTGTAGGCCGGCCAGCCAGCGTTCAGCACAAATGCAGAAGAGTAGCAATGTGCTGCTGGTGCTGCTGTGAGGCGACGGCGGCCATTGGAAGTGGCCGCGCATCTGGAGGCGTTTTGACGAGCTCGAACGGCGAGGCGAAACCCCGCCTTGGAAAGCTACTAGTGCAAGGAACAGATGCCACGCTCTGCACGCTTCTGCAGGAGCCGCCTACCGCGAGGGAGAGCCCACGAACTTCGGCCTGGCGAATCCAAACCCCGACATTGAGCCGCAGCCGCTTGGACCAGAAATGTCCGGAAGCCTCTCAGCTGAGTTGGGACTGGACGCTGTATGACGCTGTAGAACTGTAGGACGGTGCTCGTCGTGGGTGGTGGGCCAGTTGGACTGCGCCTGGCCATCGAGCTCAAGCTGGGAGGTCACCACGCAGCGGCCTCGCAATGTCTCTTTCAGATGATCAGATGCCTCTGCCTGCCTCTGCCTCTGCTGGTGACCCCATGTGATCGCAGGTAACCGTCTTCGAAAAGCGGCGCGAGGTACGGGACGAAAGTGGGCAGTTGCAGCAACTGGGGTTCACCAATCGACCTTTGGCTGAACCGTGAAACCTCAGCATGGCTCCTCCTGAACGAGTCCTGTCCCTACTGCTCAGGAATCAACCGGCCGCATGTCTTCAACTTCCTGCGAAACGACCTCTGGGCTGCATGTTGAGCCGAAAGTCCATACAATTAAGATGGTCAGATCCACTGGGACCCAAAAGATCGTAGAGTTGAGCGACAGACTCCTGCAGCAGCCTGGTAGTAGGAAAAGAGGCGGTCTGCGAGAGCGAGCGGCGACCAGGAACCTAGGACTTCCTGAGAGTGTCTGTGCTACACGGCTACCGCTGGAGCATGCGACTGTGACGTGGTTTACATTTCACTGGCCCAAGAGACGGCATGGGTCATCTTGCAACTTCAGTGATCCTCACTGTCTCTCTCTTTTTCTCTCTCTCTCTTCCCCGTCTCTCTCGAAAGCGCACAGAGGTCCACGATCAATAGGCTTGCCGGCAACCCATTGAGTTAACTACTGTAGTCTGTGGGTGGACTAATACCAAGCCTAAGGTTCGGCGAACAATTGCTATAGACTGCACTAGAATAGTCTGAGCGCGGCCAACCCGTCCTCCCGAAGAGAAAGAGGAATTTAAATGACAAGAAATACAGTTTGGCGAATCAGGTCGGTGGCAGTGAGCAAGGAAGTCACTTAAATAACGTGGCGAAGATTTGTTTTTAACGAAGACGGGATGCGGATTACCATGCGGTTGAATGCAGTGGCCATGTCTTTGCAGCTTCAGTGCAATCGTCATCGTTCCCAGTCGGTTTCACGCCGCAGCAAAGACTGGCATCAAGGGCAGACATGAGCCAAGGACCTGGACCGGCTGAATGGCCGGGATTTCATGTCTTCCAAGCTCCTCGGCAGTCCCCTTTGTGCTTTGTACAGGGGCGACACGGAACATCGAAGCAGCACACGTGTTAAACGTGAAAGCGAGGATGTGCTACCCGGTTTTCACTCAAGCGGATACATCCTCGATTGGCATCGACGACTCTTGATTGCATTGAAGCAGAAGAAGGATGAAGCTACTTGCCGGAAGGTTCCTGACACATCCGAGTCATGACTGCCCGTTGCAGTACATTCGCCTCTTTCGTCAGATCCAAAGAACAACTGCACATGAGTGCCACCAAGCATCTGAATGTCCAGTTTTGCAAGAATCCTCACAGGAACTTCAGCTGCTCTTGCTCAAGAATGCCCTGCTTTTGGGCGTTGACTTCCGCATGGGAATGTCGTACGAGGCCGGTTTTGCGGATCGGAGCTGTGCGAGAAGACTTGGGAACGGCGAACAGCGAAGGCTGCCGAGATTGTTCTGGATCCACGCACTCAGAAGCCAAGGCAGCAGCCTCAGTTCCAGAAATTAAGTTGAGTGCCATTGTGAGGTTGCATGCTCGATATGCTCGCACAACCCATTGCGAGTCTTGCGTTCAACTGAGGTGGAAAGTCAAGTTCACGTGTGATGAAGCCCGGTACAAACTACCGATATCTTCTGGTACTCCAAACTACAATGCCATTGTGCTTCAAGTCAGCTCCATCTGAGGAGCAGGGATCCCGCAGCTACGCGGTCCCTCTCGGAGAAAATTTCCAGACCTTCGATGTCCTCATGGGCTGCGATGGTGCCCGCAGCCGTGTTCGAGAGTCGCAGAAGCAGATCTTCGGAGAGGCAAGCGGTGATCGAGTCAGGGATTTCGCACTTGAACATGGGAGCGGCAGGTCGACAAGCGCAACTTCAAGAAGATGATCGGCGTCGTGGCCAACGTCCAGAAAGTGTCGCGGCAGCGGCTGAAGGATGCTCCGACACGTGTTATGTTGCAGAAAGAGTTTCGATGATGGCTGCTGCGATGCAAGATTGCTACTCAATTGCCGCCGCTCAACCCAACAGAAGAAGCATCCCAAGCCTCAGTATCAGCAGCACTGGCAGCAGCAGCAAAACCAGCTAGAAGTCCAAGGGTTAAGTCGCATCAAGTTGTGCTTGGTCTCATCAATCCAGTGCGCCCTTTCGCATTCCACAGAACATTGAATTCAACTGCCTCGATCATTGCATCCATGTTTGATGATGCAGGCGTGTAGAGTTGCTGTTTCTGGATCCGTCACTGCGCAGGCTCATGATTCCAAGTGGTGATATAGCGAACGTTGTAGCAGTTATTGTTGTCGTCATCGTTGTTGTTGTTGTTGTGGTGCTGGTGGTTGATGATTGTTGTTGGTTGTTGATGGTTGTGGTTGCTGTTGTCGTTGCTATTGCTGCAATTGATGTTACTGTTGCTGCTGTTGTTGTTGTGGTTGTTGCTGCTGCTGCTGTTTGCTGTTGCTTTGGTGGTGGTGGTGCTGGTGCTGGTGCTGGTGATGCTGGTGATGCTGGTGGTGCTGGTGGTGCTGGTGGTGCTGGTGGTGCTGGTGGTGCTGGTGGTGCTGGTGGTGCTGGTGGTGCTGGTGGTGCTGGTGCTTGTGTTGCTGTTGCTTGCTCTTGCTGTTGTTGTTGTTGTGGTTGTTGCTGCTGTTGCTGCTGTTGTAGTGGCAATGGTTTTGTGGTCGTCGTCTTCGTCGTCGTAGTAGTAGTTGTTGTTGTTGTGTTGTTGTTGTTGTTGTTGTTGTGGCAGTAGTAGTAGCAGCAGTAGCAGCTAGCAGCAGGAGCAGCGGGACCAGCAGCACTAGCAGGAGTAGGAGTAGCAGCAGTAGGAGTAGCAGGAGTAGGAATCGGAGGAGGAGGAGGAGGAGGCAGCAGGCAGCAGGCGCAACAGTAGTTATGAGGGCACTGCTCCACTTGCTGCCCCTGTTCGCGTTGCCACCATCACTGAAAATATAGACAGATAGACCTCCCGTCAACTCCCGTCCTCCAGCAGCTAGAAGCTGGCCAGAACCACTACCCCTGCCAATACTGCTACTGCCGCTGCCATCGGTGCTACCCTTCCACCACTAATTAAGAGGGGTGCGAGATTCAGAAGCTGCAGAAGTCTAGCCCGGCTCCACCTACACGCCGCTGCCACCGCCAGGATCTTGGATTCGCGAGTGGCCAGGAGCCCACAGACATGAAGCGGGCACATTTGGCAAGTGGAGCAGGCACCCCTGCTTGAGAGTCCGCAAAGCTTACTTTACAAGTAAAAGCGCTAGCTTCAGGTTGCCTGTATCAGAATTGAAGTAAAAGACTCTTGCCATTCTCCGACCTGGTGTTTTGGAGCTGTGTGTGTAATTACACTTCACGCCTGGGAGTGTTTCCCTCTATGCCGGAGTATTGTTATGTGGCCATCAAGAGGGTAGTACTTCTCGATGTCTCGTCGTGCCACATTTCCAGATGTTGTCTTGCATTCTGTATATCTGCAAGAAACGTGTTGGCATGCACAGCTGGTGTAGCATGGCTTCCCAACACAGGCAGGCGAACAGGCAGTCAGCATTAGCTGCAGGACCACAGCGGTGTTCGGTGGCCAAGCAAGAGCCAAGAAGCCACAACCTTGCTACGAACACCCTGACTGAGAAAAAGGAACATGCAACACGGAACGGGGGACTACGACGTCGACAACATCAGCATCAGCAGGAACAGGCCACAGCTGCAACGGCACTACAATGCCATCACTACCACCGCCTAAACAACCGCCACCACGGCTGCGGGCTGGCCGCTGCGACTGCTGCTTCGACATGTAGCCGCTGGTTACAGTACAACCTACAACATCTTGCTTCCGCTACTACTACTACTACTACGACGACGACTACTACTACTACAGCTGGTGCTGCTCCGAGTGCTACTGCTGCTGGTAGTCTTGTTGCCACTACTACGATGACGGCTGCCACTACTCCGAGTATTACTGCTGCGATTACTCCTGCTATTATCATTATGATGATTATTATGGCCATCGCCACCCATCCACCCCCCTTCCCCTCTACACTTGCTCTATTTGAGCTGGGCAGTGACAGCTTCTAGGCTCCCTAACTGCGACAGCTGCAGGGGCCCAGGCTCCATATCTGTGACAGCAGCAGAAGTTGCAGAGGTAACTGTCACAGCGGGTGAAGCTCCCGAGGCTCAGGCCCCAAAACTGCGACAGCAGCTGGAATTGCAAACACGATGGCGAAGAAGCTGCTAAGCCACGGGTGGTCCTTGCAAAACGCATGTCAGCTAAGAAGCTTTTAACACGCCTAAAACCTGAAGCGCAACATAGATTAAACATTAAAACAAAGATTCCAGCTGTACGTGGGAGGGGCTCGCCAACACCCCTAAAGCCCAGAGGGTTTTCTTTTGAAGTAGTGTGGTGTTGTGCGCGCACTAGGGTGTGGAGATACTGTTCGGGGTGTCTGCGAAATCGTGTCGTCGTCATCCCCCCAAAAGCTCCCCCCAACCCAAGTTCGCGTCTTCGCCGGAAGCATTCCGAAATCCGAAGCTCGAGTTCGCAAAGTCCAGAAGTAGTTTTGCAGACGACATAAGATGGTCCGACATCACGGAAGTACTGTAAATACCAAGTAAAATGGTTGTTTTGGAGATAGTGTTCGGCGTGTCTGCCTAATAGTGTCGTCATGATCGCCCCCATCCTACCCTCACTCCAAAAAGAGTCTCCAACATCCGAAGATCGAGTTTGCAAAGTCGACAAGTCGATTTCGAGCCTACATAAGATGGTCCGATATCACGCTTCAGATGCTTTAGAGCAAGTAAGTGTAGTTGGTAGGGGGAGGGGGGGTGCTTACTAGCACGACCACAGCAGGAGTAGGAGCAGGAGCAGGAGGAGGAGTAAGAGCAGGAGCAGTCAAAGTAGCATTAATCGTACCAGTAGAAGTAGCATGACTATATAGTACTAGTACTAGAATACTAGAACTACTACCACCACTATTACGACGACTCGACGACTGCGACTGCTACTACTGCGCGCACTGACTCTGACGCTGCTCGTTGCTACTGAATTTCTAGCACCAGTACCGGTACTACAACTACACCGGAACTTCCAGCAGCAGCCGCAGCAACCACAGCACTAGCAGCATGTCGGTATCTTGTTGTCGCTACATTGAGCAATTCGGCATACTGTTACTGCTGCCGGGAGAGGGCTCGACAGCCTACAACACCAGTAATACTGAGAAAGCTTGGAATCAGCATGACAGCCAAAACGGCACTCATATCAAGAAGAAGAACGACAGTAATCGAGTCACAACATCAGAGCGTGGCCCACTGCAAGAGGTTACAGTAAGAGCATCGAAAATAACACTAGCATGCATGAACAGCAACACTAAGAAGCGTCATGACCAGAGATGATATGACCCATCCAATTGCTTGCCATTCACAACGAGGAAGGTTCAGCCATCATGTCAAGAACAGAACTCCATGAAGCAACGTCGACGCCAGTGTAGGCAGCGTGCAGCAATCACCAGCTGCATTTAGTTTTGGCCCAAGTTGAAAGACTTACTGGCGTGGACCGCGGGAAATGCTGAACACGATTTGTTGCTGCATCTTTGCATGGCTGTCTAGTTTAGCAACAGCAGTGTTTCCACCGGTTTGTCCAGCCACAGGGTGGTAGCTTTCTACAGGACTGTTCGGTACTGTTCGTATCAGAGCTACTCGCCTGACATAGCCGTTCGCTTTGCGGCGTGCACGTTGGTCAGCAGATGCATTTCACCAAACACTATCCCCTGACAAGATGCGAAGCTCGGCTGACTGTGTGGCTCTGGTCTACAGCTACATACCTCATCCACAGCAAGCAGCATCAAATCAATAAGCGGATGCACCTGTCCACGTGCAAAAGGAGGCGAGCAGTCAGCTTTGAGCGCCAATTTCATCCTGCAGTGACAACTTTTCTACGGTACGCTTCCCGCTTTCCAATCCCAACTCTCGCATAATGGATCAATGTCCACAGTGTGGTGCACAATGTACAGGTTGTGCAACTGCGTGGAGCACATAAGCTCAAGGAATGTTTAACGGACCCGGCAGAGACTGTGGGGGAAGGTTTTGCCGTTATAATAGTGAGTTCATATTCTGCGCACGAATAACAAGCCTTTTCGCATAATCGGTATGCAGGTAACATGGCCGGACTCAACTACTACAAGGCCAAGCGGGTTTCATGTTGGTACCGTCCTGCACTACCAAGTCGCTTTCAATGCTTCGCTTCAGCAGGCTTCCTTCCACAACTACGTCATCTTCACACCCAGCAAGGAAGACCTGCTAGCGGCCGGCTTCAGTGGAAGCATTTACTCCTTTCACTCGGGCCGTGACAAGGCCAGCGAGCGTACGTCTCCCTCCCTCTCTCTATCTCTCTCTCTCTCTCTCTCTCTCTCTGTCTCCCTCTCTCCCTCTCTGTATGCCGCACACATGTTACATGTATGTGTGGTTACATACACATCCGCAAACTGGCGGCATGGGCATCGACAAACGAGAGATGCGTTTCAAGCGCATCACTGAGGTGAATCCAAACAAAGCTGAGGAGAAGCTGCGCTTGAAAAGATGGGTCCTGGCGAGATGCAAAGAGGCTTGCGGTTGTGCAAGCTTAGCCACTTCTTTGGCAGCCAACTGCAGTGAACCCCATGAGAAACAGAAACATGGATGATGTGATTTCACAAGCGCGGCAGGAAATGTAGACTGCACAGACTGGATGTCGAAGGTCGGTATTCCTGTCGATGAGACCCTCAGCAACGGTGGCTTCGTTGAAGAGCCCAACGACGTCATGGCATGATCCTGAGAGCTTCCCTGGCCAGTGGCGATCTGTTCCAAACAACTTCCAAACTTTTCTGCAGACAAGCCGCTTGCACTGGGCCTGCAGGCTTTCGACTTCTCCGAAATATGGAAATGCAAGAAGAACTTTGCCTTCAACTTGCCTCCCATCGGGTACGACACTGAGGCCGCAATCGCGCGCACACACAAGTTATGAGCGACGCAGCCAAGCCAAAGATGGACTGTGCATCTGCGCAGGTGCATGGGCCCTGGACAGGAAAGTCTTTGGTGCCGCCGATAGGCTTGGTTGGAGATGCAGTGCCTGGGTATTGCAGGTTCAATGGGCTAAACAGGATCAAACGATCTTGCTGGTTTCACCAGGTCTTCGAGGTTAGAACGGCTAGGAGAGGGAAGCAGAGTGGTCCTTGTCCTGCACGTTTCATGCGATTGCTAGCCGCTAGCCAATTCGGTTTTGTCCTGTCTTTGACCTCTATGATATCCTGTGACGTTTTCTTTGCTGGACCTGGACTGACGAAGAAGAAGAAGGCCCTACAGTACATAGGCCAGTCATAGTCATAGGCCCCATGTGTGCAAGCAAAGGTGACGGAGCCATTTTGGATCGCCGGTGTGGGCTTGCAGCGTGGTTGGAACCTCGTCGGGAGACACCGCCTGGACATGCCTTGTTCCAGTATCGGCAGACTGAATCCATTGGACTCGAGCTTTGGCTGCACTGCTCAGGAACGGCGTGATGGATGCATGCTTCTTAACCGACAACCTGTACAACATGAGCTTCTCTGGTGGGCCCGATTCTGCAGACACCACGTCCTGGAATGAGCATGTGCCGCGGCTCGAGATGTGAACTTTGCGGATTTTCACGGTCTACTGTTCCCGCCCTTCGCTTTTCAGATGTCAGGTTCAGAAGTTGCAGAGCATCATCCCGGTCCTCTATGACTGCAGTCATGATGGCAAAATGACCAGAGAAGGTGCTGCCTGCCATCTAAGTTCTGGACTTATCTGAAGTGTACATTTTGGGGTTCCTTGTGTTTCTTAGTCAAGCAGCCACCCTGTGCACTCGGGCCAACTCCTTGGGGCAGGCTTGCAGGGAGAATATGCGGACCAGGGAGTCGTCATGACGCAGCTGAACAAACAGCCGGCGGCTCAGCGTGACTGCACTGTCAAGCGCACCTTGCCGATTTGCGGTTGCAACATGCTGCTGTCCAGGCAAAAGGACTCGGAGAAGCCCCAGTGGCAGCTGCAAGTGAACCCCTGGATGCGCTACGAGCAGTTCTCAAAGCAGTTGGATGAAAAATACAAAGGTGCTCTTGATGAAGTTCGGTTGGGCAGTACAGTACATGGCAGGCGAAACCCTGAAGCTTCCACAGCGCAGGTGCACGTGTTCTGGAGAATATGCATCCTACGGTGCGGCGAGCACTGGCCATCAGGCTGGGTGCTGCCTTGTGCAGTGAAGTGTCACAACATGACGTGCCGGCCAGGAAGCACCCGAACGACAGCGAGGTTTTCAGTGCCAAAAAGCTGAAGTCCATCAACGGAAAGAGCATTGCACAGGCGCTTGAGAGCCGCGCGCGCAGCAGCCGCTTCATGGTGTCGCCATGCTTGAGGCAAACCCAGCAGATCAAGTCCTTCAGGAGAGGCGACGCTGGATTGAAGGAGGTGTTTCACTGGGCCCATGTCAGTTACATGTTCTATGTCTTTTCCGACGGGTGACCCATTTCGGATGTGAGGAAAGTCATCTGGCGATGCTCAGTTGCAGCCTATGCCGGCAGAGAGAACGTCCATACCGGAAACCGAAGTGGATGCTCGCATGCACTGGTTAAGTGGCCATGTACTTTAGCAGTCCCAGTCCCGATTCTGCCTGACAGTGACACCTCTGACCGCTTTGACTTGCGAGGCGAGGCGTGCATCCACAAAGTCCGAGAACTTGCACAACATGCTAGCAAAGCAAATCGATCGGCTCTCAGGTTGAGTCAAGACTTCTGCTGTAGAACGGAAAGCGGCAAGCTCTCGCCACTGAGGACCTTCACGTTCAAAGCACAGCTTCCAACAGCACAAGAGGCTTTGATGACGAACGGTGGAAACCTTTGTCCCCGAAGGCATCATCCGAACCTCCTGTTGGAGGGACCAGCAGCTAGCTGTGGCTTTGCGTTCAGGCGACCGGCTTTGCCGAGATGGCTGAGAAGCAGTGGGACATACTTACAGCGCCTTGTCCTGCCAAATGCTTTGCACGCATCGGACGGTTCTTTTGGAAGTCAACTTGCAGGAAAAGCATCTCAGCCCTGGCCAGCGTGCCGAACTTCTTCACGTTCGGTGCCTGGCCTTGGAGCAGGTCTTTTCTGGTTTGTCCATCCTTCCGCGCAGTTGCAGCGCGCTTTGACAAATTTGAGTGCCTGAGGAACATGCAGGTATCCCTGCGGCAGCAGATCGAAAGCCTTAGCACCAGCCTGGCGGCATTCGAGCGTGCCGAGCGGGAGCTTCTCCTGGGGAGTGGATAGAAGCAAGAGGCGGACAGATTTCTTGCCTTGTGCTCTGGCTCTCGCCGCTTGAGGGGCCTGGCGTGCAGGCTTCGGTCTTTCGCACTTGCAACGCCTGACAATGTCAAGGGGCTCTCCCTCTGCCTCTGCATTCCGGCATTGATGGCCGGGTCTTGCTTTCTCAACAAAAGCTCGACATTGTATTCCAATCTCTGCATCGAAATCGTCACAGTTTTCGTGCCATAGGAACTGAATTGTGAGCATTCGTGGGCTTTGTGAGCTGAGCCTATCAACATTGGAGAATCCAGACCCAATCGACGAAGTACCCTGTACATCCTTGTACACTTGTGCGAGAAAACAGACATCAGCAGCATTTGGCTGCAGGGATGGTTGATGGTGGCTTCAGTGCGCGTGACAATACCTGACATTTGACATTGGTTTCTTTGTCTGGAACAGCCGGCAGTCAGCAGGCTGCTGCAATGCTACATCCATGCTCAAGTGTTCTTAGTGGGTGCTGAAGCAAATCGCAAATCAACCCGCGCTCCGCAGCTGCCTTCGGGAGGCGGAAGTGGTATCCAGCGCGCCTTGCAGCTTGGTGGTTTGACGATGCCAATTTTTTTCAGAATTCAGGCTAGCAAATGTCATTTTGTTATGCACAGCCTGCCGGACTCACACTGGCGGCTTTGGTCTGTGCTCTTAAACTCTTCAGTTGCCATGTTGGATGGAAGCCTCAGACGAGGCTTCTAATGTTCATGGCGGCACGAGCATACTATCGGTGCGAGTGCAAAGCACCACCACGGTCGAGCATGCTGTGACGCTAAAGCAAGACACGCTCCAAGCACAGCTTGCAAAAGTCAGAAGCATGGAGCATGACAAGGTCGAAAGGGTGTCAAGTTCGGAGTTTGCAGAGAATCACAGAACTTGCGGAATGCTTTGAGCCTCCTCCGAAGGACCGCACCGTGACTGTCAGGGAGCGCGACACCATGTGGCAGATCAGGCGGCCTGACAATACTTGAAGTCTTGGGCCTGCTGTCGGCCTTGCCGCTACTTGTACCTGCCTGCCGGGCCTACGCTTTCTATCTTTTGCTTGAGAGGTTGCCCCTCAGCGAGCTGGCCTCGCTCCTCCTCACGTTGTGCAAAGGCGCCCAGGCTTGGGAGGCCGAGAGCGCAGGGCTTGACCTCCCACCTGTTTCGATTTTTGATTTCGACGACAGGAAGTGCAGTTGCAGATGCCACTTGCAGAGGTGGCATTCAACAAGTACCCCCACAAGAAGAGCAGCGCGGAGAGCGAGTGGGCGCGCTGAGACAGAGAGCTCGTGGGTCACGGAGACTGGCAGCGAAGTGTCGCTTCCATCCGAATCAAAAAAAGCGACAGCTGAGGGCAGCTGTGGATCTGCCATGAACCGCAAAGTCTGCTGACGGATCTAGCTTATGGTATCTTATGGTCTTTCTTCTCCCGAACTCCTCGCGAAGCCTGCGCAGCATTTTACTCAACGGCGAGCACGCCGATCTGTTCTCCCTGTCGTCTTCAACATCCTTGACATTCACATGTAAACCACTACAAGTATGTCTGATTTGAGCCGTTAAGTCGAGAACACCGCCAGACACAGGACTCCAACATGAGGCCTCAAAAAAGACTCAGGCTGTGGAATGTAGAAGTTCTTGCCGGACGACGTACCCAGCAAGAACATGATGGCATGGAAGAGGTCAAGACTGTGTGATGCTGCAGGAAAGAGGGGAAGGAGATCGAGGGGAGCAAAAGCAGACGGAAAGCAGTGAGACAGCCCAAGGCCGGGGAGCCGTTCACCGGAGATGCTTTCTGCCCCCACCCCCCGCATCCCCCACGCTGGGCTGGGTCTCCATTGTGTGTCCATACCTCGACAGCTGGAACTGGCGGGACGCTTCATGAGCATCCGACCTAAATTTGCCGATTCAGACCACTACTGTACTGGTATGTAGTCGTGACTCATAGCAAGACCGAAAAGGTTTGTGAACAACCAGTTGGTTGCACAGGCAAGCCTCAACCGCAACATCAACTTGCGCACCAGTTCGGGTGGCTGCAAGCACTGAAGTTGTGAGGTTCCTTGTGTTGAGTTTCAATGCTGCAGCGGCGGGTACAGCCAGAGTTAAGCCATTTTTCAGAACACATTCACCGCGCTTGTAATCGCAAGGATCTGAAGCTTTGCAAGCTTACAACTCACCCAAGCTTTTAACAGCCTTGGGCCAAGGGTATACGGGGTCGAGTGTGGACTCCTGGAGCCGTGGCCATGGGGCAATGGCAAACTGGCAAGCCCATGACTCTCACAGTGACTTGGTGTTTTAAAGCAATTCCCGCATACGCAAAACTCAGACTCCTTATTGCCGATACTGAGGGGAGGTGCCTTCACCTTTCGAGCCATCCTTGCTGGAAAGCCCCTTGTGGGTCAACAGCTGCCAAGCTGAGACAATGATTGAGCTCTGTTTCACAGGCACACAGCCCGTGCCAACTCCCTACGCCCTAGGCTTCCACAAGAAGAAGGCGGTGAAGGTCGAGTCCATCGAGGAGGACGGCGTCGCAGAGCCTCGGCTCTCCGAGGCAGCACTTGCCAACTACGCAGCGTCGCATCTTAGTCGTCTCTTCGTCTCTTAGGAGAAGATCTATGCCAACTGGATCAAAGAAGAGTTGCAGAAGGAAGCGGCGTGCTTGGAGCTGCCCTTCTCTGTGGTCTTCCTGGCATCCTTTGTGGCTTGGCGAATCTGGACAGGCAAGCAAGGAATCTAAACGCATTGTAATGGTGTTAGAGCTTGCTCTGTGGAAGTTGGCCATGCGTCGGCATGCCGAGGCCTTATTTGCACTTGGGTATTTGGCGCAAGATGTTGTGGCGGTCTGAGATTACAGCAGTTGCACATAGGCTCCCATTTCGCACACAACATGCAATCAGGTCATGAGTGTCGAAAACTCGATCGAGACGGACATTACCGAGAATGCAAATTTTGCTTTCGACGCTTGGCCTCGGATGTATTGCACGATTTTTCCCGGGCTCGAAGGTGCCCGTTGAAATCTACTTGTTGGCGTGCTCGGCTAGGAAGGCTACTTCGGGAACAAGGTTATCGGTGACGTGAACAGTTTCGCAGACTTCTGGTCATGGACGCACCTGGTCAGCATCGGAATCGGACGCACACAGCATCGTGACAGCTTTTGCGGGAATGAACGACGAAACGCCCAGGCGGTTGGGTCTTCTTCCGCTGGTCTTCCCTGAAATGCCCTATCTCTACTCTGAGGGCCTTGCAGAGGCAGTCCCAGAGGCCCACTAAGAGCGATCAGCTTTTCAAGTCCCTGTGAGATGTTATACTTTCCGGCAGGGCTACAATGTCAGTGCCCTTCCTCAACGATGGTTATATCCTGGATACGAAAAGCCAGCTCCTGTGCAAAATGATTACTTGAGGCTGGGCAGAATGACCAAAGTCTGAGCAGTCGCGGCGCATGAGAAGTCCACCAAGTTTCAGCCCAGCAGTATGATTAACGCCATATGCGCAGTGCTCGGCAGGTACAACAGAATCATTGGAGGACTGCGATTTCGTCAGGAGGCCCAAGGCCTCAGCTGCCCTGGCTTTCCTTGCATAAGACCTTGGCGGCAGGTTTCCACCGACGACAAGGCAACCTGCACACACTTCGGTGATGAAGCAACTTTCAGGCTGCGCACTGCTCTGGCTTACTTGAAGAGTTAGTGGCCATGGGTGTGACGACGTGGTAGCAAGAAAGCTGGAATCGCAGAGGACATGGATCGGCAAGCCATGCACGCACTTCACTGAATACGAGCTGCCGTGCATGGCTTAGCTTTCCAGCTCGTGGGCTTGAGTGGAGCAGTGCAGCGAAACGTGGGAAGCTTCAGCATCGGGCGCATACCTGCACATGATTCCTATAACATTTGTGGAGGCCCGACCTCATGGCCACGGAAGCCTTCAATAGTGCACCTCAGCGGGTAGAGTGGTTTCTGCCCGAGGTGGGCCGCTGTGCCCTTGCCCTCAGCCTCTTCTGGTGCTTCAGAGCGACAGGTCGAAGGGACATCAGCTTTGATTCAGCACGTGATCGACATGGAGGCTCGGGCCAGCAAACACGTCGCTTTGCCAAGTGCCCTGATGCACCCTGGCCAGGATGGTTGCTTCTCGGCCAGAGCGCAGAACCGGTGCCGTCCTGAACATGGCGACTGACTACCATTGACTACACCGATGCTTTCCCCATGCTCTTCGGGTGTGGGATTCAAGCAAGCGCGATTCTGCTCAGGACATGCCTTTGCCAGTGGTGCGACGCGCAGGTGTGCAGCATGCAGAAAGCACGGCGGCAATCGGTGCGTTGTCCAGCACATGCTACTTGCCTTGCAAGGTGGGCCCACATCCTTGGCTGGATGAGCAGACACAACGAGCGGCGTCCTCTGCGGTGAAGAGCGTCATGCAGCATCACCTCTTTGACGGCATCCGAGGTCGAAGTCGCCTTCATAACGTACAATGCACATTATGGCCATCACCCTAATCAGCGGCCTTGCTTCACAAGCTGCAACTTTGGGGGAAACGGCAAGACTGTTCTCTTTCTCGGCTCAAGACTTCAAAGAAGAGTTGTGCGGACTCCGCCCTTCGCAGTTTCGTATCCATGGCGTGCCTGGGCTCACTTGTAGCAACTGTAGAACCGGGTGCTGACGATCGCACGGTTATGGTTTGAACTCAACTGAAGCCTCACACATTTGTTGAGTCGAGGCGGGCCTTTGGAATTGTTTTGATTGCGCTCTTCGCTGTTGGCGAAGCATCCATAAGCCCACCCACATCTTGTCAAATCACTCAGAGACATGGCTGCACGGCAAGTCGCTTTCGGTTTCTCCTCCGGCTCAGTCCTTGTAGTTCAGTCATCGATCCTGGGTCGGCATGGCCTTTCACGAAGGACCAGCTTTCAGGCGTCCAATGTCAGATTGGAGTCCATATCTGCCGGACGCCTACGGCATCCTACGGCCTACGCCACTCAAAGGTCTGCGTTTCAAAGCGCTCGCCAGGTGCAAACGACCCATCAGAAGCTGGCATTCGACATGGAGGCCCCAGTCTCTCCGGCCATGGGTTTCTGGCTAGCGGCTTCGATTTCGTCGCAGGTCAACTTTCAGGCGACCTGCACCAGCGACACCGGCAACACCACTTGGACGTCGGCTACGGGAGATGCTCGGAAGATAGCTTGATGTGCACTGGCCCAGAGAGGCGATGCCAAGGCTGTTGCAGCCGAGGTGCGGCAAATGAGTGTGAAGGGTATAGACGTCCGCAACACGAAGACTGGAACGATGGATTATGGAGTAGAAGTCAAAGACGCGCAGGACGACACAGCTGACACGTGCAAGTGCTTTGGATAAGGTCAATGGTTGAAATGTTGGGAAAGATGAGAGTTGCTCGAAAATGGGCAACTGAATGAGGATGTCAGGCGGTTCGGTTCGATTTGTGCTCTGCTCTCAAAAAATGTTGTTTATACATTGTGCATGTATATATGTATACGTGTATATGAGCGCCCATATGTATATATGTATAGTATGTGTGTATATATATATGTATGTGTATATATATATATATACATATATATATATATATGTATAGAGTAAGGAAGCAAGGAAGCGGACTCACGCATGAAGCCGGATGCCGCCTGCTCTGCCCAAGTACGGGACCCGGGCATGGAGCATCGCTCCACGGACTTGGGCCTGACATAGTATCTTTTCATCAACTTGTCTTCGCGCTTTCAGCCGAATCCTGGGGTACCAGAAATTCTGAACCTCGAGACCGCAAAAGCCCAGCTCTGAGCAGGACAACGGCGCCTTCCAATATGGAGCCCGCTGGGATGGCGACTGCGTGAGCGAGGAGTTCAAGGGCACGTGGACAGCAGGACTGCTGAGGGCCGACAGTGTTGTGGGAACTAATCTATAACAAATCTTGTATTGCCTTCAACCACCCCGGTTGGCAGAAGGGGATGGGAGGAAAGGGGGGTTGGCGGGGGGGGGGGGGGGAATTGCATTCACACAGCGAGGCATGGCCGATCAATCCACTGGGAGGAGGAGGGTGTGAGGTGTGGTGGCGAGGAGGGCAAACAGAGCGTCTTTGTTGGAACCTCTGACCGCTTCGGCCGGGGTTATGAGATCCATGGCGATTTACAAGGATCGCTTGCTCAAATTGCTTGAAAACAATTACTTTCACTTCTAATTATAAATGTTTGTGATCAGCTTCCAACACCATCTTGATTTCGGTTTTGTATATTTGCACTCATCTTGTGCACCTCCAAATAAGTGCCATGTGCTGGGTCTGCTAGGAATCCGACCTTGGCACACCAGTCCACATGAGGATTCATGTCCGGTGGTAGAAACAACTTGTGCTGTAGTTATGTGGTAGTAACGTGTTCAGAGCTTGAGGGGAAGTGGAGCGGCAGACAAAAAACTAATTCGACAAGACAGTGTTGTGTCGGGAATCTGGTTGCTTTGCTCGCTCCTCGTGAAGAACGTCAACTTCCACCCGCTCGCTGCGCGGTTCGTCTGTTTGTTCAGTGTGGTCAGTGCTGGTGTGTCGCCGCGTGATGCAAGCGCACCGAGAAAAGCTATTTCGGACAAGCTTCTTCAAGCACTCGTAACAAAGCACCAGCCACGATGAGACTCTGGTTCGGCAGCAGAGACACACACACACACTCTCACTCACCCACTCAAAGCGTAGTAGTCGTATTGGGGAAACAGGGTGATTATCCTACGCTATCCTACCTTCCAACATGCGTCCGTGAGAAGGTTTGCACAGAGACGAAAGTGCCAGAATGCAAGACACGTCAGGGTTGGGGGATCATACTTGCAAAGCTGGCGAAACGGAACTCCCTGCGGTTTTCCGATTGATCAGGCAAGTGAAGCAGTCTTCTCGCGATGATATGCAGTGCGAGCCCAATGTCTAGGTACAACTACGTGTGATTCCACTGGTGGCACCTTGAGTGGCCAAGATTGTATTGATCTTTTCAGGGCAGTGGAGGCTGGGGCGTTTCGAGCCGGGCGCGAGGCAAGGTGAGGACTTAGGATCTTAGACTCGTGGGAGGCGTCAATCTGCTGGAGCGTCGCTTCGCCGCGGGTTTGTGTAGACACGATGACCGTCTCCGGGACCTTATCGGCCTCGGTTCCTCAGCTGCAGTCGGGAGGATTCTGTCGGGACGATCCTTTTGCACTTGCTCTGAGGCACAATTGAAGCTGGTCGCAGCTGACAGAACCGTGTCCAGTGACCCGACATCTCTCCTAGACGCTTGTCATCCACGCAGAAATCATTTACTTTCAGCCTCCAGCTAGCGATGTGCAGAGCAGGCCGCCTTCTTACGCGTGCTCACTTGTACTGTTGCCGTGTGATTTGCTACGCAGCAGGCATCGGCAAGGAAGGCATACCCGTTGTAGCTGTGGCTATCATTTTGGCATACCTTATGCTTCCGGGATGCTTGATGCTGGCGCTGCTACCCCATCCTGTATGTATGAACTGGTTTCTGGGGACTGTGCGGTTTTATGATACGTGTGCGGGTGGCACTGGACGTCGGAAAGATTCAGCCCTACTTATGTTTTTCCGTCAGCGTCGCTGTCTGGGCATTAACACAAGCTGAGTGGCCAAAAAGGGGATGATGGCTGCAGGGTGCTATCTCTCACTCCAACAAAGTATAAGGACACGAGTGGATACTACAGCTGCTCCGGCGAGGAGGTAGAAGTCAAGGAACTCTGACGCAAAAGGTTTGACACATCCTTTTGCTGCTGGCGATGTCAACATCACATCTTGGCAGTCTCGGCAGGCCGACAGTGGGTCAGTGTCTGCATGCATATCCAGATGGTTACCGCCATCCTTCTTGCTGACACTTCTCGGATATCTGCATCTTTGAGTCAGAAGCAGCCAGCAGAAAACATAGGTCGCTACCGGTGTACAGAGCGAATGAATTTCGCCCTCTGTGAATCACGCAGTGGGCTGTTGTGCAAAGATGGCTGTGGCAGTCAGCATGAAACAGCATCATGAACTAGCGTCGTTGCTGACCAAGAAGTGTTTGTTGCTCACGGTGTGGCCCTGCGGTCTGAAGACGTTCAGGTCTCTACAACCTGGCGACAGCCAACTTCTGGCCCGGATCTTGAACATATGATACTGGTGTTCTCCGGAATCAATGCAAATTTCAGATGAGGTTCTCCAGAGGTGGGAACATCTTCAAGCTAGTCTTCGTTCGGTCCTCTTGGGCCGGGCTGGAGGCATCGGACCCTGATTGGGAGTGTCCGCTTAATAGCACGAAAAGACACGTCTAGAGAGGTTGGAAAGCTTTTGCTTCAGATGGCCCATAATGCCCATACTGCTATGCCCAGTTTCGCATTCGCACTCAGCTGTAGAGTACAGATGTACCAGCCGGCTCGGCAAGCCCGCTAGAATTGCCAGAGTCGCCACATCTGGTGTCGCGTTGTCTGTAAGGCCCTAATTTCTTCAGTTTCAGAAGGTCTCAAATAAATTTGCCCGGGGGTTTGTGTAATGTCCAAGCAGAGCTGGGTGCGCCGGTGCAAGCGGATAGAGAGTGGGGATTTTGTCGGCTGATGCTGCCGGCATTGACTCAAAGGCTTGGAATTTGGCGGGCCGGCACAGTATTCAGGGACAAGGATGGCTGATTAGGTTCAATACACCAGCAACATCCAGCAACCCCTTCAGTCAGTCAGGGCAAAACCGGCTTCACTTGCTGTCCAACATCACCAGAGAATTCGAGGTCATGCAACATTTCAGGTGCGAGAACCCGGTGTGCTGGCCCTGATCGCTGCCTCCGGCGTCCTCTGGCAGCCGACCGAGCGCGAAACCACATTCCAAGACTCACTCAAAAGAAGATACAACTCCTCCGAGCTTCAGGGTTGCCGGCTGCCTCTACCTTGCAAAGGGTGAGCTGTTGGCCGTGGCCTTGTGATTTGTCATGAACTTTGGTGTGTGGGCCCGGGCACCTTCGCAACCAAGGAGATGGCAAGAATGATTCAGCGTTCCAACAAGATCTGGTAAGCCTGTGGCACCCAGCGTTTTCTGCAAGCCAGCCGATGGTGTATTTGTTTTTCTCCTGCCAGGTATTACACGTTGGCGCAGGACTACCTTGGTTTCTGGAATTGCTTAGCCTCAGAAAAGAAAGCATCATCGCACATTGAGGGCAAAGTAGTATTCGGAGAGATCGCTTCGTGCTCGGAGTGGCGATTCGTAAGACGAGGTGTTGACTGGCTGGCGATCATCATGACAACTGTGATTTCCATCAGCTTTGGAGTGTGTGCAGCTAAGATTGCAAGATTGCGTTGGTGGTCTTCGCAGTTCTCGGCGCAATGTTGCGAGACAGCCAGGCTCCACATCTTCATCGGGGATGTCAATGGCAAGCTGGCATCTTAAACTCTTCTTTCTACCCCAGCAGGAACGACCGAATGATTGATCTGTCACATGGGATGTCACAGAGCAAACTCGAACACCCCCGCTCCCTTCGTCGCATCTTCATTATGTACTGTAGAAACTGGTCGCTATTTTTAGTCGCATTGTGGTTCTGATCCATCGATGCCGTCGCGGCTTCTTTTGAACCTCACTTTCGGTGTTCTTCTGGGTCAACAGCAGAGCCTCCCTGCAGTGCCTGCCGCGAAAGAGCTCACTTCGTCGAAATAGACCGGTCACGGACTGCTTCTAAGGGTCATCTGACTATGCCCCTCAAGCCCTTTATTCCTTTCTACAGCCTTTTTTTGTTTGCCCCGACGCCGGCTCGACCCCTCCAACTGAGGCAAAACAGGGCACGCTTAAATCTGATTCCCGGATCGTGTTCTCGTATGATGCAGCTTCGCTGAACCACTCGCTCGCATTATGGCCAGACGAACAGGTTCTTGTACTCAGCAGCCTCCTCAAGCCTCAGCATCCGCAGCCGAAGTAGCTGCCGCCGCAAGGGGGGAACCCAAAGAGACCGAGCATGGAAGAAGACAGCATGAAACGCAGACCCCAACACATTTCCAAAAAGGGTCATCGTCTTGAGGGGAGCAGCCAGCCTGGACAGACGTTGAGGATGGAAGCGTCCTTCCGGTGGCTGTCTGGGCCCTTGTCGATGTCGCCTCGCCCTGCTGTGCCCAGGTTGGGAGCTATCGTGACGGAGGTGGGCACTCAGACTATCCGAAATTGACGGCGCTTCCAAATGGTTGTGGATTGCAGGTGGACAGCAATGGCTATCCTCCACTGGAAACATATCGGGAGATTGCTTCAGCCCCGGAGATTCATTATGTCAGTAACTTGATGTTATCGCGCCTGACGCAACGATGCTGGTAGAGGTTGGACTTTAGGTCCCAAGGGATCCTTTTCAGATGTTCGGAAGCAGAAAATCAATAACCTCGGATCCGGCCACATAAGGCCTTTCGGCCGCGATTCGTGGGCACCCTTCCAGTCAGAGGGTCCTCAAACGAGGTGTTTCAATCTCTATTCAGCCTTTCTCTTACCTTTGGTTAGTAGGGAATGGAGGAATGGGGTACAATCATTACTCCCATTACTACCATTCTTCCATTTCCTACTAACCAAAAGTAAGTTCTCCCAAGAGCCCATCTACATGAGCTGCCAAGCCTATGCTTTGTTTTTCCTTTTTTCTCTTTTAGCAGGACCTTAACTTGGCCCCAAGGCTTGAAACAACCGGCCAAGCACAGTTCAGTTTGCTCTCAGGCGTCCAGCATAGAGCTATGCTAGGTTCAATGTAGTGTAGTCCTGACAGTACAGCAAGGGAGGAACGTTTGGCAAAGCATTGCTCATTTGCCTTGTGGCAGAGTTCACGAAACGGTTTCATTGCGGTGCAGCAGCATTCTAAATAGACTTGTAGTTCCACAAAGCAGGGCAGGGGACATTGCCGTTTTATGTCCAGCAGATCAGAGTTAAGTGGGTGCGGGTGACATGGTCTTGATTTCTCCAGTATATGAGAAGGGGTTCTGGGATGGGAAACCTTGCCAAACAGTTTGAAAGAAGCACACCCGCATGTTGGGCTGACATTCTGAGCAATGTGAAGCACGAACACGTGGCAACCACGGCGAGGGCATGATTGTAGGTCGAAAGATGTCAGAGTTTGCTAGGCCGCTAGGCAGGAGTCAATTATCTGGAAGCTTTTCCAACTCGGGGCTATGCCGTGACATTTAGAAGCCAAAGTAACTTTACTCCCTTCGGTCCAGCTCGGCTGACAATTTTCCACTGACTTTCGCTGCGCCATGGGGCAAGCGATCGTCACGTACCGATTTTACACTTACGGCCGTCAGCACTTTACGCAGACTGGGTGGCCGCCTCCTCATTTGCCAGTTGTTTGTCCTTAGCTGTGATACCGAAGTCGATGCTGACCTGCCGAGACCGCAGCAAAGGAAGGCACACTCTGCGTCCTACGGACATGGTCAAGATCTGCAGTCCTTCAACTTGCGAGGGAAAGTGTCCGTGGTGACTGGCGCCAATTCAGGCGGGCCCCGGACTCTGACACACTGCCAGCAGATGCGAATTCCTTGCAGAAGCAGCAATGATATATGGCTGGGCGGCAACACAGTCACCATGAGCTTCTCTGAGCAATGCTTGAGTCAACTGGGTCAGTCCTACATTCTTTAGCAGCATCTGGCCTGGAGGAATTGGACGCGAAATCGCAGAATTCCTGGTAGCCCGTGGAAGCAGGGTGTATATGGCGGCCCGGCTTACTTGCAGCGAAGGGAAGGTCCCAAGGCAGTCTCCGCAGGCCTCTGCCGGACGGCCTCCTGGGGTGCGGATCTGCTGGGAGCGTTTTTCCGGCGGCCGAGGTCTGCCGAAATGCTGAGCGAGGCCAGCAGGCCAAGGATGAAATCGTTCAGAAGACCAGCAGCCCCTTGGATTCTGTCAGCTGCACTCGGAGCTGACGCTTAAATCTTTCGGAGTCTGAGGTCAAGATGTGCATTTGTTGGTGGCAGATTGCGGTCTTGCCTCCGATGTGCGCCGGGTAGCGGCGGAGCTTTGCGAGAAGGCACGACACTTTGATGCCAGTCTGCCAGTAAGTTCACTTGTCGCGGGACTGTGGGCGAGACACCCTCCGCCCCGCCAAAACCGCGCTCCGCCACGCTGTCTTACTGTCTTTGTCTCTTTTGTTTTTCGGCCAGGAGGCAGCGGGGATTGACTGCTTGGTTTGCAATGCGGGTGCCATGACCCAGAAGAAGACGCTCACGGCAGAAGGGCATGAGGTGGGATGTGCGAGTTGCGCAGGACACAGCAAGTCTTAGGCAGAGGCAACTGCACCCATCCTCGCCCTGGAGGTAACATTCGCGACACACCTCCTTCATGGCACGTACCTTCTGACAGAACAGTTGAGACCTGCTCTGGGCCGGAAGGCTCCCTCCACGCATTTGCAATTTAGCCTGACAATCGCAGAGAAGTCAAAGACGCTCGCATGTGCAGGAGGGTGCGCGGGTGGTGGTTGTCAGCTCTGGCGGTGTCACGCATGGCAGAGTCAGAGGCTGTTTTTACTAAGTTTCTTTTTCCGTGCTGTAGTAATGCGCTGGTCTGGTTGCGACAAGTTGAGGTATGCTGAACGTGAAGTACAATCACAATCTGGCCACTGGTAAGAAGGGGTCTTACGATCGCCAGCTGGCCTATGCATACGCAAAGAGGGGACAGGCAGTCCGGCCCAGTCTTCCGCGCAGTCGCTGATGGGCGTTTGCGAGGCGCCCCTAGACCCGCCCTGCGAGGTGCTGCTATGCGAGCACTGGGCAAAGCAGCCTGGGGAAACTTGGGATTGCGGAAACAGTCGCGAACATCTCCTTCGCTCGTAAAACATACAGATTACTTGCAGAATCTTGTGATTGCTTGCAAAAGCAGTTGTTAGTTGATTTGGCTTTCCCTTGAGGAGCCGATTGTTTTTGCAAGCTGTCACCCTGGATGGACAGATACTCCCGGTTCGGAACTCGGCAACATGAACACGGCTTTGGAACCTGACAATCTCCGAGCCGTCCTAAACTAGAAGCATCATAAGCTAGACCCTACAGCGCCCTATAAACAGACTTGTTCAAGGGTGTCTCCAACCCTAGGTGTGGACCACGCCTATGGCTCCATGAAAAAATGGCTGGAGCCCATGCGGACCAACTGGGAAGGCGCGGAAGGCATCTGCTGGCTCTGCGTCGCTCCAAGGGAGCAGACACCAAGCTGCAGCGAACGATGGAGTGTAGGATTTTTTGAATTTGGGGGCTCTCGACTCAGGATCGAATCCGGTGCTTTTTACCTGGACCGGAAGCCGCAGGCCAAGACCATCGCATCATGGACGCCTTGCACTCAGCGGACAACAGTCGTGGTTTACATCTGCAGGCCTCTGTTCTGCCCACATTCAGGTCCAACACAGAGAAGGATGTGGTCGACATGGCGGCGCTGATGAATAGTGCATATTCATATTCAGTCCACCACGCTGACACATCCAACCTTGCCCTTGCAGTCTCAAACTGTCTATCCTGGTTAACTACGCCCCATGACTTAAACTGTTACCCAAGGTGGCTGCGCTCCAATCCCTGGCCCCAGCAAGCGGCAGTTGAGTGATCTGCCCCCTAGTACTCGCGTTTGGACTCGCCTTGCAAAAGCAAGGATTCCAGAGCAAATGCAGTATGGCAAGTCAATGCGTTTCACCGGACCACACTCCAAGTTTTCGGATCTCCGCTGACCGTTTGCACCGCAGGCAGCTCAGAAATTGCAGAATTAGAGTCAAAACTTGTTTGCAAGGCTCCTCGATCCTGTCCCGCTCGGAAGTGATAATCGTTTTCAAGTCTCAGGCAGTAGTAAGCAGCTGAACCAGCGCGAGCATTGGTCTACAGCATTCCCCATTCGAATTTGGTGCACACTTTCCTCGCGGAGGACCCACTGCAACATCCTCGGATCAGCGACAAGCTGTTGAGCCCGATTGCACATCCTCCTTGCGAGTCCCATACACACTGTGATCGCTTGCGTGAAAAGTGTGCTTCCTGGTTCACGCTGAGATCTTCCGAACCGACTGGGCTTAGGTGCAACTGGTCATTCTAGACCGGAAGTTGCGTCAACAAACTCCGACAGATCACTTGAGCAAGGTGTCCGACTTTGCGGATGCCATTGTGGCGATGCTTGACGCGGACGGGCTCATGTCACTCCAGCATCTGTCTGCACTTTCTAGATCAAGATTCTGGCAGGAGCGCAACCTGAGACTTTGGCTTTGTATCTACCCAGTCGCACCACTCCCAGACAAAAGTGAATCTGCTTGCTATATGGTGTACTACACTCCTCAAGTACACTTATCAAGATCAGGTACTGCTGATGCGGTTGTTCAAGTCTTGCTCTCGGTTCACTGGGCACTCGGGGGCCACCGTTATTCAGATATGAGTATTACAAGTATTGCAGGCTACATTAACCGTGGTTTGCTGCCAGTGCGACCCCTGTAGCGAAGAGTCCTGGCACTGAACAAAAGAGCAGCCGATGAGAGGTACTGGTGCAAATACAGTCGTCACATATGATGGACGATCGCTGACCTGTTCCGAACCACGGCTGGCTGCAGGTCTTTCGCCGCTCAGAAACGCCTCGCAATTGCCACTTGATTGAGAAGTGAGAAAGGTACATGTGCACCAGTCATGCCGATTGAAGCTTGGGATTGCATAATAACCCTGTGCCTGGGTGGGGTGGAGGGGGCGTTAATGTCTTGGCAAGTGCTCGTTCGATTCTGGATGGTGTTCTATGGTAAAAGATGAAACGGAAAAGACAGTAACGACGTTAAGTAAGATAGCGGCATCAGATAGCGACATTCGGGGATAAGGATCCTGTACAGGGATATCATGCAACCCCACTTCTCTCCTCCAACCCGAATGTTCAAGCTTTGCCAGGCTTAGTCCAAGCAGGCATGATATGGACCGGATGGGTGGGTGGGTGAGTGGGTGGGTGGGTGGGTGTGTGCACGTGTGCGTGTGTGTACGTATTTGCGTGCACGTGCTTCTGCAGCGTATCTGGTTTGTGTTGCTTCCTAAGTTTGTTGGATTGATTGTGGCCCATTGTTGAAGTGCTTGTGGTTTATCGTTGCTGTTGCCGAAGCCGTTGTTACTTTTAGTGCAACGCTGATGCGCGCTTTCCAGCATGTCTACTACGGTGACGACCTCCTCAGCTACACAGACAGAACTCAACTTCCAGAAGCACGACTACTATGACGTCGGCTGTGGCTGCTTCTGCCGACTACCACCACTGGCGCTATTGCTACTGCTGCTGCTACTCTTCCGACTACTACTTGTAGGACCACTACGACGACGACTACCACGACGACGACCACCACCACCACCACCACCACCACCACCACCACCGCCACGACTATCACTACTGCTGCTGGTCCTTCGCATTGTCTTCCTTCTCTCCACTATCATCCTCCTCGCATCACGCATCAATACCCTCAGCATGCATCATCGTCATCCCAATCCATCCCCATCGTCACCACTGTGGTTCACATTGCATGTTGCCACCGTTCTGCCCGCTCACGTTCTGCATCAGCACCATTATGTCCACCATCATCACTATGATCACCATCACGTTCATCACCGCCATCACCATCCCCATCAATCTCGACATCGCAATCACCTCGCGGGGTTTTGATGTGTGATCATGGTTGCAATGGTTCGGGGAGGCATGTCGTAACAGCATTGGGGCGAGTAACTGTACGATAGTAGGGCTCCGCCAGTGCTGTTGCCGTCCGAAGTACCGGTCGTCGTCACCGTTTCTTTCGCTTGTTGCTTGTGTCGGGCCCGGCCAGGTGACTGACACCTTCAGGATGGCCTACAACGACTTGATGCACTTTTTCATTGTTTTCGCGTCTGTGTACTTCTGTATGACGGTGCGGGCGCCTGCACAGCTTGGGGTTCGGAGCATGTCGCTCAAAGCTTGCATTCAGCATTTAGGTAACCATGAATCTAACGTTAGCGTGGCGACTGGACGAGTGGAACAATCTTGTGTTCGCTTTGTCATGCCGGGATTGTTGGATCTGTGTGTCGTTTCTCCGTCTGGACTTGCAAACTGCACCACATTCAAGGAGGAATAGGTTGAGTAGGCACCTCACAAAGAGCTCGGCAGTAGTGAGAAATGTGTGACACTAACGAACAAAGATGGTGGTCCGACTGGTGGCGGTTACTTTTTTGCTCATGAGAAGCACGCTGAATAATACCAAAGTGTTATATAAAGTTAGTTCAGATTTGACAGACAACTCCCAAATATACTAGCAGGCGTTGGTCGAATCCGCGTCTTAGTTCTGGGGCAGGTCAATGCCGTCATTTTCTTCGGTCAGGACTCTGCATGCAGTGCGCGATTTAGGCTTCAGGCTCGTGCTCGTCCTGCATGACAACATCGGCAGCGGCCGTGATATACCGTAGCTTGTCGGTGTTCTGGCTGTTTGTGCTTGTATTCGCGTCCGCTGTGTTCTGCGACGTCCTTTGCAGGACATCTTGGACTTTGCCACTATAGATCGGGCACTACATGCGCTTGCAACTGAGTAGCTTCGCCAGAGCTCTGGCAGAGAGATTTGCTGTCGCCGCAGCTCTTGTTAAAGCGAATATCCCGCTCGAAGGTGCTTCCGGGCCATGCTGGGTGACTGGGACTGGGACGAGCCTCGAGCCAAGAATGCCGAAGCGACGACGCATGTGTTTGAAAGCTCTTTACCTGCTGGACATGCAATTGCGATTAGTCTCGCTGAGTAGGTTTGCTTCCCTCGTCTTGTCTTGGCAGAAATGCAACATGTGTAGTGGGGTAAGGATGGGAAAGATCGGAATTCACAGAGCCTTCGCATGGACCCTGCCTTAGCAGTACTTTGCAGGAAATCCGAGTCAGCATAGAAGCAAAGTTCGACTGCGCTCTGTGGCCCGATGTGCAGTAGGTTCTTCTTCTTCATGGTGGTGATGGTCATGATTCTGTAACCTGGCCTGTTTCCGAATCAGCAATATCAGCAAAGGTTCATCTGTGCAGCAACAAGTGTTCACAGCTCTGCACACCGTGTGCCTGAGGATGAATATGCTGGTCGCAATTCTGATGGAGTGCTGGCCTTAGCATCCAGCAGGAGCTGCGGAATACATATGAGTGGTTGGACAAGCATCGGATGGGGCTGTTCTGTCACATAACGCTGTCTTCGACATTCTGAAGACGGTCCTAAACGGATGCGCTCTGCAAGGGCCTATGGTGTGGTCAAAGACGATGCCAAGCACGCAGACTCTCTTCTGGAGCAGGCCGTGACAAGTGCTACGTATCTGCTAATGTCTAGCATACATGCATGCAGTCGCTGGTTGCATGTGCTTCAATTTCGCGCACAGAGGGTGAGCGAAATTGATTGTGCTGGCAGACCAAGAATATCCTGCGGCGTGCACGTCAAAACAAGCGGAAAGAACGAGTGCCCCATCCTCGGGTTCATTGACTAGCAGCAGTCGATTGCCTGAATGGCAGCCTTCACATGGTGACTCAGTTGGGCAGGAATCTCAGTTCCATTTGGGATGCACTGCGGAAGGAGATTCCTACAGCCAGATGCTCCGCTTTTGCAGGCCGGAGGCTGGGAGTTGTAAAGAGAAGATCTGCAGGAGCACAACAATGACGAAGATGCCTTGCTAAGTGGTCAGCTCAGCTCGAAGCCGCCGACTGTTGCCGACCTGCAGTTGTCGTCCAGCTTCAACTCAATTTTCTGCGAAGCTAGATGAGATCAGAGGCAGCGAGCGGAAGATCACCCCTAGGCGGGATTCTGTTGCAGTTGTTGAATACCTCTTCATGTTCTTCCTTCGCTTTCGGCCACAGGGCCTGTCCCCGCAGCAGTCTGACGCTGCAACGTGCTAGTACTTACAGAAATTGCACTGCTCGCAGCCTTCTGCGGGACATCGTGGAGGGCATCCCTGCCTCACAAGCGCTGCGCACTTTGAAGAATTCCCAGATCGACTACGACAAGACTGCCCATGTTCTGTGAGCCTGTGACACTGTGAGCCGTGCAGCTGAAGCCCAGCCGCCCGGCCGCCCGGCCAGCCTGGCCCTCGCAGGAAGGTGGATCCGGCCTTCGAGCTCCAGGACTTCAAGGCCGCCTAACAGCCTCTGAGAGCTCTGAGAAAAGGAAAAGAGGAGGGAAGGAGCGAAGGAGCGACGAAGATCTGTCAAGTGTGGTGTGGAATGCCTGTTGCAGGGCCTCACTGCGTTGCGCGCGCAGGTTGGCCTGACCAACATGGTGACTCGCCTCGATTACTCGGCAGGGCCCCCAAGCACCCGAGCATTGTCGCGGCTTTTGGAGCCTTTGCCGGAGTGTTGGAGCTCAGGCCCTGTGTGCCACCTACCTGAGCGAAAAGATACGGCAATACCAGGACTGCTGACTCTTTCCGAAAAGGCATAGGGCCTATAGGGGGTGCCCCTGCGTGAGAGGATCTTGCCAAAGCCGAAGGCCGCGACACGGGCGGATTTGACAAAGCACTGACAACTCTAAGCGTGGGCCCTAAGGTTAAGGCTCATCGAATACCTCTGCAAATCACATTCTGAATCCGACGGCCCCAGACGTCCAAGGCCTTCCTCTTGGCGAACTGGAGGTTCGCTTCTAGTGATTCTGGTGTTCTTTGCGTCGTGAGATTCATGACTCCTATGTGCAAAGGGTGCCCAACCGATGGATGTCGAGACGTATGAGAACAGTGCAGAGCAGGCAACGAAAGAGCCAGTGTCCGATTAAACAATGTCCGAACGATTGAGCTTTCAGGCCCTTGAAAAAGTCAAGGCCTTGGCCCGGGACCATTCCACAGTGCAGCACTCGGCATGCCGCTTTTGCTGATTCGCATGATGTTCTGAATATCTGATTATCGAATCCCCGTGCCTGTGAGGAGATGGCTGATGGCATCGCTGCAATCTTGGGGGAGGAGATGCAGGAAGCGCTCAGGTGTTCAAACCACGCGCCAACATGTGAAGAAGCAGCTTGTGTCATTTGGGAAACAGCTTAGAATTTAGAATCATCAGAAAAAATTGCCAACACAGGAGCTCGAAAAAAGACAATACAACCAGCGAAAAGCGATCAACACCACTTGCGAGCAGCTGCAGAGACTTCGGGTGCGGGGCTGAGGACTAGAACAAGACCAGGGCTGCAATAGACGCAGAAACATCCAAGACGCAGCCTTGGTCAGGATATGGTCCATCACCTCAGCAGCACCTGTGCCGACATCTCCAACCTCACAACGCAGTTGGGATCTTCCGCAGGGACAGCAGCAGCCGAGTCTGCAGAAAGGATCCCTCGACGTTTTGTTGACACGGTGTGATCTATTTGTTACTTCGCTTAGGTGCGGGGAGAACCCTCTGCTCCACGAGTGATTCTGGATAGAACCTGATAAAGAATGGAGCACCTGCGAACACAGCACTAGGAATTGCCTGTTATGTGCGGTAGACACAGATTAGCAACCCGTGTCAGTCGCAGCGCTTCCGACGCATCGAAGGTAATGCACGTGGCTGCAGCGAGCAGCCCTCATAATCTTGTGCAGCTGTCCAATGATGGCAGCGGCAGATAACGAACCGCCCGCCCAAATCTTGGGGGCCAACGGGTCTGTCTTGTTCGACCTGTGAGATCGGAAGTCCGAAGACATGGCTTCTGATTGAAATTTGAAGAAACAAGTCGATGCTTAACTTCCTGTGTCTGCACGTTGCGGCATGATTGGCGAAATGGAGCTCCAGCATGTGAACGAGAAGCGGCTGTGAAATGAAGAGTCGCCTAAGCTCTTGGCCCAAACCAGAGGGAATGCAACTGAGCGGTTTACAGTTACAGATCACGATGAGCCAGCGACGGCAGTTTTACGGCAGATGCTGGTGCACCATTCAGCACGTGTCGCTATTCAACCAGCATCAACCAGCCATCCAATGAACTGACGGACAAGTCATTCACATCTTCGGCTACTAGTCTCAGCTGGAGCTGTTCTTGGGATTGCTTCAAGATCTCCCACTGCAGGCTGCGGCAGATGACGGGATGTGTTCAGGTTTGTGTTTAGACAACTATAAGGAGGTATTTAAGATTTGCAGTTGCTGTCAGAGTGTTGCTCCTGCAAGTTCTAAGGGCTTTGCGAGTCTTCAACGGAGTTTCTGTGAGTCTTGAAGTCGTGTCTGGCGAAGTTGCATGCTAGAGCCGTTGATTTGCCTGAAGGTCTGAAGGCCATGGAGACAGTTCGCACGTTGATGGCCGGCCTGAAGGCTGCAACTGCCAGTCTATGCCACATCTTTCTTGTCAAATCCACGTTGAGCTGTCTTCTCGCCGACGTTGATGTCACGCTCTTGTCGAGCTATCTACAGGCCCCGCAACACTACGACAAGGCAGTCGTCTCAGAGAGACTGTGCAGTTGCCGCATAGAAATTCCATGTATTCCCATGTCAATGTGAGGAAGGTGCTCACCTGGCAGACTGTCAGGTCTTCAAAGATGAGTGTGTGTACACATGCGCGTGCGACTCAAGAACTCGGTAGCTTCAGAGATTGTGTCTGGTCGAAAGGTGGCACCGCAAGCTTCGTGCAACCGCTGTACTGCACCTTCAGGACACACCATTCTCGGAGAGTGGTCTGGCAGTCAGGCGCTGAATGCGAATGCTCCAATTTGACCTGTCTCCGTAAAGTGGTCAGCAGTCTATCGGCCATGGAAGGCAGAAGGGATGAGTGTCAGATTTGTCTTGATGGGCAACGTAGTCGGCTTCAGAAGTTTGAAGATGGATAGGTGACACTGAGGGGTCATCGCCAAGGTGAACTTGCGGACGTGGCAGGGTGTAGCTGCAGGTTGTGGGCTGAAAGCATCAGATACTGGCATGTGAAGCAGTTTCTGGTTGGATCATCTGCACGACGAACACTTCGCTCTCCCTGTCAGATATGATCGAGTTGGATATGGAAAGATCACAGAGCAAAGGCACCTCGGCAAAGTCCAGAACTTGGGAGTGGAAGGCATTCGCGTACCAGCGACCATTGCAGGTGCTCTATACCTCCTCCAGAAGTTCCGGCGGCAAGAGAAAGACATGCCAGGCTGCGGAGTTCCCGCCCTGGTGTTTCCATGCCTGGGTTTTCTTGCTCAGATACCCAGCAAGAGCCGACAAAGCTTGCCATTGGGGTGCGCCACCTGGTGTTGGGCATGCCGTCCGGCATAACGAGGCCTCGACTTGGCGAGTGTGCTTCAGGTCGAGGGCGGGTTCTTGCCGGACGACAAGTATGAGACAATCAAGGCTACTGACTCTTCAGTTGATCTGTGCTGGCATTCGGATAATGGAGTTCTGTCTTCCATGTTCTAGCTCCGTTTCCAATGCAGGAGTACTCCCTCTTAGTTGCTGCAGCTGGTGAGCGCACCACGTTGCCATACCCCAGCTCCGAGCTTACCGGCTTCTTGCATCTCTTTCTCCTGCTTCCTGCTCAGACGACGGCCTCCGCCCAGCCAGGTGAGGACCTGCCGATGATTGTTTCCAGCGTGTGCGAGGCAATCGTCGCGCACCAGGCCTGCTCCTTTAACACTGTTCCCTGCGCCAAAGCTACAGGTAGTCTGGGGAAAGATCTAGAACCAAGAACCAAGCAGCAGGGTTCAACGAAGACCGGTCCTTCTACGCTGTTACCATGGGCGTACAGCACAGCCGAAGCATCGCAGACCTGCCGTGGCCATTTCACTTTAGGTCTCCAAGGCCCCTGTTTCCCCGGCCTGCCGCAATGGTGGCAATTTCTGGCGTGACCCCGGCTGTGGCCGGCACCAGTGCTTCCTCCGAGCAGCCATCAGAGAGGATCTCTTTTGCAAACCGGGCAGCACGGGCAGCAAGATTGAGTCATGACGAGAATTGTGGGCAAGAGTCCGCAGTTTGAGACTTGAGTTCGTTCGAAGCATAGACGCAGTGGGTAGCGGGAGCATCTGAGAATCAAGGCCGAGTTGATTCTGACGCTGGTGGGCTACGCTGCGACTATCCTGAATCAGATGTGTTTCTGAAAAGGCACAAACCTCTCATGCCCAGAGCGTGCTGCTATTTCGGCGGAAAAGGTCGGCGTGGGAAATGTCTGGCGCTTCCCTTACCTGACATACACGTATGGTGGAGGCCGGGATGTGCACGCTCGGATGCTGTTGACGGAGCCCGTCAAATGGTCTGGTGGCAGGGGCCTTCCTGATTCCGTACGGTCTCAGCTTGCTGCTGCTGGGCATACCACTGTTCGTGCTGGAACTGGGCCTTGGGCAGCTGACTCGGCGTGGAACACTGCTTCTCCGACAGACTTGTCAACCGCACACGAGTAGCACGCTGATGTGCACAGCTGCGCATGCAAGTCGGAGGTTTTGGCATGTTGACAGCTTATCTGCCAGGGGAATGTGGACCAAGCTTGGCTTGCCACGGTGGCAGGGAGTAGGTGCGTCGCGCAGAGATCCCTGTTGCGCACTGCCGATTTCTTCAGAAACAATGCCCTGTTAGGCCTCGCAGCGATGATGTGCACCTATCTGGTGGGCTTGTACTACATTGTCATCCTTGCTTGGACAATCTTCTACCTGGGCAGGACATGGCAGTACTCTCTGCAAAGCGAGTACCGTAAAACTGCGAAGAGCCTGAGGACTCTGGCTGCCTTGCCATCCGGACATCTGCCATGGAGCGATGTGGCTCCGGGGGTGATTTGCCAGATTTGGCAGAAGTCTTTACAACCTTTTCCAGGCTGAGGATTTGAGCTAAGTGCTTCGAGATTCAGCCAATGTTGGAGCCTTGCAATCCAGGTCACTTGCCCCACAAAGGATCTCTACCTGCACAAGGTCTGACTGCAGCGTGCCTTCCATGTGCGCACAGAATCCTATCCAGCCTGCATAAAGCACCATGGAAACTCGTTCTTTTGCCAGACAGTCGCGGACAGCGACAACCTGGTTGACAGCATCACAGGTTTGCTGAATCCCACCTTCGTTGCGAGTACATGGTGCCCGGCGAAATCCACCGACCAGCCGCCTGCAGACTACGTGCTGTGCTGCGGGCTGCAATTTCGGCAAACATGATTTTGTTCGTAGTCCGGCACACAACTCCTCCCATCTGGGCGACAACATCTGCTCATTCCGTCTGGGACGCTTGCGCCCAGGAGGACGCTACAGCCCACGAGATGTCCAGGCAAGGCCTGATCGAAACGCTCGGTTCAAGCCTTGACGCCCCGTCTTTGCAGCACGAATGGCGAAGATCTTCTGGGAAGAGCAAGCCTTGAATCAAAGCAGCGGATTGGACGAGCTCGGAGGCTGCCCGGAGGCTGAAGATGTGTCTGGCATTGAGCGGCATTTAGTCTAAGAGCCCAGGCTTGAACCCGGGTCTGGTGGTGTCCCTGACCATTGCTTGGTTCCTGATTTGGCTGATTGCTCCTCGGCGGTTTGGTAGGGCTTCTTTTCGTCCAGCATCATCCAGCCTTTTGGTGAGATGCCGTTCACGGTTCCTGAACATTCCGGTCTAAGGTTTTCAAGGGCGTCAAGTCCTCTGGCAAGGCTGTGTACGTCACAGCCACGCTGCCATACGTCTGCTTGGGCATTTTCTTGGCTGCCCAGCAGAACATGGGCACTGAAGGGAGAGAGTCTGATTATGTTAGCTGCATTAGCAATTGCATCTCCTGGCATGTAAATGTACTTATTGCGCTGTACTTCCTGGATTGCTGTGCTTACACGTGAGCCGTGACCGCAAGATGCAGATGCTGACTATAGGATTATACGAGCTGGGTTGGATCCGGAATGGTTCCAAGGTCCGTGCACTGACGTTGCCAAACGCCTTTGTTGGCCTGAAATTCCTCTTTGAAGCCGCACCTTGCATGGAGATAGTCCTTCAACAGAGCAGTTCAGAGACCACTGTCAAGATGGCCGCCTCAGTGCCTGTCGCTCGATGACCGCCTGTCTTGAAGCGACATGAGCTTCCTGCCTAGCTGCCGAGAGCCTCTGCGCTGAGGACTTCAGCCATCTCGCAAACCCGCAAGTCTGGATCCACGGAGCTGTGCAGATCTTCTTTTCCTTGGGTGTGGGTTACGGGTCAATTGTGGCTTTCGGTTCCTATGGAAGCAAGAGCGGAAACTTTGTCCGGAGCCGAGCTTCTCTGCGAAGGCTATCCACACTGGTTCCCAACCTGGTTTTCGACTGAGGTCCGAGATGCCACTTCTGTCGCTCGCCGGATGGACGCCCGCCCATGCCACCCGTGTGGCGACACTTGCACAGACGTAGGCCCTGTCTCTCGACAGATCTGAGGTTGCGATCGCCAACTGTGGCACCTCCATCCTTGCCGGTTGCGTGGTCTTTCCCGTTCTGGGCTTTCTCGCTCAAGAGTTGCACGAGTATCTCGGCACCGGCGAAGAGACTCTGCTGGCTGCTGGCTGTTATCGGTCGAGTCACTTCCGGCCCAGGACGGACCCATGTATCTCCGCGGACAGCCTAGATAACTTGAAGAGCATTGGCTTGTCGGGAACAGGACTCTCTCCGGTCTCTCTCTGCGTGTCTTTTGCTTGGCAGTTCGCTGTGTCATGCGAAGGTGCACAAAGCTGTTCTGCTCAGGCTTGCGAACTTCTCTCTGTAGAGCAGTAGGCTGTGCGAGGACTCGCCTTTGTCGCGTTTCCAATTGCAGTGTCGCAGATGCCTGGTAGCTTCTTTTTCGCTCCCTGGTCGGACAACGTACAAGCGCGTTGAAGCTCATCACAAGCCTCTGATTGTCGGGGGCACAAGGTTGTCATGCTTTGTGCTTGGTCGAAGGCTATACTCTTCTTCTTCATGATGTTGCTGCTGGGCATCGACTCGCAGTTTGCATACATCGAAACATTGGCCACTTGTCTGCTTTGCTACACAGTGCCCAGCCTCACTCATCAGACCGAGATCTAGGCCACTGTTCTGGCTGATGCCGGATGGGGGGAGCGGCTCCCACGTCCAGCTCTGACAGGACAAAGCTTTCTCTTGCTGGGCCTGCCGGGTCACATGCAGTCTTTACTGCATGTACTCATAAGTATAATACATATGCCTCTCGCTCCCTCTTTGTCCCCGTCTCTACCTCTCTCCATCTGCTTATTTGTCTGTCTATCTAGCCATCCATCTATCTGCAGCATTATCTACCTATCTATGTAGTCTCAGGGGTTCTCTTCGTATCTCTATCTCTACATATCTCTCTCACTCTCTCTCTCTCTCTCTGCAGTCATGGAGCTGAAAACTGAAGGATTGATCTGCTTCGTCTCCTATCTGATTGGGCTCGTCTTCGTCTCTAGAGCTGGGATATATTTCCTGGATCTGCTCGGAGCCTACGGGAGCAAGACAACGCAATTGCGGCAGGCAGGTGACAAGCCGCAGCGAAGGTTTGACAACTACGTCAGCATCTACGTCATGTTCGCCGTGGGATGTCTAGAATGTGTCGGCTTGCATCACGGCAGCAACATGCGCATCATTCCGACGAGGCAAAGAGATGTTCGATCCTAGGATCTGGACTCGGCAGGGCCAGACTTGGGAGCGCTTCAAGTCATTGTGCGTGGATCACACTGGCCGCCACTTGGGCCGCCTCTACGAGGCCGCGTGAGTCACTGTACACGGAGGGCGGTGCTTTTTTAACATGTGTCGTGACGTCGAAACGTCGGCAGGTGGTCTGGGGATGGATCTGTCCAGGGCTGTGCTTGTTGCTGGTGATCGTCAGCATCACGCCGCCCTTTGGGAAATTGGATGTCATGGACGCCGTGTCGTCCAAACCGTTCCCAGAAGGCAGGGAGCCGACAGAGCAATCGGCAGTACAATCCGCAACTTGTGCCAGGAACAGGCTTTTTTCCCAGCTGGACAATTCCTCTTGGATGGACCATTGCTTCATTGCCCATCGCTGCAATGGCTGTGACTTGTCCAGTTCAGTTTCTGGGGACGGCCGTCGGTGCTTGGACAGTGCGGGCGATTGTTTCCAAGGTCGTTGCTACCTGGCCAAACATTCTCAAAACAAGTCGGAGCGGTGGTTCTACAATCTTCGATGACATTCCAAAGTGAGATAGTTGCATTGACAGACAGTCTTGCCGGTGAGGGGGGCCTCTTGAATTTGGAGCTTCGTTTCGGCTCCTTAGAACATCCCGCATTGTAAAGCATGCTGCGGTTCTCTTCTAGGAGCACTTTGGCATGTCTGGGCACTTCGCCGTCCTTGCAATGATTTTGAGATCGCCAGTTGTCGCATGGAACATGCGACCTGCCTGCACAGTTGTCAGGGTCAGCAAAGGGCAATCTGTATAGAGAGAGATCGGGGAGTCACGGCATGGCAAGAGCTCATGCACAGAGACCCCTGCGATCTCTCTGCCGACAAGCCAGGACACAGATGCAGCCATGAATAGCAAAAACATGATTTACGAACATAGCGTAGTTACAAAATAAAGTTGCGGATCCTTGCATAGGGGGCGAAATCCATGGATGCGGTGGCCCAGTGGGAAGATGATGCCGGATTCTGAGCAGGCAGTCGTGCAATGTCGTGTAGGCGCTGCGATACACGCTGAAGAAAGTTCGGCGTTCCCAGCAGACCTTGCAATCAGGAAGTCACCGAGTCCAAGTATTACAAGGTTGGGTAAGCCATCTCTCAAATGCCTTTGTCAAGTCCAAGGTTTGTCAGTTCAGGACTTGGTGCAGTTGCCAGCATCCAAAAAGATCAGTCCGAATCCAAAGGACATGATGCATTACATGCAAGCGGGTCGGCATGCAACGACACCAGAATGTGCCTCTAGAGACATGTGAGGACTGGGTGTCAGGACCTCTGTTGGTGTGGATCGATGCGACTTCTCACATGTGGGCGAGAGACACCACGTGACAGCACCGAGGTGTGAGAAGAGTGGGGACACGCAGAACCTGTGGCTCAACCTGTCCGATGGGCTCGAAGCATAAATTTGCGTGCTCGTTCCGTTAACGGAGATGGAGCAGCAACAGACTCGCACTCCCGAGGTTTATCGGAGGCGGCCGCAAGTTCTGGGATGGCTCTGGTGGCAGCAATGGCGCCCTGGACCACTTCACAGAGGAAACGCAACGAGTAAAATTGAGGAATTGTAAAGCACCGGGTTAAGGTTTCATGTGGGTATCAACGTGCTGTGGAAGTCTGACGGCGCACTGCGAGCACCCAGTGTCCGGGGCGTCACAGAGAACACATCATACCTTCATCTCGCAAACGCTTTGTGAAAAGAGGCAGCTACACTTCAAGTTTGGTTTCTGACGCCTGCAGCCTCAGAGCTGACAGGAGAACGCGAAGGGCAACTTTTACCCCCTTGCCGCGACCTTGCAAGAGCTGGCCATGTCTGGTTAAGGCCCGCATGGAATGTAAAGCTGCAGCAGCTGCAACGCAAGGTGGTGAAGCTGGGGACGATCACGCCGGCAGGCTGGTGTGATGCATCAGCGATTTCCTTTCTGGTTGATATCACTCAGCATGAGAGAGAAGGCTTCCTTTAGAAAGCAGCTTGCGCTCACGACAAGCATCCTGAACATCTCACCTAGCACTTGCGAGGGGCCGACGTTTACTCTTATGCGCCCGATGAAGACAAGATGGTGAAGGAGACCGAGATCACTTGTCGTCTTGTCGCCGGCGCCATGAGTGTGCTTGGTGAGGACCCTTTGCTTGCAAAGCATTTGGAGCACTGGGGAATTGACGTCATGAAGCTGCTTGTCTCAGAACTACCGCTTTCCTTGTGGGCGTTTTGTTAAGGCGGCATTGTCTGTCTGTCTGTCTGGTCTGGTCTAGTCTAGTCTGTCTGTCTGCGTGTCTGAGTATGCCGGCCAGTTTATGCCGGTATGCGTTCGTTGCAAACATGAGGCTTGACAATTGTAGAACCGAGTGCTGCTAGCGAAGCGGCCTGATCGTGTGAGCATGTGTCCTGACTTCCGCTGGCATTTAGGCCTTGATCCGAACTTTTGGCTTCGGACAGGAAAAGGAGCGCCTGTTGCAGCTAGCGTGCGCCTAGCTTGCATAGTGGCACCGGAGCCTGAGCGATTCATTCTTCTCTACCCGCTTTGCTGATCCTTCTTTCTTCTCTTCCTCTCCCTTTACAACTTCCTTGGGGCCAGTGCTTTGTCATTGAGCTCCTCGAGGGTGGCCTGGCGAACGGCGAGTTCGTTTGGGTCACAAAAGGGGGTACCGAGACCGAGGCCGTGAAGCTCCGGCCCTGGGTCTGTGGTGCCAAGTCGGTGGCTTGCTGTGCGCTTCAGCGCCTTCTTTGGCAAGCCCTTTTTGGAACAGCTTTCTGACCTACCTCCTCGCCGTGGACGCCTCCTTCGAGAACCGCGGCGTCTACTACCTTTGGGCTGTCCGGACCGCTCCGGCTTCTTTGCCTCCTTGAGTTTGCTGGGTTTGCTTGGCAGGCCGTCCGGATCGATCCGGCTTCTTGGGCCACCTTCTTCCTGGCAGGCCACTTTTGGGCGGGACTAGCTGCCCCTCTTCTGCGAGTTCGTTCTCTACTACCTTTGGCGGTGACTAGGCCGTCCCCTTTTTCTTTGAGTACTGGAAGGCCCTGCCAGAGGCTCTTCGGCATTTTGCCAAGATGGCTGACGATGACAAGACGGCGTCTTCGTGGTTCAAGGTGCCCACCTGGGACGGCAGCCCGACAACCTGGCGGGCATTCGAGCGTGAGATGTCTTGGTGGCTCAGCTCCTTGGACGTGGAGGGCACCAAGAAGTACAACCTGGCAGCCCGTTGGTTGCTCCGGCAAACGGGCGTTGTGAGACAGCGTGGGGAGGAGTTCACCCCAAAGGACCTCGAGTACCAGAAGGAGGTCAGGACCCGAGACACGGAGGGCGTTGAAATTGTGGTGACGCCTGAGGACCCGTTTGCTGGGATCAATAAGTTGCTGAAGGCTTTGGAAGGGATCAATGGGAAGTCGGCTCTTGATCGCAAGGGTGAGTTGCGAAACCAGTTTTATCTCAACTTGCAGCGTGCACCTGGCGAGCGGCCAGCCGACTTCATGAGCCGATTCCGGGCCTTGACGGCCGAGATGCGCACTGAGGGCATTGAGCTCCCGACCGGGGAGCTGGGATGGTTCCTTCGAGAAAAGTTGGGCTTGGATCCGCTTCGAAAACAGCTCCTGGAGACGGCTTTGCAGGGCAAGGAGAAGTACGAGGACATCGAGCTGGAGGCCTTGCGGCTTTTCAAGGAGTTGCACACCTCAGACCCTCTTATGCGGAAGGTGAACTTCGAAGCTCGCGGCCGAGGCCGGGGCATGGGTTCCTCCTATGGTTCGGCGGTTTCGGGCCGTGGCTCCTATGCACCGTCGGTGGCTTCGCGAACTTCGTCGGCTCCCTCTTCGGCACCTTCCCGTGGCGGCCGGTTCGGTGGCTTTGTGCCTCGACGCTTTGGCTTCCAGGCGCGGCAAAGGCAGGCAATGGCCACAGAGTACGAGGCCGAGCAGGAGGAAGGCGAGCCAGAGGATGATGAGCTGGTTCCGGACGAGACCGGGGCCACGGAGCAGCCGAATCTTGATGAAGTGTTGGAGGCGGAAGCCGAGGCTTTAGCAGCAGAGCTCGAGCAAGCCGAGCAGGAGGGCATGGAACCTGGCGTCATTGAGGAGATCGAGGGGACCGTGGAGACAGCAGCCGAGGCCCTTATCACGATGAGGGACGCCCGGCAAAGATTGCAAGAAGTGCGTAAGGACCGCGGCTTTGGCCGCCCGAGTGCGGCTCCTTCTTCTCGCTCTGGTGGCAAGCCAGGCTTCAAGAAGCGTGGGGTGTGCCATGACTGCGGGCAACCCGGGCATTGGGCAGGTGACCAGCAATGCCCCAAGCCAGGAGCAGGGCTTGCTAAGCCCAAGGGCGCTGGAAAGGCGCCGACCAGTCCTTCGAAGTCCTCTCCTACCCGGCGGGTGCAGTTCTGTGGAGACTCCGGGGGACGGCGATGAGATGCAAGTGACTCACGAGGCCAATGTGGTTTCGAATTGGGAGTCCTTGGCCGAGGCTCTCGAAGCAAGTCGGCCGAGCGAAGTGCAAGTCACGCTGGCGAGTGATAAAAGGTTGGTGGGCGCGCTCGACAGTGCCTGCAATCGCACCGTGTGTGGTCAGCGTTGGCTGGACAACTTCTTAAAAGAACTTCGCTCTTCCCCTGCTTCGGAGGCGCTGGCACCGCTTGTTATCACCGAGCAAGAGAAGGAGACCTTCCGATTTGGCAACGGCGGTGTCAAGGCAAGCTTTTCGCGTTACCGTTTGCCAATGGTCATTGGGAACGCTTGTGTTATGGTTTGGACCAGTGTGGTGCAGGTCGACTCTTTGGGCTTGCTGCTGGGCCGGGACCTTCTTGAGGCCATTGGCGGGGTGATCAGCTTTACCCGGCGAGCACTTAGGGCAGATCACCTGGAGGGGAAGCGCATTCCCTTGCAGCAGCTGTCGGCAGGCCACTTCTACCTTCAAGGTGTTCCCGGAGAAGTGGACGGCCGTGGCCAGACCATGGCGACGCGAAGGCCAGGACGGGGTACTTGAAGTTCAGCTTAGCCCTGCCGAGTGGAGCCTTCGTCGTGCAGCTGCGTTCAAGAAGGGTGGTACACATGAGCAGTTGGTCGTTGAGCAAGCACGGGACGCCCATGATTGCCACAAGTGTTCGAGAGTTCCCAATTCGATGACCGACCCCGTGCTCCCCGCAACCTCTAGTGAAGATGCCTCTCGACGTGGACCGGGGAAGCCGCGTGGTCGGCCGCTTCAGAAGAATGTGCCTAAGGCTTCTCGAGAGAAGCGTGTGGCACTTCGGTGGCTTGTTGCTCTGGCTTCTGCAGCGTCCGCATTTAAGGTTTGTGCCCCTGCCCTATGGCAACGTCAGGACGCCCCAGCAGTGGAAAGAGCAGGCCGAGGAGATGGTGCGCAATGGCGCTTTCCCCAGGCGGCACTACCGCTCAGCCGTGTTGAGCAACAAGTTCGAGGACGTTGCACTGATGAGAGAAGCCGGATACCTCCGGGACCGGCTTGGGACCCGCCTTTCGTTTCTGGAGGACCCGATGGTTTCAGGGATGTTGGCGGCAAAACAGACGAAAGGGGCACGAGCGGCGATACAAGGGCAGTTGATGGATCAACTTCGCAAGGACGCCGCCGAGGCAAAGGAGAAGGGCATGGACCGGGAGGCCGCCAGATCCCTGCTGGGACCCAAGGGCGGGCTGCCAACTCTCAAGGCAGACCTTCTTCGTTTGGCGGCATTGCTTCATGTTCCGGTCAGCGGCACCGAAACTGTGGAAAAGATCAAGCTGAAGATTCGCCCGATGGTGGAAACATTGCGGGGAACGACGGTGACTGCACCTACTTCCGGGACCCCGGGAAGCAGCTCGGGAACCCCGCCGGCGGCCACGGCAGCTCTACCTGCACCCTCTCAAGAACCACTTCGGGGCGAGCCGCGACTACCCGACCGCACAGCTGGACCGATGGCCTCCGATCCAAATTCCGGGCCCTCTTCGGCCGAGCTGCTGGCACAAATGCACGCAATGATGGACAGCCGCGACCAAAGGATGGACCAAAGGATGCAAACCATGTTAGCCCAGGCCCTGCAGCACATGATGACGATGATGCCGCAAGCCGCCGGGCACATGGTGGCTGGGGACGGTCCCCTGTCGCCGGACAGCGACATGGGCTTTCAGACGGTGGAGCAGCTGGGCCAGGACGTGTTGTGATTCCGCCTTTGCGCCAGCAGTTGAAGCCCGGGCAACGTCAAGTGATAGCCCAGGCTTGGCGAAAATACCGCCGAGACCGAGACCTGCTGCGCGTGACTCCGGCTGTTGCGTCGGAGGCCCTGGCTGTGACCTACGACCAGGACTTTGACCAGGCCCTTGCCGAGCCCTTTGTTGCGGTTGCTGGCGCCTGGTCTGGCACGGCTTCTCCCTCTGTTGGCAACCTTGTGGCCAGAGCTGCCCAGGATAAAGGCCATGCGGTGAGCGATCAAGTGACAGCCCCGGGACGCTCACCTTTTCTGTTGTGCATTCGCTTGCTTGGGCCTTCTCCTTTGTTGCACTACCTGCCGGACCAGGCCAGACACAACGGTGAAAAGAAAATACGGGATGCCGGGCGCGACCTTCTTCTGCGCGCTCTTCGACACCGTCGCTCTGGCCGGCACTTTTTCATCGAATTGGCTCGTCGAGCCGACCCGGCTTCAACCGGAAGGCCAAGCTCTACTTGACGAACCGGGGGTAATGGACTTCTGTCGCCACGGCTACCGCTACTTGACTTCGAGCCCCTGCATTGCTGAGGCTTTTCGGCAATATCAAGGCCCGAGCTTCAGCAAGGACTTCATGAAGGCATTGGTGCAGGCGGCAGAGAGACAGTTTGACGGCGACCTCGGCGAGGGCAACGTGACTGAGGCCATGGCGGCGGAGACGGTGGACAATGATGGCGACCCCGCTGACATGGACGGCTCGGACACTGAGTTGGAGGAGGCTGGCCCGGAGAGCGAGAGTCAGTCAGATGTGGTGATTCCCGCGGCCGTCCGGCAAGCAGTCAGAAGGCTCCACGAGAACACGGGCCACCGAAGCCCACAACGGTTGGCCCGGGCTTTGGTGATTGCTGGGGCCCCGATGGAAGCAGTGATCGCAGCGAAGCAGCTTAGATGCAGTTTGTGTGACGAGCGCCGCCCACCAAAGGCGCAGAGACCGGCATCCTTGCCGGCAACGAGACAGCCGGGTGACCAGGTGGCTGTGGACATCTTTGACTCCTTCGACGCCACCGGGATTCGCTACTCAATCCTGCATGCCGTCGATGCCGTGACGAGGTTCCAGATGGCTGTGATTGTGGACAAGCCGTCCTCGGAGGAGGTGATCCGCTTCCTTAGGGAGCGATGGGCTCCTGTCTTTGGCATGCCGAGGACCCTGCTTTGTGACCAGGGCAGGGCCTTCATTTCTCATGAGTTGGAGGCCTTCGCCAGCGAGAACACAGTTCACTTGGTGCACATTGCTGTGCAGGCGCCTTGGCAAAACGGCTTGTGTGAGAGAACCGGCGGCATCCTGAAGAGCCTGCTTGCGGCATGCACGGCCGCTCAATCCCTGATGGGCCTCAACGAGATGAACCAAGGACTTTCAGAGGCCCTGCTCGCCTACAACATGGACGTGGGTGACACCGGCTGCTCGCCGATGCAGGCGGCTGTGGGGAGGCAACCACTCCCTCCGGGCGATACGCTCGCACAAGGGCGACTTGGGGAGACCGACGCCATGCTTGAAGAGGGCTCTTTTGCCAGACTGGTGGCGGTTCGCGAGACGGCCCGCATGGCGATGCTCCGGCTGCACTTCAGCAAGGCCCTTCGTCGAGCTGAGTTGGCTCGCTCTCGGAACCCAACGGTCCAGGATGCCCCTGCTGTCGGTGACTTGGTTTATTATTGGAGGCAGCAGAAGTACAACCGAAAGGGCAACCAAAACCAAAGGAGATTGCTGTTGAGGCGTTGGCATGGACCAGCCCTTCTCATCGGGTTCGAGGGGAACGTCAACTGCTATGTCACGGCCCGGGGCACTCTCACCAAGGTTTCGCTTGAGCACGTCAGGAAGGCCTCCGCCTTTGAGCGCCTCGCTACTGGAGACTGGGACAGTGTCATCCAGGAAGTGATTGATGCTGCCAATCGCGACCAGGAGTGGGAAATGGTGGATAACCGCGCTCCTTCGAGCGGCCTCGATGATGGAGGCGAGCGGCAGTCTGGCAGTGCTGATGGCCCCGAACTTTCTGAACAACGAGCACATCCAGATCCACGCGGGGGGCCACAAGCGAGTACTCCTAGCCATTGGCTTGGTGGCGACCCAGCTCTTGCGCTTCCCACCGAGCCTCAGGCTGGCCTTCGTGATGGCACCGAACTTTCGGAACAACAAGCACATCCAGATCCACATGGGGGGCGCTCGGCTGATGATAGTTTTGCAGAACAGCTTCGGAGGGCAATGCAGAACCGTGGTGCATCGGGAGGCAGTGATTTACCACCTGTGTCTCCAGATGAGTTTGTGAGGGCTACTACTTCCAGCACGCCGGCTGTTTCCCGAAGGCCATCCGTGCAAACTGGTGGTCCCACACGTGCACCTGGCAGCCCCGTTCCGGAGTGCATAACAGGCGCCTTGTCGAGTTCTGCAGCCCAGGCACCGGCTTCTCCGTTACAGCCCTTTGACACTGACGACTCCGAGGAAGCTGGTGGAACGAAGCGGCCCGCGGAGACCGACGTGGAGCAGCTACGTGGTGACGCTCCCGGCGGCGAACCTCGTGTGCCCTTCGACGCTCTCTCTCTTGAGCGGTCTGAAGTGTTGGCCTTAGCCCAAGCAGGAGGAGGTGAAGTACATCCTCTTGTTCGTCTTCAAGCTCAGGCGGCTCTGGAACGCATGGAGGCCGACGGTGGCAAGGTTGAGGACCACGGCACTTGGGCTGGCGATTGGCCTCTTCCCTCAAGGACTGAGTACGAGGCACATGTGAAAGCTGGCATGCGTTGGCCAAGCGGACGAGACGCCATGGCAGTTCAGACCGCCAGGAAGGAGTACCATTGGAACCAGATGAACGACAAGCAGAAAGAAGCCTTTCACGAGGCGGCAAGGGAGGCATGGAATGTCTGGGTGCGCAATGAGGCCGTTGAAGTGCTGGACGAGGCCGAGACAGCGAGAGTGGAAGCCACTCTCAGGCAACGGGGGGAATTGCACAAAGTGTTGCAGCCGCGGTTCGTGTTCACTGACAAGAACGACGGACTGCGCACCTCCAGCCACGACCTTCCGCTTCGAGCCTCGGCGAGACTTGTGGTGCCTGGCTACAAAGACTTAACAGCGTACGAGCTCAGGAAGGACGCGCCGACAGCTTCAAGGACTTCACAGCACCTGTTGTTCTCCTTGGCCGCTAGCAAGTTTCAGAAGGAGAAGTGGCGCATTGGCTGCGCCGACGTGAAGAGTGCGTTCCTTAAGGGGGAGAAGTACGTCGACGGGGCCAGAGAGCTTTACATCCGAAATCTTGAAAGCAAGAATGGAAGCCCAACCTTACCGATTGGGCGCAAGCTCTCGAGGATCCTCAAGGGTGTCTTTGGCCTCAGTGACGCTCCTCGTGAGTGGTTTCTCCGTCTGAGAAAGAGTCTGCAAAAGGAACGCTGGCGAGCTTCGACTGTTGACGCGGCCACCTTCTTCTTGTGGTCTGACGAGAGCACACCACGGTTACTGGGAGTGCTGTGCAGCCACGTCGACGACCTGTTGGTGGCCGGTGGTCCGGAGGCTTGGGCGTCTCTTGAGCGCCTCGGCTCCGAACTGGGGTTCGGGTCGCTTGAGAAGGACTCGTTCAACTACTGCGGGAAGCGCATCTCGCAGGACCTCCTGACGGGCGAGATCTCTGTGTCCATGAAGGAGTACCACCAGAACCTGCAGCCCATTCGCATGGGACCCTCACGGCGGCGAGACATGGACGCTGTGCTGACGCCGGGTGAGGCCAAGCAGTTGAGGGCCTTGGTGGGCTCGCTTCAGTGGTTGGTGGCGCAGTGCCGCATAGACCTGGGCTACCAACTGTCGGTGCTGCAAGCCGACGGCGGGACAGTGCAAACAGTGTTGCGAGCGAACGCTCTTGTGAAACTCTTCAAGGAGACCGCGGACTTTGCCTTAAGGTTCAAGCCCCTTGACCTGACCGAGGCAGGGATCCTGGTGGTCACCGACGCCTCCCTCGGCAACGTGACGAAGCACGGCGGAGTCGGCGACAAACCCTTGGAAAGAGTGTTCTCGCAGTCTGTGTACTGTGTGTTGCTGGCCGAGCGGTCGCTACTTCGCGTCCAGAAGGGACGTTTTTCGGTCCTGGACTTCCGCAGCCACCGCTTGCAACGTGTTTGCCGCTCGACTTTTGCTGCCGAGTTGTTGGGCATGGAGGAAGGACTGGACGCTGGTCAGTACTGCAGAGGCCACCTTGCCGAGGCCTACGGCTACGACCTGAGCCACAAGAACATCGAGTCGGTCCTGAACTCGATTCCCCTCGTGGCGGTGACGGACGCCAAGGACGTGTACGACAAGGGCACGTCTGACACTCCTTCTTACGGTTCTCAGAAGAGCCTCGCTTTCACGATCACCTGGATCAGAGGGCTCTTGGCTAGATGCAATGTGGCCATCAAATGGACGGCCACAGAGAACATGTTCATCGACTGTGGGACCAAGGAGATGGAAGGCTCGCATATGCGGGCAACGCTCTCTAAAGGGGAATGGAGCTTCCGCTACGATCCTGACTTTGTGAAGCAGACCGTCCGGGCGAAGGTGAAACCGAAGGTCGGCCCTGAGGTCCTGACGGGCGATGAGATCAAGCCAAACAACCCTGTGCTGAGCTTTCTTCAAGGGCTCGCGACGCAAAAGGGATGGCATCGCCGAGACGGCATGGCCATTCAGGTGTCACACGGCGCCAAGAGCTACAGACGACCGGAACCACGCTTTGATTCTCGTGATTATCCGCTAAGGACATCCTATGGGCTGTTTCATGATGCCGTAGGCAGAGGGTCTTGGAGAATCCTTGAGTGGGACCAGCCGTACAGCCGTTTTCTAAAGAGCCTAGACCGGGAAGCGGCCGTGCTCATCACGATCTTCAGGTCCGCGAAAGAAAGTAAGATCGATGTAGAACCGAGTGCTGCTAGCGAAGCGGCCTGATCGTGTGAGCATGTGTCCTGACTTCCGCTGGCATTTAGGCCTTGATCCGAACTTTTGGCTTCGGACAGGAAAAGGAGCGCCTGTTGCAGCTAGCGTGCGCCTAGCTTGCATAACAATCAAGATGTCCAAGCCTGCTTGCATGCGGCACGGTGTTGGACGGAGTAAGGATGGAGAAGACTGACAAGACACTGGCTGAGATGCAGGTTTTGCGCTTGACCTTCTTCCAGGTCAAGAGCATTCGAGAGGAGTGAATTGGCAGGTGGACCTCAATCTGAACTATGACTGGTCGAAAATCTGCGAATCCGGAGACAAGCCCCTGGCCATTCGCTCAGATCCATAGAAGACGAGGTTCTTAACATGTTCGTCTATCCTTTGAGGTGCGCCTCCGAGGGCCAGGTTTGGTTGGCCTCAAGAATCTTGGGTGCGCCTATCGTTATTTTGGAAGGTTCTATGGAAGTACCATGCCATGCAGCCAGGCAGTCCTGCTACATGAACTCTTCGGTTCAGTTACTACTCGTTGCTCCCTCAGTGATTCGGCATAGTACCTCAAACAAGCCTAGCAACGACACAGACGCGCTCAGGCACTGCCGGAAGTGAAGCAGCGCTACTTAGATGCGGATCTGAAGGCCAAGAAGTTCGGCTCGCTCTAGCCGTGAATTGCGACTTGACGCCTCAGATCCGAAGATCTGCAGCTCCGGAAGTCCAGAACGACCTGCTGAGCCAGGCAATTTCGTGCACAGGCTGTGCGCGTTGCGACAGTGCTTGCAGACGCTTGGCCAGGTGGCCAAGCTAGTCAGCGGCCTCAACGGTCCACGATATGCACCGCCTCTGCTTGCCCCTCAACTACTTGCCGCCTTTAAGAGATAACTGCGTTACTTGGAGGGTAGCTCTGCGGGCCGTGAGGAAAGACGGTGATGACGAGGAGGATCCGAGATTCTCGATCCAACCTCAGGCAGGCCACTGGGAGCATTCTGGAACGCAGAGATGCTAAGAACTCACTTGCAACCCCGTGGTCGCCTGTCAGATGTTCCGCTCGCTCATCGGGAGAGGACATGCGGAATTCTCGACTGCCAGGTGCTGTTGCAGTTTTCAGAGACTGGAGAGTGCTAAATGCTGCCAGTGTTGAGATTTGGAGGCAGCAAGATGCTGCGGAATTCGTCCAGGCAAGTTTTGGAGGACAGAGCAAGTGCAGCCTGATCAACACTGCATCTGGCGCAGTACTTCTTGGAGCAGATCGCACGCCTCGAGCGAAGTGCTCTGGGAACCCGACTGGCTGGAGACAGCAGTGGCCTTGGTGCCTCCACGAACAACTGATTAAGCTCAGTTGTGGCGATTTGTCCACTAGCCAGGCTCCACCACCTCCCTTTTCGAGTTTGCCGCAAACCTTGCTGAAGTTCAATACGACATGCAGTCACTGCTTTAGAGCCCAACGGACACATGAACTTTTGTCTCCCGTGCCAGGTGGAGGAAAGACTGCAAGAAAGCTCTGGCCAAAAGAGAGTGAAGCACGCGGGCTCTACTAGCTCTCTGTGTTTGAACTCTGGTCCGTGTCCTTACGGGTACATGCACATATCGATACTTTCTCCTCGGCTCAGGTACAGCAAGGTCCAGCAGAACATGCTCGGACTTCCAGCAGGCGTCTCAGAAGGACACCCCTTGGACTTTGGACTTTGCAACGTAGCGTGTTGACCTCCGGAACCTCAGACTCAGTGCTTCTGCTTTCGAGACGATGAGGTGAAGCTGGATGATGCCGAAAACCTCCAAGAGGCGAATCAGCCCCGTTTGGCGTGCAAGATCCAGTTCCCAGAAGTAACGGCGGCGCACGACATGAAAGCATGAGCGGGACAGCGAAGAGACAAACTTGCAGATAGCATTTGTGCATGCATTCAGCACAAGAATGTGGAAGCCCCTGGCCGCGGAGAGTCGCACAACAGCCTTTGGCAGGTCACGGCTTTCAGAGCAGCAAAGGACAAAGATGAGCAAGAGGCCAAGAAGCCCAAAACGGAAGGCCCGTGATCAGGGTCTTGCGGTCTTGCACAGTTCTTGCCTTTGAATCCTGCCTCGCCAGGCGAGCCGGAAGAACCGAAGCCAGTGATACCGTTATCGCACAAGCCTGAGGTGGAGCACTGCACATGGCGTGAGGCTTTGAGGCTCACGTCCGCACAGTTGTGAGACCCTGTCCAGTGGGATTGGGGTGCCCGTAGTTAGGTCGAGGGTCTCTTGGGGGGGTGCTCGCATCATGCCCCAGCTGTCTCCCAGGTCGTGCTTGGCCCGCTTTGGAGCTTCCGAGGAGCCTCAACTTCATGTGCAGAATATTGACGGCCTCAGAGGCCTCTGCTTCCGAGGATGGCGTTCAGTTCCGAGGCGTTTCCGCATCCAAGACGCCGAAGCCTTGGCCAGGGCCAGCCTGGGCCGCTACTCAGCTCAGCTGCTCTCTTCTTTTGGGGCCCGCGCGGTTGAGGTCAAGATTGGCGAGCATGCCCAGGCTCCGATTTCGGCGGCCACGTCGAAGAGCACTGAGAAGCCTTCGTCAGGTACTTGCTGGTGCAACTTCAGCGGTACTACGTGGACGAGAAATGGTGCCCGGCCAAACTAGATTGCAAGGCGCGGGTTTAGTGCCACATATGCTTCTGTGCTCTTCGCGTCTTGGCCTGTGTCCAGTCAACATCTCTGGTTGTCGTCTGTGTTTCTGCGTCCATGTCTGAGTGCCATTTTCTCTTTCCATGTATGTACACTATCTTCCCCGCTCCCTCTCTCTCTCTCTCTCAATCTCTCTGCACCTGCTCGCGACGTGCGAAACACGCTTCGCGCAGGTGCCCATGTCCGGTTCTCAGGCTTTGCCATGATGTGCCAGCTGAGCTAGCAGGACGTTGGTTTTGTGTTGCCGCCAATCGCCGCTGAAGCTCCGTTGTCCCGATGAAGCTTTACTGCTGACCTTTCAAGCAAAAGCAACCTGCGACAACCTGGAATAATTTCCCAACACCCAATGCAACAGGCCGTAAGCCTTGCCTTGATGGTGTGTGCGCTTCACTCTCTTCGTTTACTGCAAGAGGTGCGATTGAGATAGACCGACTGGTTCTGGTGCATGCCCTTCATATTGACCACGCCTACTGTTTGAACCTGCAACTCGGCGTTTCGCAGCTGTTTGCCGATGCCGAGTGTCGCTGCATTGCTGGATTATTTGGTTTGCCTGCTGGAGCACTGTCATTCGCACACGCTGTCCATAAGTATGTCTGGCCTTGCGGTCTTGGACACGAACACAAACAAAGACAAACGTGCGCATATGCGCGCCGAAGCAGCCGGTGCCAGATTGAGTGGGAACCAGCTTCACTCTTGCAAAGGTTTTTTTGCTTATGACCAATTCCTTAGCATGCAAAATTCGAGTACTTTCTTCGAGAACATGTCGATAGGCTCTTGTCCCATGCGGTCAAGAATTTCATTGGCCGCCTGGTCCAAGACAGGTTCTGGAAATAAATCGAGTTTCGAAGTTGTTTGTGCTCCGTAGTCGGGGTCCTACAGGTTCGTCCTGCCACAAACAACCCCAAAACGCATGACTTTGCTGGGCAAACGCGTGGATTGAAAACCGTATGTGCGCCTGCCGCAGCGTCAGACTTCTGCAGGGTATTTCTCGATGAAGCTGCGCTGTGACAGTCCAATTCAAGTGCGGTCCAGCAAGCAGTTTGCCACTACTACGATGCTTGGATACGATGTTCGAATCTCTCCTGGATCTTTTCTTGTTCCATTTAGCAATGCTAAGCGGTAACGTCGAAACCGGGCACTGTTTTCGAGACCAGTCCTTAGGAGCAAAAAAGCATGGTAGGCTTTTGCCTCTCAGTGTTCCAGGCAGCGAAGCGGACGGATAATATTGAACACAGATCCAAAAACACTCCATGACCCTGCTTGACAATGGCCCCTCGGACCCATCAGAGATGAGCAATGAAGTTGTAACCGTGTAACCTTGGAAGAACCGCAACGACTGTCCCCGCAAAGCCTTGTTAGCAAACAGTTTTGATGTTGTTGAGTCGTTGAGTATACGAAGTATGAGTACGAAAGTACCTGATAACGTACCCCCAAATTGCTCCAATTCTGTTCGGATCCTTATAGTACATCGGCGGAAAGATTGCAGAGAGGTCGCTCTAACTTCCGTTTGCATTGGGGAAGTAACCTTGGATGCAGCGGTGGATGTTTGGTTTGTCTTGTAAATTACAGAAGGGAAGCAGTTTAGGAAGTCGTATCGGCCACAGAAGCTGTCACGACAGAGTAGCTCGTAGAAGCTGTTTGCTTGCGTTTACATGGTGTTTCGCACATGATGGCCGGCTCTCCGCCGTTTATGTGGAAACTCAGATCCGTTCATGTCGAAACTCAGGCCCGCTTGTGGAAACTCAAGCCCGTGTATGTGAAGACTTTGCCTCTCAGTTCGCACTTTGCGGGCCCAAAACAGGGAGTATAGCAAACTTCCCAGAAAAAGCCCTTCAGTTAGAGGCACCCAACAGCCCTTCGGGAAGGTGTATCCTCAGGCTTGGAAAGCCTTTACGGAGGTGTGTTGAAGCCCCCAAAACTCTTCGACAAGAGGTATCGAAGTCCCCTAAACCGCAGAAAAATATGTCGGCAAAGCTCTTTAGAGTCAGAGGCCTACCTTCACTCGGGGAGAGGCGAAAACGAGTGGGATTCGATTGCCTTACGTTGGCGCATGCGTTTCCATCGTGTTTCCACGTTCCGACTTCTTTGCCTGCGCCTGAACCGGTGCATTCAAGGGTTTTTGCGAGCTTCCGGAAGGAGCTGTCTCGCCTTTCACTGCGAACAGGAATTCATCGCGACATGAAACTCAGTACTGGGCCCGACCATCAGCCTGCAAGAGTCTGGAAGAGAATGCCGTGACACGGTGGCCTGAATGTTTAAGACGGCATCAAAAGCACGATTCGTGTCTTATTGCAGCTACACACTTGCACAGTTACACACTAGAGTAAGACCATGTTCAAGGCTTGTGTGCGAAGCAGGTGTCATGTGTCACATCACATGTACTAAGGCGCCCCCCGCTATATCCCACAGTCGCACGGTTGCACCACTGGCATCCTACCTACTATAATGGTATGTAGCGATGCATGGGCAATGCTGGCAGTATAGTCATGTCAACCTAGTTCCACTAGCATGTATCTAGTTCAGCAGGCTGCGCGGCGCAGAAACAGGATCCTTCGGAGCCGACATCAGAGCGGGGGAGTTTCAAAGAGAAGCAAAAAGCTGCAGCAGTCGCAGCTGAGACTACTGCCGTCCTCCTCCTCGTATAGAAATGTGCAATTTTTTCATGCGCGGCAATGTGGAAACGTCTGTCGATGGCAAACGAAGCAACGATGTTGCATCCCTAAAGCGAATGAATCTTCGTAGGAACGAGAAGCACGAAACTCTGCTAATGACTTGTATACACGTAAATCCAAAATAGGTAGTAATCTTTCACGCACAGTTCGCGATGGTGAGCAGAGAGAAACACAACCACAACTTGAGCGTTCAAACAGGCAACACATGTGACGCTGGAGAGGTTGTCAGCTTTTAGTATGTCTATGGTCAAGAGAACTCGAGTGCACAAGGCTGACGCAGGAATCCCTTTTTGACTCTCGTACCCACAGAAAGCTTCAAGGAAGTCCAGGGATGTGGAGGGGTTCTTTGCCAAAGAGCTTGATTGCCAAGCAGTTGAAGGGCATTAGAGGATGGAAAACTACATTTTAATGCATAGAAGATGGTCGGCCGGTGTGAACAGATCAATCAAGTGGCAGACCGAAACCTTGGGAGTGGATCGCATTACTCAACTGCGGCGTGGGTATCTGGAACTGCAGCTTTTGTGTGCAAACCCAGGCCAGAGACGCTGAATCTGGAGCACCTGCGTGGCAGGGGCCTTCAGCCAGGACGACGACAGCAAAACACGTTGATTCAAACTGATCTGCATTCTTCTTGCCCTTCTTCATCGTAATCTTTGGTTTGTTGAAGTGTTCGCAGGAGAGGAGCCGATGCCCGAGGAAGCGGATGCTCCCCAGCCGGAAGCCCTGGGCCTCTTTTCTTGCAAGCCCTTCAGTCGGTGATATGAAAGGGCAGGGGCAGCGGCGGCTGGGCCTCAACCAGACGACATGATCGTCGCTTGCTTCTCAGCCAAGAGCCTGCCTCTCCGCTCACAGCATCGAATCTTGACGAAGGCCACGCTGGTGTCCATGGACATCGGTGAAAATGCTGTCAGTAGCCTATAGCATTTTCCGCTAAGGCCTCTCGATCTTAAGTCGTCATCCTGACTCTCTCTGGCCAGGCCAAGCGTGCCAGCCTGGCCGTGGGCAACTCCAGCGCCGAAGCCGCGATCGCATGGTGAAACTCCCCACGCTCCCCACGCAGCAAACTTCGCTGTGATAGCATCCTTTACGTAGGTTTTTCGAGCACAACACTGACCCCGACATCAACGATCCCTTGAGTGCAGCAGGAGGACTCCGGTTCTCGATACTGTAAAGCCGATAAGTGTGCAAAACCCTCATGCCAATAGTCAATCAGCCAGAAGCTGTGCGATAATTTGGGCCATTGTTGCTTCTTTACACCAGGCTCTTCGCGCAGAGTTCACATTCGCAGACGTGACAGGAGCTGGTGGGGCAGGCGAATCTGGCGGCGATGCGTCCGCCACTACAGGTTTGTATAATCAGGAACGGTAGGAATGGCTATGACCTGCGGTCTTGGATCATGCTGTGAGACTGGCATTTGTGATTGATCCAAGGCCAGACCCGGAGGCGGTTTCCATGCTGTGCTCGATGGGCTTTGCCCAGAGTCACGTACACGCAGCACTCAAGTCGTGTGCATCTCAGATTGCCGAACTCAAGCGAAGACTCTCTTCGTCTATTCGTATGGTGAGGTGCATGAACAGTGCGGAGAGAGCTGCAGACTGGTTCGAGTCTCAGGCCCCTGAACGGCCCCTTCGCAATAAACCTCCTTGAGTTGAGGTTATTCTCCCACTCGGACGACTTGGAAGGAGCTGTCGCCTCCCTGGGTGGCCAGTCCACCGGTGGTGCAAGTGCCCTGAACTTAAAAGCCCATCCTTTTGCCGTGAAGTCTCGATAGCTCCAACTGACAGGCATCACCGAAGGACTATGACGACGGCGTCGGGGAGTACCAGCTTCAGTCATGCACTAGTGCCTCCGCATCCTTGCTAGAGACAGTTCCCTCAGGTACACACTGGTCGGCTTCGTGTCGCACATTGGCAAACATACCTCGCACGGGCACTACGTCTGCCACATGCACCTTGTCGTCAGTGACATGAGTCGCCCTGTTTTTCCGCTTCATCTTTCCTGCAAGGCGGCGGGGAAAAGGTGACTCCTGGGTCATCTTCGATGACAGTAAGGCTGCTCACTTGGCTACATGTTAAGAAAGTCGGCCGAGAGAATCTTATCGCAGGTTGCGCAGTCTGAAGCTCCACCTCTTGATCTGGGTGCGGAGCTCGCAATGTCGGTGCATAGCAGACACGTGGACTTGCAATGCCACTTGAGGCTACATCTACCTGTACAGGAGAAAGGACGCACCTGCAAGTCGCGGTGTTCTTGCTCTGGTTCAATCACGTTAGTGTTTGAGACACACTAGCTTGTTGGCCCCACAAACAGCTGCTTGTACACTCAATAACTTTTTCTCGGGTGCCCTCCCAGATACCTCCTTGGTTGTGGTGGTGGTAGCAGCAGCAACAATCGCGGTAGCAGCAGTATCAGCAGCAGTCGGAGTCGCAGTAGTAGAAGTAGGACCCAGTGCCAGTGGCAGCAGCAGGAGTAGTCGCAATAGTAGTACTAGTACAAGTATCAGCAGCAAGAGTAGTTGCAGCAGTAGTACTAGTTGCAGCGGCAGCAGCAGGAGGAGTAGTAGTAGTGGTAGTGGTAGTCGCATCAGTGGTGGTAGTCGTAGTAGTAGTAGTAGTAGTAGTAGTAGTAGCAGTAGCAGTAGCAGTAGCAGTAGCAGTAGCAGTAATTAGTAGTAGTAGTAGTAGTAGTCGTAGTCGTAGTCGTAGTCGTAGTCGTAGTCGTAGTCGTAGTCGTAGTAGTAGTAGTAGTAGTAGTAGTAGTAGTAGTAGTAGTAGTCGCAGCAGTAGCAGCAGCAACAGCAGTAGCAGAAGCAGCCACAGCAGTATCAGTAGCAAGCCTGAAAGTTGAAAACGCAGAAACGCAGGGGTCAAGTTGCGGTGCAGAGCCACAAATATTAGCAGTGACAGATTAGGTAGAATGATTCATTGAGAAGTAGTAGAATAGAAGCAATAAAGGCGGTGGCAGCAATTCTGGTAGCCTGAATAGCAATCCAGTTTTTCAGTTGTTCTCATCCTTTGCGAGCAGTTTACTCCTGTTTATCACACTTTCAAGTTTGTTCTCACAGTTTCTAGTTTTCGTTCACAGTTTTCAGAATTTATGTCCAGCGATTTCCCCCGTTTGGCTTACACTGCATCAGAACATGTTGATCGTGTTTGCGCGCCTGAAACATAGTATGTTCTTTATGTAGATGCAAAAACCTAGGGCGAAAGCGCCGGAGCATAAGTGTGAGGTTGGCGTCAAGGTTGTTTTTGTTTGAGCCGTTCGCTGCAGGTCATGGCACTGTTGTGCACCTCTTAAATTGCAGTTTATGCCAGAAATGCCATTGAGATTTTGTAGATGCTCCAGCATCATGCGTTGTTGCGAAGTTTATGGCAGTGGCACTGGGCTGTCACCAGGGTCTCGTTCATATCCTAACCTTTGCTTATAGTTCGCACTCATACTGTACATCGATTTCACCATCGTTGCTGCAGCATTGACACTCTGCTTTTCATACTTGTTATCTGACGCGCACTCATCTATCCGTCGTAAACATTCCACTGCGCCCTCGTGTTCAGAGCCCATTGAACATGCGTCTTGCCCAGGATTCAGGTTTTTGGGCAAGCCATTTGCCAAATGCTACATCTCAGACGAATTCGACGTTTAATTCACTGGTGTTTTGAACATGCGCTGCGGTGACGCTAGTTATTTAGCCTTCTGGGAGCTTTTTGCTATCGTGTGTGATTTTCTTATCCCTTTTGAGCAGCTTGCATGCGCCCATTTCAACAAGTCGCTTGTAGCTCGGTACTCACCTGGAGCTGCTGTTCCCAACAGTTTCTCATTGGTCCCTTTCACGCGGCTTGCTCCTTCCACTGAAATTCTCCAGTGCTTCAAAGCCATTGTGTTATAATCGTGATTCTTGAAGTCTTGTCCGCTTGGGTCGCACCCGCTTTCTCAATTTTTCCATGCAGGTTTCCTGCTCGACAACTTCATTGCTTCCATTCCGTCACCTCGCTGCCGTTTCTAAACTTCCCACTTGATTCTGAGCGGTTTCCTTCCGCTTCCTACATTCTCGTTCTTTCACGCGGTTTGCTCCTTTCTTACAGTCCATAGTCCTGTTCGAGCGGTTCGTAATTTGCTCCGAGTTATCAAAGTCTCCGGTCCTTCTATCTGGTTGCTCCTGTGTCCAAAATTGTCCAGTACTCTCCGAGCGGCCGGCCCCTGTTTGTCAACTCGTGTCCGTTTCGAGTGGCTTGCTTCTCTTTCTCGTCTTGTCGAGTCTTTTCCGAGTTCTGATTTGTCCTTCCCCTTTCGAGCGGCTACCTCTTTCTCAAATTCTACAGTGACTCTGTTTCAAAACGTCTCTCCCGCTTTTCGAGCGGCTGCATTTGTTGCATTTTGTTGCGAAGTGTCCTGAAAGTTCACGGCGGCGTGCTTGTCACAGTGGTCCCGGGTTGTGTGGTGATGGTTGTGGCAGTGTCGGTAGATGAGATGGGTTGGAAGGACTGTGTTGTTGCTCAGTTTCCGGGACCCAGAGATTTTGGCTCGGCATCGGGTCCTTCCAGTCCCCTGTCACTTCTGTATATACACATCTGATGTCACGGTTTGACTGGGGGGGGGGGTGCCAGCTCCCAGACATAATCAGTGACTCAATAACGTCACTTTTTCGGTGGCTAAAAGCTTGGGGAATAGTTTCAGCATTAGTAATGGTAATAGTTCAACAGCTTTGCATGTTTCGGCCTCCCACAACGAATCTTGCCAGTTCAGTGGTTGTTTTAAATTACGAACAGGGCTTGGGCTTTCGGCTGATGTCGTAAGCCTATGTGATGATCAACCAGCCTCCACAAAAACAGTGAGGGCAACTACGGGCCAACACTTCGTGGTCACACGGGATCGCTTCTCTTGTCTTATCGGTTGGATTGTTGAAGTGTGTTGTGCAGACTTGAGGAGTGCCCAGGTCACCGGATGTCCGAACGTCACGTGTTACCACCGCACCCTGCAAAGTAGTACTGCTATGTAGGGAGTTGGATCAGCGAGGGTACACTTGGGTGTGGCATCCACCAGTGCTGCAGGATGGGTGAAGTTCTATGCGGCAGTAGCTAGGTTAGCTGAGCCATGTCGTGATCTCGATGAGGCAGCAACAGATCTGCAGTAGTCGAGAGCTACGAGTTTGGTCTGCCACAGACTTGAGCGATCAGCTCTCAAAAAGTGGTGCTGACTGTTTGGATGACTCTTTTGCTAGGTTGCCTGCAAGTTGCTTGTTTGAGCATTCCTCTGCTGTCCTTCTCGCATCTGCCAGCCCTTCGTCTTCACTTTAGTCTGTGGCCCTTCCCTTTACATCGGACGATCTGGCTTGAAGTTTCTGAACACCTCACACCTCGCGCCGCAAGTTTTATTCAGACCCTGCTGCTCAAAGCTGCGTCCAGCATACTCCAAGCCTTTCAGGAGAGAGTACGTAGTTTTAGTGCGTCTAAAGACATAGATGGCGCGAAACACCTCCACCATGCTATCAAGAACAGTTTAGGATGAAGATAAGTTTAGCTGCAGGGATGACAAACGGGCCCGCAGTCATGGTAACTCCCTGAGCCATGCTGATCGGATCGACGTTAGTTGGTGCACACAAGCTGCGGCAAGGATGCTGGCCGTGAGCAGTGACTGCTGCAAGCACTATGAGAGAGCAAATCGACTCGCTTGCCGCTCTGACGCATATCCGGGGCCTATCTCGGAAGATCGGTCATTGCTGACCATCGCGAACCTTTCAAGAGCAGAGTTTGTGCATTTGAGGCAACAATCCAAGCTGTCTTCGACGAGTTTCGAGGAAGTGATGACCGCCTAAGCACTGCGCAGCTACCAGCTGCCATGCGCCTGCTCGGAATGAATCCAACCGAAGAAGATGCTCTTGGACAGCAGTCGATGAATGTCTTCACTTGCCTGCGCTGTATGGCAAATATATGTATATATATATATATATAGTTATATAGATACATACATAGGTAGATGCGTGCTTCGATTGCCAATGTTTGCTTGGAGCGCAAACTGAGGTCAGTCAGCTCTGCGAAGGCGGCTGCTTTGACTCCACGCTTGATAGACGTGCGTTTGCAAGATTTATGGAGGACCGAGCCAATGAAAAGCACGACGCAAATAAAGCTCTGCGCTGTGGGATAGCCATTCGCAGACTGTTGCACCTGTGAGGAAGCTCTTTCGAAATGGTTGGTGCAAGATCAGGTACAAGAGCTTCTCCTCAGCTTCCAGGCGCCACCGCAATATTACCAGTGCTGCTGGTCCCCTTCTGCAAGGGCTTCCTGTCCAGGCCTTCGATACGCACGGGAATGGTCGGATGTCTGTGGAGAAGCTGGTGCAGATCATGAGCATGGCAGGCTGGTCGTGGTAGTGCAAAGCCCTTCTCGGAAAGTTCGTAACGAAACGCATTGTGTCCCGTCCCCCCCTGGCGCGGTGGAGTGCGCAGGTTGCTAAACTCCAAGCTTCAACCCCACAAATGCGTGCTCCTTTATGTTTGCTACCGAACCAAGTCGTGCGCTTTTGCGTGGGTAGGAAAAGCAGGTGACTGAAGGCAAAAGGAAGCAAATCACTCGAAAGGGATTTTAGAGTACTTGAGAAACATTAACCAAAGCGTTCGAAAGGGGTTAGAGTATCTGAGATATTTGAGAAACAATGAGCAAACGGCTCGAAAGAGACTGGAGTATTTTACAACGGGAACACCAGGGGCTAGAGTAATTGAGAAACGCAAACCGCTCGAAATGGACTAGAGTATTTGAGAAACAGTGAGCGTGAGCCCAACGCTCGAAAGGGACGGGGCTAGAGTGTTTGAAAAGCAGGGAGCAGACCACATGAACATGGAATAAAGCCTTTGGAAAACATAGGGCGAACTGCTCGAAAGGGACTAGAATATTTGAGAAACAGGGCGCAAACCGTTCAAAAGGAATTAGAGTTTTTGGGACGCAGGGAGCAAACCGCTCGAAAGGGACTTCAGCATTTGAGAAACAGGCCGCAAACGGCTCAAAAGGGACTAGATTTTTTTAGAAGCAGGGAGCAAACCGCTCGAAAGGGACTCCACAATTCGAGAAACAGGGAGCAACACGCTCGAAGGGAACTATAGAGTATCTGAGAAACAAGGATTAGACCACCGCTCGAAAGGGGTTAGAGCATTCGAAAAACAAGGCGCAAGCCGGACTAGAGCCTTTTTGAAGCAGGGAGCAAATTGCTCGAAAGGGACTAGGGCATTTGAGAAACAGTGTGGACACCGCTCAGAATGGGCTAGACGTTTTGGGAAGCACGG